ATTGGCTTCACACATTGTACCCATGTGGAGAATCTAATCCGGATCTTCGGCGTGACGAGCGAACGCTTTAACCACTGGGCTACCCCACCGCCCCAGCGTTACAGTAAGGGCTGGGCGGAAGGGAAAATAATGTGGCGGAGGCACTGTGAGACAGACTAACTTGTTTGATGCATGACACCGTATCCCTATTGCGTTGATCGATGCTGAGTTTAACAACAAACAAAACAACTCATGCTTGGTTGTGTCCCATCGTCCTACGACGGCGTGTATCGTCGTGACCATTATCGCTTTATATGGGAAGCACATATGATCAAGAACAAACAACGAGCCGAAGGGTTGAAAACTTTGCATGCTTTATAACAGGAATTGGGTACTGAGAACCTAGTACCGATGTCAGTGTATGGTATAATCACTTAATATCAGGATATTACAACATGTTTGCTTGTAATACTTTAAACCAACAGCCAAGCATACTCGACTGTGTAATAATAATAATAATAATAATAATAATAATAATAATAATAATAATAATTATTAGTAGTAGTAGTAGTAGTATAATAATAATTATTGTTATTATTAATAATAATAATAATAATTATTATTATTTATAATAGTAGTAGTAGTAGTAGTAGTAACAATGATGATGATGATGATGATGATGATGATGAGGATGATGATGATAATGTTACTTTGTAATAATATGATGTGTGTATAACTTGTGAATCACACTGCACGCTTGTTGATTACCCACTCTGTGGAAGGTCGGAGTTATGCCATGTTAATGTATTACAGATGAATGCATAGTCCGTGATTTGAGGCAATTACCAAACGTGTGGTCCTAATGACCGCGGGGGGGGGGGAATGTTCAATCTCTGCTGCTGTTTGGAAATGTCAGAGTGCCGTGATATGCGAAAGCCTTGTTCCACATGAACCGTTTCCACTCAGTAGCAAAGCCAGCCATATGTTGATCAGTCACTGATCACAGCCAACATGTTTTGGGATGATCTTGTAAAGTTTTGATTGATTCACTTCTTTATGAGATTAAATCTGCACTCATCCATGGTGTAGATTGAAATCGGGACATAACGTAAATTTGTTACCCATGTTTCATTGCTAAGCTGTCAAACTCCGACAAGTATTGCTGAGAAGATTGCCCACATGGTGGGAACAATGTGTGAAGCCCTATCTTTGTATTCCACATCGTGATTTGGCTGGAATATTGCTAAAAGTGCATACTACCTAGTCTGTCTCACAGTACCAGAACCATATTATTTTACCTTCTCCCAGCTGTTACGGTAACGCTATAGCCCTAAATGAAGCAAGGCTAGATTTTCCTCAGGTTCATGTCTGAATCTACCATCTCAGTGGGGCTCCTTTTCAATGTATATGTAGTTGCTTGTTTTTGTCAAAACCACATTTCAGCGACTAAGCGTTAGTCTAACATGGTGAGTTCAACGTGTAAAGCCCATTCTTGGTGTTCTATATAGCGATATGGCTGGAGTATTGCTAATATCGGCATAGATCATTTACATATTTCTCAGAGAGAAATGGGTTTTATACCATTCCGCGCTTTCACAGATATATCATTCATGATTGCGATTTACAGTCGGGCCTGGACACTGGGATCTTGGGGGCCGTTCCAAAAAGCGGTCGTAGTACAATGGTGATCGTAGCTACCATACTTTAACAGACTTACGACTGCCGTAGTGCTACGGTCGCTTTGTAGAACGGGACTCAAGGAACGATAAACCACCCCTAGACCACATGCAGACATGCAATCACGCACGCACCCACGAGCACACACATACAGACAGACAGTCTGAGAGACAACGGTACATGTCTATTGAATATTTATATGATTAGATACCACTCACTTTACGGCGTGTATGGGAGTGTGTGTGTGTGTGTGTGTGTGTGTGTGTGTGTGTGTGTGTGTGTGTGTGTGTGTGTGTGTGTGCACGAGCGTCCTTGTGTCGTCTAAGGAGCAGCAATTGTGCAAAGTTGCGTCCCTTGGAAAAGCCAGACAAATATGATCATGGGTTCGAATCCCGGTTTGCCCCGATTGTGTTTGTCAGCACAATGCCCGTGCTCAGTTCTTCTTACCAAAGTGGTAAACGTCTGAGATATGCATAACTTCGGGCTTTCCTCACACATTAAACTGACACGACGTCATATGACTGGAACATTGTTGAAAGCGGCGTTAAACTCAACTCACTCACTCACTCAATCTTATTTTCGGTAATCATTTGAACGCTCAATTACACATGAATAAATAGGCGGGCTATCTTAGACCATCGGAACAGGGGTTACGGGTAGTGATATACGCAACATACACTACCCAGGTTACCAACTTCCCGAGGCATGAAAGTTAACTGACTATATAAGTTCAGTTTCCACCCGTGCCGAACTAGGCTGCAGTTATGTCTGGATTAACGAGTCTATGCATAGTCCAATCAAAATCGCTGAACGAACAAGACATCCGGTTCCTAAACAAAATGGATTTCAAGTGCAGATTTCGGTCGACTGCAGGATTTGCATGTTGCTTCATGCTTTAAATCAAGGTGCTCACGTGATTTGATGCACTTCGCGGGGTAAGACCCGTTTTATAACAATATAGATCTTGATTTTTTAGCAGATCGTCTTGACTGGGCGCCGCCATTTTGTTTGAAGCAAATGCAAGTGATATGAGATATGGAATCTGATTGGTCAACTGGAGGAACATAGAAGGGACTTAACTCGTAATAGCCACTGCTGGCGCTACGATCGAGCCTGGAAATTCCAGCCTAGTTCAGCAAGGGTGGAAACTGGAGTCTTTAGTCAGTTAACGCCCTTGCCTCGGGAAGATGCTTATATTCTGGACTGGCTCAAAATAATGATTTAAATACAAAAAGACTAATTAGTAAAAAAGAAGTGAACAAATTCCCCACACACCTGAGTTTCGAACGTGACCACTGTGCAGCAAACTGAACCTTTAAAACGGCCTGCGAGTACTGGGGAGTAAAGACACAAGTATAAATATACTGCGCGTTGACCCGAGAGAGGGCAATCGCTCCTGGACAGCCGGGGAATACAACAGACTGAGGCGCCCAGCCAACGTGTGTTTCTAAACATGGGGAAAACACGAAAAGCAAACTAACTACTATATCCATACTGAAGATGCAAGTATCAGAATAAAGCATTGATTATGAGCTATCCAACGATAACATTAAAGATTTACAACAAGCTATGTACAATTATTGAGGCAAAATGATCATATACACATTAGAAATATCTGAGTGTACCTTTAAATTCCTCTGTTTGAAAATCATGGTTACAAAAACATTTTCAACACATGAATAAGGTAGCGAACATATAGGAGATCAAACATCAAGTCAATAAATGGTATGAGCGTGCCTTTAAATCCAACGAGAATAAAAAAGTCGGGCCACTAATTCCCAAACACAGAATGTAATGACACCGAAGAACGACGACCGCCGGACGTTGCCGAGCGGTGTCGGAAATAAAGCCGGGGAGCGTCGAGGTCACTGGACTGTGACACGAGCTGATTCGATCTACGGTGACAGACTTTATAAAGTCATTTTCTGACATCCTTTTATGGGATTTTACTTAATTGTCCCTGTTCTAAAATATATTTCATCATTTTTTATAAGCTGACAAAGTGCTTATGAAATGTACCAGTATGGGATAACAACATCGGATAATGTTCCGTTATCGAACGCATTCAGTTCTAATTGATTATCAGCAGCCATATATGCATCAATGTGAAGTCTATCGATAGACGTATTCACGCAAGGTTTTTGTCTTAAACGTCTTAAGTTTTTAGATAGCTTATTTGAATCTTATTTTAGCCAATCAGAATCGAGCATTCTTCAGTGCCATTAAGGTGATAGGTCTGTTTTATTCATGTAGTCGGTTAATATCTTATACGAATAAGAACGATTTTACTCTCTTATATATTTAGCCTAGTTGTCACAGATATAATCAACCGTAAATAGATGAGAAAGAAATTTCACGCGGGTAATTGAATTAGTGAATCCGAATGCGCTACCGACTCACAATCCTCACAATCCTCCAACGATGCGTTATTAGTGCAACACACTAAAACAGCAGGGACTGGCAGCCCCTCGCGAGGCAAGTAGTTCATGACGTCAAGGCTGCAACATCTGCGTTATTACACGAATCAGCGATCAAATCAAACAATCAAATCTCCGAATACACGCCACTGGGGCATGGAACACGAGGGTTGTGTATGTGCTGGGGGCTCCCATCCCAGGGGCTATCGATCAGCTGGTACAGGAGGAGCGAGAGCAAGGCCTATACTGTTACTGCATCCGCCAGAGACACGTTGATGTCTACACGTCTCAAAGGGGGACTGTCATCCGTCTGTGATGGGGTCAGATCTTCCTGTCGTGTTGGTAATAAACAGATTAAATATTGATCTCAAGAAACGCTGCTATACTTAGAACCGCAGGAAGTCCGACCTGTAGGAAAGATGGATTTCAGTAGGTCTTTCAATAATTTGATTCTTTGTTCCTACATGCAGAGATATTAGAAAAGTGTTCGGGAGATACGAAACTATATGAACATACTAAGAATTGGAGTAATCTTAGAGGTACTCGGGAAAATGATACAAAATAAACTACAAAAGAAAGTATAACACTTGAAAACTGGATTTGATTAAATAAAATGTAATGTGTTTGGCAACAGTCATCTATTTTCCTATTATTTTCTATTTTCCTCTATTTTATTCTTTCCTAGCTCTATTATAATGGACCAACTCAAACCAACGCAACATCTCTCAAACAACCCCCCAACTGCACTAACACACACCTCAAAAACCTAAATGTCATAAGCATGAATCACGTCCATATTTTACGGAATTAAAGCCTGAAACAAGCTGACGTAAGCATGATACGAAATTCAAGGACACAGACGTGATGTGGGTAATTCTGATAACGCATCGCCAAGCTGCCTAGTTAAAAACCTGCGTGCATGTAGTTGTCAGACTGCTCAGAAACAAACAAGCCGCTCGTTTCCGATATGAATCCGAGCTCTTGCTGCCAGTGGTCGCTATGATCGGGCCAGCCTATCCTATGTCCACTCACTTCGATAACGTGGTCAGTATGTACCGGACATCTATCTGACCGGAATATCACACAGTGTAAGTATTCAGTTTATGCAATGGTTGTAGAATAACAGTGCATGCTATATCAAGCCGTATCGCACACTCGTGGGGCCTTGCGTCAGTGACTGGATGTTAAATTGTGTCATATTTGTAGTTAACGAATGAAAACGACATTATGTTAGTGTGCCTTTCACTTGATAGACAGTGTAGAGTTGCCTATTTACTAAAGTGTATATACTAGAAGCAATACATGTATCGTCCCAATGTACCACCACCAACTCGATTATATTAACGTTGGAGTTAAATTCGCTACAGCATCGCGTGCTAATGTTGCAATCACGCAGAAATAAATCGTCTCCAGATTCTTATAAAAATGGCAGTTGCTCGTTCCATGACTTTATACGATTTAAAGTCGCTTGTCTCGATAAACTAGTTTTTTTACCGAACCAACGCCTAAAGCATGGACGCTCTGATTGTGTATGTCCATATACCTGCATCTACAGGTAAGTTGGTTCGTCTTATTTAAAGAATCTTCAAGGATTAGAGATGTCTTATATCGTTTACTATCACATGAAGAGGGTGCCAAAACTGTTTATATACCTCTTTAACCTATTCTCAAATGTTTAGCTCCATAACATATATCGTATGGCAATGTAAACTAACACTCGAGACTGGCCCCGGCCTAGTCTTGTATAGTTAGTTGCAGGTATAGCGCGGTTTCAGTGCCTGCCTATACCGTTGAAACTAAATATCTCTCGACAGGAGGAAGTGATCTGACAGAAGCAATTGTTGCAATACGTTTCTAAGCTAATCTTTTGTTCCTTTCCAAAAAGGATTTGACTTGAAACGTGAGTGCAAATGCTTCATAAATAGGTTGTAGTCATGCGGTAAAAATGGTTCCGCTCTAAAGTCTTCGAGCAGGCTAGTGCTATCACTCAACGCCATATGATAACGGCAAGCGTTTGTGGGGAATCTTCCCGCGTGTGAGAGACGATACCTTACCGATGCCAGATATTTTTAGACACGTACAGATAGCAAGTTCTTCTACACTCTGACACATTTGTCAGGGCGCAGTGACGTAGCAGCTGTGTCACGTGACCGTGCACCTGCAACAGTCACGTGATACCACATCTGGATTTACGAATGTTGTGTTTATCGTAAGGTGATGTCAGATCATTTGCACATTTGGTTTTGCTTGTATAATACATGCTTGGTTTTGAGACGAGGAGATTGACCCTGTTACGGGGTTTTGTTTGCTGTTTTTGTCGGAGACCTCGGTTGTTGAAAAATACGGGAGTTCGGATGAATAAGGATTGAAATAACACGTGTCTTTGGAAATATCCTGAAGTTGAATACAACCTAGTGTAGTCTTCAACTCAACCCCGGGTGTTGCTGGTGAGTAGGTTCAGTTAAAGACTATGTTTATAACCTAGACTGATATCTAGTCTCCGAAATCAGAGACCATATAATATATATATATATATAATATGGTCTCTACCGAGATGAACTGTTTTACAGAGAGAAAAAAACCGTTGTTAAATTAAACTTCTAAAATATGATAAAAAGGAGCCCAGAGACTTTCTTCGTTATCAGATACTGCTGTAATCAAGACTCTATATTATAGACTTGCATGGGCTGTATTGGATATATTTGTTTCAGGATCTGTATGACAGACCAGAGACCATAGACCATATAATATAAAATCTATTATATGGTCTCTGGACAGACTATCTATAACCGTATGTACAGCTTGCAATATATTCCCATATAAAGTGTCGTAGTCTATGTTAAGTTACGCACGAAAACACATTTGCTCCTCTCACATTGTTCCATACTCATATTGAAATGCCGAGACCGACATCGACTTTTGTAACTTCCGTGCCAATAGTTGTTTCAGTATCCTTTCAATTGCTTCCTCTTCATCTTCACATGATGACGTTAATCTACATCTACAATAACAGTGTTCGGTTACCAATTTTTCATCAGATATTGGTGGTATTTTAGACCTTTATGAAAATGAGATCAGTGTCATATGCAAATGTTTCCAAACTGTACATGGGCGTTCTGGGTATGTGAAAATACAGAAGGTTTGATACTTAGCTTTTTACGAGGCGTATATTTGCAATCATTTCCGGTCGGGCAAGTAGTACCACAGATGCATACCTACCGCGAAAAATATTATTTAAACTTTACATTTTAAATAGCATTAGAGACTTCACTTTCTTACACATGATTATGTAAACTTTGCTCTTCACTGAATTAAAGGCCAAGTTAGGACGCGACCTTATTAGTAACTGTTTATGAATCAAAGTTGGATGTATTCCCAACTTCCAAACATGCTGTCCTGACCCCTGTTCCACACATATAAAGCCGTCTTAGTACTAAGACTCTCGTAAGAATCTGCTACAGATCGCGGTCATCTTAGCACTAGGTGAGGTGAAATGGGGTTTAACGTCGCGTCCAAGATTATTGCACTTATATAGCGACGTGCATGTACGTGTGTGTGTGTTTGTGTGGCTGCATGTACTAGTCAGGACTGATGCCGATTTATAGTGCTAGCTCACTGAGATACCATGCCGCAGTTTAACATGAATACCCCACTCAGACACAGTATACTGACTCCGAGCCGACCAGTCCTTGTTTTAGCCCCTTAATGCCGAGCGCCAGACAGGGTAACAACATATACCATCTTTTAACGTCTTTTGGTATGACGCGGCCGGGGATCGAACCCCGGACCTTCCGCTCTCCGGGCGGACGCTCTACCACTAGACAACGGAGCATCTTAGCACTAAGACTCTCGTAAGAATCTGTTACAGATCGCGATCATCTTGGCGCTCTAATCGCTTTGTGGACAGAGTGAGCGAGTGAGTTTGGTGTAACGCCTCTTTGAACAGTGTTTCCGTTATATCAAGGTGTGTCAGTGGGATGTGGAAAGAAAGCCCGAAGTGGTCTCTGAAGTTTACAATTTTGGTGAAAGCCACGAGCACGGGTATGGAGCGGACAAACCTAGATACCTAAATATGGGTAATTTGGGATTCGTACTCACGATCAAAGGTCTCTGACACGTTGGTGGTAGGCAACACTCTGCTCAACGAGTCCCGAGGCAGTTGACTCCTGGGCCACCCGTGCCCTCTAACCGGGACAAAGGCAGCCAAAATACATGTTTGTGGCCAACCCAATTTTACATGGAGCCAAATTCAGATAATGAAGTTAATGTTTCGCTCATACTGGTGAAGTAACATTAATACATATAAAAATTCAATGCGTCCTCGACGTATCCGAGTTTTGAAGACCGAACCCAAAAATGTAGAAATTGTGATCGATACTTGATGTTTGATCAGGTTTGGATACAATGCATAGTCTGTAGGCGACTGCAAAATAAATTATGAGCGCCAAACTAAAATCGGTCGCTAAATTGAGGGCTGCGAAATATATATGTATTATTTATCAACTATTCAATGCATGATTGCGATCTATACTAATGCTGGCATGAACCTATTTATAAAAAACATTGTTAATAATGTGTTTCTCCCGCCAGATGGAGCTGTTGCTGGGAGGTATCCAGGTGACGCTGAGGCACAACCTAGGCGTCCTCCTGTTATGCGACGTCCTCATCCTCATCCTCAACCTCATGGTCATCCTGATCATCCTCATGTCGGAGAGGTTCAGGAGCTCCACCAAGCACCTGCTAATTGTCAATCTAGCCTTTGCCGACCTCCTAATAGGGGCTATAGTGATACCTCTTTATGCAGACTATGGGGAGAAGGGAGAGTGGCAGTTCCCCTGCGCTTTGAGGAACGCACTGACTCTGCTCCAGATAAACATCCTTCCGTCTATAACTACATTATGTGTGTTTGTCATCAATATGGATTACGTGTTCAGGATGGGGTGCTATTTGTACACAAACGGTAAGACAAAGTACGTGATGTCTGGTTCAATGGGTATTTTACCCTGGTTGATATCCGGGGCGCTCCTGGTACCACTATATTTCATGGCCACAGAGCCGGGTCGTCCATATGACGTACTTCCGTGCGTCAGGAGGTACAAGGAAGACGTCACGGCACTGCTACTCATAGCCTTCTCGTTCTTTCCCCAAAGTTTCGTCATCATGGTCACTGGAATTGCTTCTGTCATCGGATACCTCATCAAACGGCGCTCCACGGGGCTGGACATGTTTGGCGAGAGAATACACTCACCAGTGGACATAAGCATGGTCAGTTTTGTCACCATCCTTTTCTATACCCCGTACTTCTGTCTGGCTGTCCCCGTTAACCGAATAAGCTGCAGCACATCCTCAGAGTGTGAAGTCCTTCATACCATTGGCATTATGGCCAGCTGGTTGTTTGTCATCAAGTCCTTTGTCGTGCCCTTGTGTTGGTTCTGTTCTAGAGACTTCAGAGCCGCGTTCAGGAATATTTGCTGTTGGTGTTGCTGCTAGTGACATCGTTGTCGACATCTGAGTTTGGTAGCATCGGTTACTGCTATTGACCGCATCTTTGTCGACGAGTTTGGTATCATCTGCTGCTGGCGATACCACATCATGTTTGACGATTTCAGATCTGGTTACGAAGGCCGACAACACAGCATTTTGCGAATAGCTTCAGATTGTGCAGCTAGAACGAAGTCACGGAACAATCCCCTGAATGTGTGAACATCACGTTGGTACTGAGAAATGATAAACCCATGTTGTGTCCTAACTGTGTAGGCCTTATGTACGATGGACCTGTGTTGTATCGCCTGCTGACAATATAGGTGTTCGAAGGTTACCATATTGAACTGATACTAGACCAGCGGTCCCGGTTTGACGAACGCACTGAAGCAGATCCACATGTATTTCTTCAACTGGTAGAACTGACCTAAAGTAACCAACATCCATTGCCTGCTGCAATGCAAGGAACGGTAAACAAGCATTCACACAACGTGACACGTAACTTGTTCTGCATGACGCAAGGACTGTACTGTTCTCTCACACTGATGGACATCGAGGAACAGTGTGTGTGTGCAGGGTGAAAGTGGGGGCGGGGGTACCTTGAGGAGGTTTGCACAAAAAGACCAAGACCATAACATCGCAGACAAGCCAGGTCTTGTTTGTTTCACTCAACCTGGATTAGAATAAATACTTGTATTGAATGCCCGTTGCCTTATGTAAGATGTTTGTTGTGAGTATGTACTTAGGAACTACCCTTGCTGCGTGTATCATATGTGACGAAGTGCTACAATGTCTGCGGTAATGTGAAACGTTGTTTGACCAATCCACGTACAATTCAATGACCAGCGTATTGAATTTGTTTTTAGTAAAAACTGAGCTAATATTATACTTTTCAATTTATTTTCGGGACAAATTTGGTTTTCGGTCCCTCATACAGTCAAGGCAATTCCTAACAACATATGAGAAATCAGGCGTTTGCAGACCTAAGTAGTTCACTACTGATTGTACATAGTGAGTTGTGTCACTACTGATTGCACACAGTGAGTTGTGTCACTACAGGCTGTGTAATGCTGACGGGCGAGGCACTCCACTCGTCTGGCTCCTGGAGTTGGACGCTGATTGATGGAACCAGGCGGGACAGTTGTGACAAGCGATATACACCTAACGTCCTCTGTGTTATTTGTGGTTTATGGATTGTGGTGATGTTTTAGGAACGGGACAAGTCTCAGAGAACAGACGAGACAGCACAGATGTGATGGAGAAAGTCTTAAGACTCCTTTACAAGGAGCAAGTTACAGAACACAATTTGTTGGACTGACTGATGGTACCTTTCATCGAATATGCATGCTTAATGGTCGTGACTTAGACCACATGGACTTAAATTACTGCTATGTCCACAGAAAAACTATGCGTTCTGTATAAGAATTCACTTGTATTGGTGTCTAACTAATATTAATGTTACTATTGACACATAAACTGTCAGACAAAAGAAAGTAAACACTTTAAAATTGGAAGTGACAAAAAAAATACAAACGTTATGAAACTACACAAATAGTCGCCGAAACATTGCAGACTTAGGTCCAAAACACAACTGTGATATCCGTATCAAATAATTCCCATCGAATAACCATTTATTTTTTCTTTTCTTTTCTATATTGTTTATTTGATAACGAAATCGTGAATTCTTCTGTATGGTGACGGATAGCATAGTTTCTGTTAGACCATGTATAATAACTTGGTTGACGGATTTGTGGAATACAAACATAGATGATCGAAGTGTAATTGCAGTAATCTATTTAACGTAATTTTTTTTTATCAAGAAAAAGGTTGACATAAAGATAATGAAATTGAAGAAACGGGCTACACGAGGAGTTCAAGGGTTACCTCCCTTTTCCTATATATCGGCTTTGGATTAATTTTATTCATGAAGGTTGTTCTCTCGGCGGGACGATGTTTTCTTTTCCTTTAACATTTTTTATATATTTAGGATAGCGGATCCGTAAACTAAGTAATAATAAATGGCGGTACATATAGCGCCGTGTGTAATTCACACATAGCATCACGTACAGTCGGCACTGGAAGTAAGACAACATAATAAAATTAGGCGTTGTGAGTCATGCTCTATCTTAGCCTGTAGCGGAAGAGAATAATGTAGAAAAGTTTAAACATGAATGTTGGTGTCAAGAATACGGTAGTAACGCATCTATGCTGCACAGAGTGTGATAGGGATACTGGGCTGTTCATTTTGTGCAAGGCGTATGCCAAGGATGCGCATGATTCCTTGATGAGAATCGACCCTAGTGGTTGTGTGACGAGCTCACGCACACACCACCGTGCCACCGCGCATAACCAACTCTCTAGGACTGTCAACCTCTGATTGGAGTGAAAACGTTAAGAAAACAGTTTAAGCAGATCATAATCATCGACAGTTTATATGTCTGAAAAACCTGCATGTATCCATGGTAGCAAAACGATTATTTATTTACCAATGCATGTAACAATTATGAAGAAACATAATGAATTGTAAACACAGCTAACCGATACTCTTTACTTGCAACATAAGAAACGTCGTTTATCAGTAACATTTGAAATGCTATCCAGTGCTTATTTTGTCAAGATCAGCTCCTCCTAAGAAATGTTCCCTTAACTACTTAAACGAGCATCGTTCAGGTTAATGAAGATCTTGGCTGATATTGATGTTCTGGTTATAGCTCGAATATGTATCGCTGGTGTTTAAAATCATTCGTTACGTTTTTTGTAAGCGGAATGGAGGCACAATCCTTAGCTTGTGGCACCGTGTACTCACATCTTGAAGTAGTTTTTACCCTGCAACTGCCCATAGTTGGAATGAGAACAATTTGTTGGTGCCAAGCCTTTCATGTCAGTCAGGCTTGCTGTCTCCATCTAATTCCCGGCTTTTAAAGCGATATAACGACCCGTGTGTTAAAACATAGGAAAGTGTAAATTCCGTGAGACGTTGACAAATGGATCTGACATTTTTATTTCACGGCACGATCGTATTCGCTTGGGTGATATTTTGGAAAATATTTATCATTTGAAGAGGGTTTAACTTGTCGACGTTGAAAGTGCTCAGTATGGTCCCAGTTAAGAAAGGTCACAAGTTTTTGAATTTTTTTTTGTGATTCATATGTGTTGAAAATAAATCTTTCCAACCTAGCATTCTGATGTTCGGCAATAGTGCGCATCTACTGATACTGCAGACATTTCAGTTACTAGACAAGGGAGATAACATAACTGAGTTTTCTTGTTTGTCTTTTCACTCTTATGACCACGCATCTGAATCCAGAATAGAAATAGCAATATCGTCAATAAATCATGAAAACATCCATAAAATTCAAATTCATAAACATATCTCAGATTCACTAAAGACTCGTCATAATATGTGTCTTTTAGCATCTTACACGATAACATCGTTTACCCCTCAAAGTCCACTGGAAATACATCGAGCTATATCGTTATACATACTTCGAGTGTACCGAACACATACCGTAGTGTCGATGTAGGATTATTTCGGGACCATGAATTGACATCCTCCTTAGCGACACTTGGAGTTAAAGGAGTTCGAGTTACGAGGTTGCTCGCTCGATTAATTTGGTCTATAATTTACAGGAACCGGGACCATCGAAAATACATCGAGTTATGCGTACTTCGAGAGTACCGAACATCTACCATAGTGGCGGCATAGCAGGGTCGGGACCATGAAGTTTGTTCTCTAAGTCATATACTAGTTTAAATGAGTCGAGATAGCAAGGTTGCTTTCTATTTGATCATGGTCGACAATTCACAGCAATCGGAATACCTTCAGTGGCGGTCTGGAAAGTTATGGTCACACTACAAGTCACTGATGTTCCCATTTCTTTCTGACAATGCACCCCATCCTTCTGACTTTTATATGTTTGAATAAAGATAAAACTTCATGCAGTAAACTTCATGACCAGATCGTTTTACACGTGCATCTAAATACATTTTGCCAGGGCTACGGTCAAACGTTTCCAAATCTGACAGTTTGTACCTATCTCAAAATATCTACAACGGGTGCCCAGGTAGGGTCGGGTAATAGGGTGGTGGGTACCCGGGTAGTAAATCTGGACTCGTCCCAGCCCTATAATCTATATCAAGTGGCGAAACAATAAATGTCAATGCTGACCTAACAACAGAAAACTGACCCGAAAAGGTTTAGCCCCTGACCTCGAATGGTGTCACCTGTCACGTGATCAATATTGACTTTGTCTGCTAGGAAACAACATGGCGTCTGTGAGTGGCAATACATGCGGTTAACGGTTCGACGAATTTCTGAAGATTTCTTGAAAAAGCTTGAAAACAGGGACAAAAACTGTGAATTAAATAAAATTTGGTACAACCAAACAATTGATTATATAGGCTTATATAGGGACCAAACATTAAGATTCATGTATATGGCTGTATTCATGGATTGCAGTGAACATATCTGACTAAATAACAATGAAATGGCTGGCCACCAGACATTGACCACTTGAACATTCTCCAGGCATATTATTCAGCATCTCATTTGTGAAGTGCCAAGTAAATGGAGAAGATATACCATTATTGTTACACTCATTTATCTTGACGAAACCATGGACCCGCCCATTGTGCATGGACATATAGCATGACACGTGACCGCAGCATAATTCCCATAATACACCCGAGTCTTTTCGTCATTGTAACTTACTTACGTATATACATATGTAGACATAATATTCATGTAACATACTTATACTGTAGATATCAACTGTATATTTGTTTGTAAGTTTTGTACTACTTGAAATTAATAAAACTACTTATTCTTATTGTGTTGCATTTTTGTAAATTGGACATTGTGAGGCGAAACCGTGATGGACCAACACTGCAGCATGTCCACCGACGCGATAGTGAGCTCCGCACCGTCTCACCACTGGCCACCATCAACGAGCGACTGAGGTTTTCTTCAATTGCCTTATTACAGCACTATCGGCGATATCAGTGAGCCTTGTCACAGCAATATCGTCAATTTCAATAAGCCTTATCACAGCAATATCAATGAACCTTAGAAAAAATAATATTAAAGCAATACCAAAGGACCTTATATTACAGTAATATCAATGAGCCTTATTACAGCAATTTCGGCAATATTACTGAGCAGGCTCACTACGGCAATATCAATAAACGTTATTACAGCAATATCAATTGGCCTTTCTACGGCAATATCTTGATCCTTGTTGCTTCCTTCCTCTCGTCTTACTGTAAATATTTGCGACCTAACCATCATCTAAAAGACAACAGATGATGCCTTGACAGACTTTATTTCTAAAAAAAGACACCAATACATGTATCCTAATATTTGCATTGTTTATTTTTGCACAAACCCCAGTACATTCAGAAATATTCAAGGGGTTAAATGACATTAGCATCAATGTATCCATTTTAATACATACCAGTGTTGCTGAGAAACACAAACAAATTTTACATAACTTTGACGATAATATGATTTATATTCCATTTCTGCTCATATATACAATTATATATAATCTTGAGACATAATGCTTTTGTATAGAATCATATAAGCACCAAGCTGTCTTGCAACTGTCCTTGGATATTACACAGTGACATACTCCTCTTGCAAACTGTCAGTTGATTCCGCCTTTGGAGTCTATGTTGCAGATTGTAAATTAGAGGTGAAAATCAATTGGTATAAAACAATCAGTTATAATCAGTAAATAAACCTTTTGTATAGTTTCCTATGAGGTATCATTCTATGTAATTGCCCATTCTTTCATTATCAAAATATATTGCAGACTCTAGGCTTTTGAGACGACATTGACCAAAGTGAAACCAGTAAATTCATATAATAATAAATCAGAACATACCAAGTAAACAAACATTAATAGTTTGGTCACATGCTCCAAAAAGATCATTGCATTTTTGGTCATTTTCTAAAACATATTACAAGTGTATTCATATTTTGGGTGTCCGCATGATGTTCATTAAATAAACTTTGGACATGGGTTGCTATTATATAGTGAAATCAGTACCGAAGCCCCCGCTTGTATTGTTTCACATTTCCCAGAATGAGTAGGATCCACAAATGTATCCTATTATTGATGAGACTGCAATATATTGGGTCATCAATGAACAATGACAGGAACCTTCTGTATGCTTCACTTGTAGTACAACTTAGTATGACTTTAAAGGAACGAGTAGAGGTTGTCAGATTAGATTAGTGACTTTGGACATGTTTCTATCTAAGGCTTTCCATCTTTAACACATCCTTACATTTTAAGTCAATCATCATTGGAATGTTTGCCACAAAAAGACATATTTATTTTTATTTTCTCAAAATTAATTTGATTGCACAAAAAGCAAAATGTATACTTTAACCCTTCAAATTCAATCCACAGAGCATATCCTTGAGTTCAACATCATGTTTTACCACTTTCTTAACTGATGATAAAATGTCTGCTAAACTATCCTTGTAAAAACAGTTTCCTTGGCAACATACTATTCTTAAGGATGCTACAAGAAACACTGAGAAGAAAAGAAATCTACAACATCCATACTTGAAGGTCATGGATACACTGTGAACCTAGTGTATACACGATCATGAAGTATAGGCGCTGTGTTCCTGGAGGAACGTTGTGTATAGAAGACTGTGAAGTATAGACGATGTGTTCCTGAAGGGACATCGTGTATACTGTGAAGTACAGTGATCCCTCGCTACAACCCTACTTTTGGGGTCAAAATAATTGATGAGCGTTATAGACGATCAGCGGTTTAACCGAGGTGGAGTTGTAGGTGGTTGTTGACCAACAAAACAGTACATGCTCTACCTACCTAACACGATCTACGCTGCATGGTTAAAAAAAGATTAGAAAAGTAGTTGTTTATGATTCACAGTGTAAAAAAAGATTTATTGAGTGTTATGCGTTTTAAAAAAACCAGGGGTATAACAAACTTGATCAATAAAAAAATGAAATTTGATATAAAACATCACTAGACATGATGATTTACCATTTAAATTGTATTTCCTGCTCTCAAAGGCACAATAGCGAGGGAACACTGTATAGATGATGAGCTCCTAAAGGGATGTCGTGTATACAAGACTGTGAAGTATAGACGATGTGTTCCTGAAGGGATGTCGTGTATACAAGACAGTGAAGTATAGCCGATGTGTTCCTAAAGGGATGTCGTGTATACAAGACTGTGAAGTATAGACGATGTGTTCCTAAAGGGATGTCGTGTATACAAGACTGTGAAGTATAGCCGATGTGTTCCTAAAGGGATGTCGTGCATACAAGACTGTGAAGTATAGCCGATGTGTTCCTAAAGGGATGTCGTGTATACAAGACTGTGAAGTATAGACGATGTGTTCCTAAAGGGATGTCGTGTATACAAGACTGTGAAGTATAGACGATGTGTTCCTGAAGGGATGTCGTGCATACAAGACTGTGAAGTATAGACGATGTGTTCCTAAAGGGATGTCGTGTATACAAGACTGTGAAGTATAGCCGATGTGTTCCTAAAGGGATGTCGTGTATACAAGACTGTGAAGTATAGACGATGTGTTCCTGAAGGGATGTCGTGCATACAAGACAGTGAAGTATAGCCGATGTGTTCCTAAAGGGATGTCGTGTATACAAGACTGTGAAGTATAGCCGATGTGTTCCTAAAGGGATGTCGTGCATACAAGACTGTGAAGTATAGACGATGTGTTCCTGAAGGGATGTCGTGTATACAAGACTGTGAAGTATAGACGATGTGTTCCTGGAGGAACGTCGTGCATACAAGACAGTGAAGTATAGAGGATGAGCTCCTAAAGGGATGTCGTGTATACAAGACTGTGAAGTATAGACGATGTGTTCCTGGAGGAACGTCGTGCATACAAGACTGAAGTATAGACGATGTGTTCCTAAAGGGATGTCGTGTATACAAGACTGTGAAGTATAGACGATGTGTTCCTGGAGGAACGTCGTGCATACAAGACAGTGAAGTACGGTTGTGTACACTTCACATATGAAGGAAGATGTGCAGGGTTTTCTCCACACAGTCATGTCTCATGATTAAGTAAAGTAGAAGCACTTCATGTGCTAAATGAAAGAGAAACACTCCTGCAAAATAAATTGTTTTAAGGGCATTTCTTAGTTGACAGATGACAAAGTAGACACAATTCAAGGATAAAAACTTAGACATTTTGATTTGCTACATCTTGTGATTACACAACAACGGTTTTAATCATATATTCCAGCATTATCTCAGCCGGGGAGCCAAATATGGGCTTCATATTGTACCCATGCTGGGGATCGAACCCAGGCCTTCAACGAGAAGAACGAACACTTTAACCACAAGGCTACCCCAAGACCCCTATTACTCAGATGAGTGATGGGATGTGAGCACTGGATAACAGTATCTGTAAGATGAAAAGCCAGAGCACTCAATCATAATTTCTGATTATCAAATCACAAATCAATATATCCTACAATTCTATGACAAAAGATAAAATGAACTGGTGAGTAGGGTTTACACCTCTTTTAGCAACATTCCATATGGATGGTTATAACCCCCCACCCCCCGCCAAACCTGTCCTTACAAATTGCAATATACATTGAAGGATGAACTCCTTTCACACCAGGCATGAGTGAGTGAGTAGGGTTTTAGGCCACTTTCAGCAATATTACAGCAATATCACGGCAGGGGACACCAGAAATGGGCTTCACACTGTACCCATGTGGGGTATGAAACCCAGGCCTTCGGCATGATGAGCTAATGCTTCAAACACTAGGCAACCCCACTACCCTTCCCAGAAGTAAATAAATCACAAGTGAAGGTTCGTTGCAATCACCATGGTGTTTGACACAAGTTCAAGAGTCATATAAATGAAGAGAATCGGCATGATACAGATTTTCATCTTACAGACTAAATTACTTTAAAATTAAGTTGAAATAAATAAATAAATGTTTTGTTCTAATCCATCAAGGCTACTTTTTGCCAAGAGAGCTCTTTATATCTTTGAGCAGCATTGTCCCAATCACCATCTTCTCGCAATTGACAGTCAGAGTTGCTTTGGATTCCTTAACTTTCACAGTCACCAACACAAGCGTGCCATCACCTAATGTTTTGGCGGAAAATCTGTAGGTGTTTTCTTCTGACGACGGTACTTGTAACACATTCGCAGCTGTATGAACACAGGAACAAATAGCCTTCGGTGACTGGTTCGTTTCAGGAAGCTCTGTACTTCCAGAATTTTCATTCATTCCTCCAAGTTTACCTGCAGCACACAAGAAGGGAACTTTCTCAAGTGTGTCCATCATGCATTATTACATGTATTCACTGATATAAATGATTATGCAAACTGCAAAGATCTAGGTTTCACTGAGTGAGATTCTACTCAACTGTATGTAAGAACAGATTTCCCCTGCATCTGGCTAACTATTTAGAGAATAACCAACACGCTACAAGGAATAATGGATTGTTATTTGTTTGGTGTTTAACGCCGCACTCAGCAATATTCCAGCTATATGATGGTGGTCTGGAAATAATCGAGTCTGCACCAGGCAGTCCAGTGACTGACATTATGAGCATCAATCTGCACAACTGGCATATGATGACATGCATCACCCAATTCAGTGAGCCTGACCACCCTATCCCATTAGTTACCTCTTACAACGAGCATGGGTTGCTGAAGACCCGGATCTTCATGTTGGAATTTTGGACTGACTGTCCCGAGAGAATGAATGGTGTTAAGGCAAGAGACATTCATTTACCAGGTGCAGATATATCACAATTCCGAGATTCAAGTAGGTTATTCTGCATATTTCTCATTGACATTTCAAGAAAAAAATGAAGGAAAAAAAGCATGAAATATCAACCCTACAGAGAAACTTCACTGAAGACAGCCTTTTGTTCAGATGACATAATTCAATATATCTGTGACGTCATGAACAATGGATGATGTCATGTTGCAATTTTCTCAACAATGAAGCACTGTGACATCATGTGGCTTCAACTGACCAGTCCATAATGAGAATCAGTAAAATGCACATGTGCAAATATTGGGAAGTTATTACACACAATCATTCTACCCTTTAGGTACAATACATAACAGTTATATGCACTTCCAGACAAATGCTGCCTCTGCCGTTTTGAAAAGCACATGTTCCAAAAGAATTCATTAAATTATTGCAAAGTAGGATTCACTTGACAAAACAGTCTCTTTGATGTCCCAAAACTTACAGAATAAAGTTAATAATACATTTAACATTCAAAACTGCCCCTTTGTGGAACAGATTTGAAACAAGGAAGCACCAGTTTTAATTCCAATGATGTGAAATGTTACCTTGTTGACTTCGAAAGTCGCCTTCATTCATTGTGTAGGGCTGCACCAGCTCTCCAACAGGGGCGGAGATATTAACACTATATTTCTGTTCTTGTGTACAAAGGTCAAACGTTGCTGGCTGTGTCGTGTCGTTGTAGTTGATGCCAAAGAGAACCGATGTGGACGACCCTGCACCGAGTGTAGCTGTAATGCAAACAGGAATTGCTGTCAACATGGAACTTCACAATTACTGCACTCTTATAGCGTGTGCATGTGTGTCTGCTTGTACTTGTCAGGACTAAAGCCGGTTTTATAGAGCTAGGCCACTGAGATACCATGCCATAATTTGACATGCCCCATTCAGACACGGTATACTGACTTCAAGTCAACCAGTCCTTGAATTATTCCTGTAATGCAGGTTTAGAACTAATCTCAAAAGCTTTACTACCCCGGGTAAAGATATAATGCCCCTGTAATGTTAAAACAATGGGATTTGTACTTGCCCTCAGGAATTTGTACTATCCCCGGTCTAGTGGGCAAGTGTTAAGTTCTAACCCCTAAATAAGGCCTGTACATTATACAATTATTTACTGGATTAGCCAATCAATGATGAACAGTCTTGGAAGATATCAGCTGGTACCCTTGGTCTTGCTGTACTGATGGACAATACAGTCGGACACCTGAATACCCAATAACGCCTGCTTTTCCTTGGGGTTCTGACCCAATATAATACCAGACACATGCTTCCTCATATTACCGTTTCCGTTATACTTACTATCGGCTTTTAACAACATTTTCATGAACACTGACAGGTGGCTTACCTATTTCTGGGAATTCCTGTACTTCCATTCCTGGTTGTAGTTTCTGGAAACACCATGTTCAATATCATTGAAGATTTACAATGAACAGACATGCAAGCCATGCCAACTCACACTCCAGGGGGTACACAAAGTACCTTATCTACACTACCAGTTGTCAGACTGTTGTAATCCCAAATATAAGATATGTAATACAACTTACAATGTTACAAACCCCCTAGACAACAGCAAAGCGCTTTAAACCATGAACCAAACACCCTTGACTTGACACACGTTCCATACTTCCTGTCAGACACAGCTCACAGGTGTCACCATGTGTGTGTGGCTGCTTGTACTAGTCAGAACTGATGCCGATTTTATAGTGCTCGTCCGCTGAGATATCATGCTGCAGTTTAACATGAATACTCCACTCCGACACAGTATACTGACTCCAAGCCGACCAGTCCTTGTTTTAGCCCCTTAATGCCAAGCCAGACAGGGTAACAACAAGTACCATCTTTTAAATTCTTTTGGATTGATGCATCCGGGGATTGAACCCTGGACCTTTCCTTCTCCAGGAAGACACTCTACCACTTGACCATGGATGTGGTCTCTGCTCTGGGAGGAAAAAATTGGGGATGAAAATCTACCCTGACAGATTGCATGACAATGGTTATATCCCTACATACCTTATCTCCCATGGTGATATTTGCGACAGGCGCATCTCCACTGTTGGTGAGAGTCAGTTCAATGGACACCATCTTTGGTGAGAAGATTGATATGGACCTGGTGAACTTGTACTCCACTCCGAGGCCGTTACCTTTGATTCTGTTGAGGAGCTCGTAGGACTTGGAGGGGACTATGACTGGCTGGGGCTGAACGAACATAAGGTGAGACTCCTATACAGGCTCAATCTCAATGTATTAGCATGGTAGTGATGTGAAATTGGGTTAACGTCATGTTCAAGATGACTGACCTTATATAGCGACATGAATGTCTGTTTGTCTGCTTGTAATAGTCCAGACTAATGATGATCCTATGGTGCTAGCTCACTGAGATACCATGTCATAGTTTAACATGGATACTAGGGCTGGGACAATACACCAACTGTGTGATCCGATACGTATCACGAAACCTTGCTCACGATCTGATACGTATCATGATACATATACTTGCATGTGCTCTGATCTGTGGTACGTAAGCCATCATTTTCATAGACAAGATGGCCAAATACCTGGCACACTAACAATTCACATTTGGCAGTGTCAAGTATTGCGCAATGGATGAAAATATTTACGTTTTCACAACTCATTTTCACTAGTATTTACTGTCTAAGGTAACATTTATTAAAACCAATCTCGCAACCTCCCCAGCCTATAATAAATGACCAGCCCTTAATTGCACTGTACATGCTTATCGTCATCATCTTCATAGTTTATTATAGGAATAGTGAATGAATGTTGTCTAATGCTGCAGTTAGCAATATTCCGGCAGCATCATGGTGCCATCTAAATAAATCAAGAATGGCCTAGGCAAACCACTGACTGAAAGCATGAGCCACTATTCACACTATTGATAAAGTATCAACAAACTTACTACTTGTTCATCATAATTAAAATTTTCTATAAGAATTTTGAGGTGAAAGTTTAAGTTGCTATACTATGGACAAAAATTCATGAAAGGCTTACAAGATCTGCAAAGTTTACTCTCCTAAAATACCCTTATCATCATCTGATTCTTCAAAATATTTGTACATCTGCCAGAACATCTATTTCTAATTTAACATTTTAACATAACCACTTAAAACCACCATCTGTGTCACCATGGTGACTGCCTTTATCTTACAACACACATACTTTCTACAAACATGAATGTATAGAACAGATTTATCCAAAGTTTGAGACATGGAACTAAACTCATGCCACAGCCTTGTTCCCTCAGCTGGTAGTTATTCTCCCGCTACTCACCATAGCAACATTAGTAGGTGAGGCTCTATCACTGATTGAGAGGTTGCTCATACTGGAGGCCATGGTCGGGGTCAGCATATCACCGGGAGTCACAGGAGTACTGCCTGCACCCATTGACCCCACTGGAAACAACAGTCACAGTTCATACACATCCAAGCAGAGCTGGCCCTTTCTCCTTAAAGTGTCTGTATGTGTGTTGGTATGTATGTGTGTATGTTGTATATAATCATGTGGTTGAAGGCTTGTAAAACAAGGAAAAGCATGGGGTACCATTGTTTGAAATTAAGCTTGATATTCAAGGGGTCCTTGTTATTGCACTAATGTCATAATTTAAAGATTTAGCAGGTTCTAGATATAAAAAATTAGTACTATAGTAGCAAACATCAAGAACTCCAGGACCCCCCTTTAATTTCTAACACTATGGAATTAAGGTCCTGATCTGCCTTAAGGCCTACATGGGCTTCTCCTAAGAGCATGTCGAGATCTGGCAAATAAACATTATCACAATGTACAATTTCCATCTATAGACAATAGGTAAACACCAAAGTATGTGATTAAACCATGAGATGCTGTGTGCCACTATGAACTGCTGTGTGCTGCTGTGTGCTACTTTGCGCTACTATGAGCTGCTGTGTGCTGCTGTGAGCTACTGTGTTAGTATGAGCTGCTGTGTTACTGTGAGCTGCTGTATGCTGCTGCGTGTTACTGTGACCTGCTGTTTTTCTTTGAGCTGATGTATGTTACTGTAAGCTGCTGTGTGTTACTGTGAACTGCTGTATGCTGCTGTGTGTTACTGTGAGCTGCTGTTTCTTTGAGCTGCTGTGTTAGTGTGTGCTGTTGTGTTACTGTATGCTGCTGTGTTTCTTTGAGCTGCTGTGTTACTGTGACCTGCTGTATGCTGCTGTGTGTTACTGTGAGTTGCTGTGTTTCTTTGAGCTGCTGTATGTTACTGTAAGCTGCTGCATGTTACTGTGAACTGCTGTATGCTGCTGCGTGTTACTGTGAGCTGCTGTATGCAGGTGCGTGTTACTGTGAGCTGCTGTGTGCTGCTGTGTGTTACTGTGAGCTGCTGTATGCTGCTGTGTTTCTTTGAGCTGCTGTGCTACTGTGAGCTGCTGTATGCTGCTGTGTTTCTTTGAGCTGCGGTGTTACTGTGAGCTGCTGTGTTACTGTGAGCTGCGGTGACTGTGAGCTGCTATATGCTGCTGTGTGTTACTGTGAGCTGCTGTGTTACTGTGAGCTGCTATATGCTGCTGTGTGTTACTGTGAGCTGCTGTTACTGTGAGCCTCTATATGATGCTGTGTGTTACTGTGAGCTGCTGTATGTTACTGTGAGCTGCTGTGTTACTGTGAGCTGCTGTTACTGTGAGCTGCTGTGTTACTGTGAGCTGCTGTATGCTGCTGTGTCACTGTGTGCTACTGTATGTTACTGTGAGCTGCTGTGTTACTGTGAGCTGCTATATGCTGCTGTGTGTTACTGTGAGCTGCTGTGTTACTGTGAGCTGCTGTGTTGCTGTGAGCTGCTATATGCTGCTGTGTGTTACTGTGAGCTGCTATGTTACTGTGAGCTGCTGTGTTACTGTGAGCTGCTGTGTTACTGTGAGCTGCTGTATGCTGCTGTGTTACTGTGTGCTACTGTGTGTTACTGTGAGCTGCTGTGTTACTGTTAGCTGCGGTATGTTACTGTGAGCTGCTGTATGCTGCTGTGTTTCTTTGAGCTGCTGTGTTACTGTGAGCTGCTATATGCTGCTGTGTTACTGTGTGCTACTGTGTGTTACTGTGAGCTGCTGTGCTACTGTGAGCTGCTGTGCTACTGTGAGCTGCTGTATGCTGCTGTGTTACTGTGAGCTGCTGTGAGATGCTGTGTTTCTTTGAGTTGCTGAGTTACTGTGAGCTGCTGTGTTTCTTTGAGCTGCTGTGTTACTGTGAGCTGCTGTGTTTCTTTGAGCTGCTGTGTTACTGTGAGATGCTGTATGCTGCTGTGTTTCTCTATGAGCTGTTGTGTGCTACTGTGAGCTGCTGTGTTTCTTTGAGTTGCTGTGTTACTGTGAGTTGCTGTGTTACTGTGAGCTGCTATGTTACTGTGAGCTGCTGTGTTACTGTGAGCTCCTGTGTGTTACTGTGAGCTGCTGTATGTTACTGTGAACTGCTGTGTTACTGTGAGCTGCTGTGTGTTAATGTGAGCTGCTGTGTTTCTTTGAGCTGCTGTATTACTGTGAGCTGTTGTGTGTTACTGTGAGCAGCTGTGTGTTACTGTGAGCTGCTGTATGTTACTGTGAGCTACTGTGTTACTGTGAGCTGCTGTGTGTTACTGTAAGCTGGTGTGATTCTTTGAGTTGCTGTGTTACTGTGAGCTGCTGTGTAAGTGAGCTGCTGTGTGTTACTGTGAGCTGCTGTGATTCTTTGAGTTGCTGTGTTACTGTGAGCTGCTGTGTTACTGCGAGCTGCTGTGTGTTACTGTGAGCTGCTGTGATTCTTTGAGTTGCTGTGTTACTGTCAGCTGCTGTGTTTCTTTGAGCTGCTGTATGCTGCTGTATGCTGCTGTGTTTCTCTATGAGCTGTTGTGTGCTACTGTGTGTTACTATGAGCTGCTGAGTGTTACTGTGAACTGCTCTGTTACTGTAAGCTGCTGTATGCTGCTGTAAGTTACTGTGAACTGCTGTATACTGCTGTAAGTTACTGTGAGCTGCTGTGTGCTACCGATCTATTCAGTGGTGTACTTACAATCATCCAGATCAAGCAGTAGATCACCCTCCTTCTTGGAGGATGCTTTGTCTTCTTTAGTCTTTGATTTTTCTGGCTTGGTTTCCTGAAGACAAAGATCATACTTTCGACATGAAGACTACACTTGTATGATGTGTGACTGTGAGTGAGTGAATGGATACCGCTAGCTGTTCATATGCACATTTCAAGATGAAAATACTGATGTATGTAGACACCTAATTAAGAAATAGATGACTTGTGGCCATTGTGTTTATGTACAATAAAACACTGCAGGGAGAATCAACCACAAGGGGCACAGCAACATTAAGTGAGTGATTGAGTGAGTGATTGAGTGAGTGAAAGAGTGAGTGAGTGAGTGAGTGTATGGTTTTACGCCGCTTTTAGCAATATTCCATATATCACGTTGAGGGGTACCAGAAATAGGCTTCACATATTGTACCCATGTCGGGAATCGAACCCGGGTCTTCGGCGTGACGAGCGAACAATTTAACCACTAGGCTAACCGACCACCCTATGCCTCTTTAAGGATGTTGATAAAATGTACAAGCTTTAAAAATATTAACCCAAATTTTAACAAGGATGACTCCCTAAATAGAATCTGACCCAGAAATGTCGGACAAGTCCATTTTATGGACAGGTGGGTTAAGTTTGGTATTTCCCGCATATTCTCACAATCCTCACGTCGATTATCTGTACCTTTTCTCCTAGTGCCGATTGTCATATCTCCTAACACTTCCTGACAATATTTGACAGCACGGACCATGTAATTACACCAATATGTTCTGACCAAGCAGAGACAGATAAACTTAGATGGTCAGTTGTTAGTTTCTACAAAGCTGTGCACCACACTGCAGAAGAAATGGCAAAGGTTCTGAAACCAAAGACTTACTATCGTTGTTGAAAAGTGCCGGGCTGCTTGATGGCTATTTACTGTAAGTAATTATGAGTGACACATTGCAGCCTACATCCTTGATGTGAGTGAGTGAGTGAGTGAGTATGGTTTTATGCTGCTTTTAGCAATATTCCAGCAATATCATTGCGGGGGACACCAGAAATGGGCTTCACACATTGTACCCAACATCCTTGATGTGAAATGGCCCAGATGGGTGTGTGGCTGCTTGTCATGTCGTATAGTGTCATCCAATTACCGGTACGCCAAAACCAATGAGATAGATATGTTATCATTACACTGGTAGAGCTGATCACTGACACAAGCACTGGATGTGCGTTACAAAGTGCAGTAGTTCCTGTTCAACTCGGGTAAGGACAAATGTAACCAAAGTCTAGGTGACCATTTATTTCCTCACCTCTACAAGTGTATGTCAGCCACCTATTTGAACAGTAAGAGCTAGTTCTCAAGCAGAGCTAGCCATTTCCGCTATCAATACACAAAACAATCGCAGCCATAGTTTCCTACTAATCTTAACAGTTCCTCAAACAGATACTGCTTTAAAATGTATCAATGCCTCAATGTAATGCAAGATGTCTGACATTTACTTACTGATCATATACTGCCTCATCACTAACCTTCTTAACTGGCTTTTTCTTGACAACAACCTCTTCCTCTGAAGACGATTCCTCCTCCTCACTGTCTTCCTCAGAGGAGTCCTCTTCTTTGCTGGAGTCCTCGTCCTCACTTTCCTCTTCTTCCTCCTCCTCCTCACTCTCCTCTTCCTCTTCTGACTCCTCCCCAGACTCTTCTTCCTCCTCCGCCTCCTCCGAGTCCTCTTCCTCACTCTCATCTGACCCGGATTCCGCATCGGAGTCATCTGAACACAAATCACATTTATCACAGGAATCTTCTGAAGGAATCTGTTATTACATTGATGGTAATTTACGGATAGAGTAAAACCTTTCAACTAAACGTTCTTGGGACCAGTGACAGTATATCAAGTTATGCAATAGTTGGAGAAAAGATGACCAATCAGAAACATACATTCACGTCAAATCGAGTTTATGTAGTTCAAGTTTACCAGTATTGAATACATTTTGAAACCAAACAGTTGTATTTCTTTCAGCCCCAAATTCTGTGAACATCTGTGGAATATTTCAAAAAAGTGTATGTACATTCATGTATTGTATCAGTAGTTTAACATCTCAACATTGTACAACATGGCCTCCAGCAATGGAGTCTTGGTCTTGCATTTAGAAGTTGGAATAACATGAGTGAGTGAGTTGGGTTTAATGCCGTTTTTAACAGTATTCCAGTTATATCACGGCGTGTCAGCTTAATGTTGGAGGAAAGCCCGAAGTGATGCAGGTCTCAGATGTTTACCACTTCGGTGAAACCCATGAGCACGGGTATGGTGCTGACAAACCTAGAAACATAATCGGGGTGAACAGGGATTCGAACCCACAATCATAGGTTTCTGGCGTGACCAAGGGACGCAACTCTGCACAGCGAATCGCGGCGCCTTAGACGACTGGGCCCCCTGTGCCCCCAGGAATAACATGAGAACCTGATTAGTTGTTTGTAAAGGCTTTTGGGGCTGCTTCTTCTACACTCATCATCAAGGGAATACTCAGTAAGTCCATGTTAAGTCAATATGCATACAGACTGATGTATGTACACACAGGGCGGGGTACAAAAGTCACAAGATAACAGGGGAGCCAATGGAGGTAATGAGCAGGCTATTCCTTTTTCTACTTACACAAGACTGAAAAAATAAAATCATAATTTAAACGTCACAAATTATTTTAAAATTATGTTATTGTTCAGAAGTGTAAATGTACTCTACTGGAAGTCAGAATATTTATTTTCTGTCTCAGTAAAGAAACATAATGCTGAAGGGAAAGAACTGACCAGGAACCGAACACATAAAACTGTACTACACCACACCTCTTATCCATCCATATACTACCAGGGACGTATCTATATCTGCTCAGAGGCTGATATTTGGCCCCAAGTCTGCAGCCAATGGCAGGACAAATTCCCATGTTCCAATTCAAGCAGTTATAGTTACAACCAATCATAAGCAATGTTATGGCTATGTAGACGTGACCTGTATTTCACTGATAACCGGACCAACAAAGAGGATGGAAAAAGACTTCAATGCTTAGTTTTACACTATGGCATTGAATGTAAAGTTAAATATTCCAGAAAATAAGAACTTTAACAAAAATCCAAAGTTTGAAAAAAAATGATGACTTATTTCCAGTCTGCCTGCCTGCAGTTAGTTTGGAAACTGAGATAAATCCCTGATTATTGGTAACATAGAGTACAGCACAAATACCTTCATCACTAGATTCTGATTCGGAGTAGAATGACTTGAGGTCTGTAGCATTCTTCTTCTTCTTGGTAGATGTTTTCTTCTCCGTCCAGATGGGCACCTCCACATTGCGGACAGATGGCTCCGGCGCCTCCTCCGGCCACTCAGGCAGCTCTTGGTACCCATGAGCACGCGTATTCAGCAGGTGAGACAGCGTGCCTAGCTGGTACTGGTCCCGATCTGGAGAACAATGAGTGAATGAGTGAGTGAGTGAGTGAGTGAGTGAGTGAGTGAGTGAGTGAGTGAGAGAGAGAGAGCAGACCCAGCCAGTACTGGTCCCGATCTGGGAAACAATGAGTGAACAGAACGGAACAGAACAGCTCTGCTGTTTACACTCAAGGCAATGGTTATTGCTGTTTACAAACAGAAAAAGTTGGAAGAATGAATTTTGATGATAAATAGAATTTCACCCTGGTGTTGGTAGAGTTAATATATTTGATATCAAGAGACATGAGGGTGAGATTCTCTATATTGTCAAATTGTTCTAAAGGAGTGATAGGAGATTTCATTTTCAGCAATTTCCATACATGAACAATTTCTGTGTTTGACGCATATTGTTTGTTTTGTTTGTTGTTTAACACAGCACTCAGCAATATTCCAGCTACATAACAGCGGTCTGTACATAATCAAGTCTGGACCAGACAATCCAGTGATTGACACCATGAGCATCATTCCACACAATTGGGATACGATGACATGCATCAACTAAGTCAGCGAGCCTGACCACCCAATCCTGTTAGTCGCCTCTTACGACAAGCATGGGTTGCTGAAGACCAATTCTACCCCAGATCTTCACGGGTCTGACACATACTGATTGAGACTGATTGACAACTGTTACTGCTGGCACCTAAATGACAGAAACTATCCATGATCACTAAAATTCACAGCATACACACGACATAAGAACTTGTTGCTCAATCAACGCGTCACATCACAAATAATCAACCAAAAGTGAGACTCACCTTGAAACTTGGAAGCAAGAACTGGAGCAGGTTTAGTCGCAAGGAAGATCTTTTTTGCATATTTGGCTAGTGCACTTGATTTCTCTCCAGGGAGCACAAGTTGTCGCAGGAAGCGAGATCGGTCACGAATGTCATAGTTCTGATCATACTTGGCCAGATTGAGCACGTACTGGCACAGGAGCTTGGTCTGCTTTTGGTTGGTGATGCACAGCTTGGCTGCTAGGTTCAGGATCTGCAGCTTCACGATATCCTCCTGTAACACAGGATATGAACAAATACACAACATGCCCGAACCTGGCAATCTAGTTCCTACTCCTGTACCATAACCATTATTCAAGAGTAAGGCAATGCTTGTTTGTGTCAGTCACAGATGTTCTAGGTACAGTTGGGCTGACTTCAAATACTTGAGTCTGGGCCATGCAAACCAGTGACTGATAGGGACCATCTATGCTTAATCCAGATGGTTCACTTCCCAGGAAATTAACAATGGATAACAAATGTTCAGGTAAAGAATCACTAATACGGAGTATGTTAATATGTCCATATCAAGATTGTTGGAAAGCATGGTGCCTGGAGTCAGCTGCGGTATCGGTATCTGCGCTGCTCCCTACAAACTACAGTAAACTACGTTTATAACAAACTCAAAGGGACCACAATTTTAGTTTGTTACAACTGTAGTTTGTTATAATTATAAACATGTATACAGCATATATACAGCAAATGGACGGGACCAAAAAACAGTTCGTCATATCTGTCAGTTCATTGTAAGCGTGTTCGTTATTAACGTAGTTTACTGTATGTTAAACTTGACTTGTCGCTCTCAGAACTACGGGCTGTTCAATGTTTTCCTAATACATTCCCAGTCAGAACATACTGTACTAACAACCTTGCCATAATGTACATGAATCATAACACCCCACGAAATGAGGTGAGGTGAGGTGAAATGGGGTTTAACGTCGCGTCCAAGATTATTGCACTTATATAGCGACCCTCACGAAATGAAACATGGTTTCCTAAAAACACTTACCTTCAAGTATGTATACTTATATTTCGTTAAAGCAACTCTCTATGTTCATGTCACTTTGGAATCCGAGAGAGTACTCATTTTGCACCATACACCATAATACAAAACAGCAAAATCATCTTTACTGGTCCGGTTTCCAACTCAGTAAGTAACATGAGTAAACATATTGTTGCACAATCTAAACTTATAATACTCATATTTGAGGGAGTGAGTGATTGAGTGTGGTTTTACGCCGCTTTTAGCAATATTCCATCAATATCACGGCGGGGGGGGGGGCACCAGAAATGGGCTTCACACATTGTACCCATTTCGGGACTCAAACCAGGGTCTTCGGGTCCATGTTGCTTTTGTCATTAGAGCTGAAGCATATTAAGTGCAATTACGATTTGGATTGGAGATCTATTGGGGAAACACTATGGGACAGCAAGTAGCTCTGTGTAGCAACAGGTCAAAATAGAAATCGTTTATAGGGTGCAGCACAGATAGGCTACTGCACCAAGGTGTCTGGACTAACAAGGTTTAATCATTGTACACCATAATCATCTTTACGCCATGTTAGAGAATATCAAACAGAACATAATCATAGCTGGAATTTATCTAATAGTCATACGGGAGCTGTCAAAATATTTCTCTCAAATAATTTTACTACTGCATGGTTCAACAGAGAAATATGATCAAAATGGCAATCTGACAGTAAAGTAAGTTCCACAATTGCAATTAATGAGTTTCTAAATATGTCCGCCATGCTATAAATGGATAAAAAATCAAAATATGCCGAAAACAAAATATATGTTATTCTGAGAACCACATACTTGCACTTCTCAATTTTCATAATGATACATTGCTGAAAATGAAATTTCCAATATTGTTCCCGTGGTGACCATGTGTGAACTTGGATCTGAATTCTGTGAGCAGTCTTTAGAAACACCATAGCAAAGATCATTCATGTTTTTTCAAATCTGGTAAAAATATTGAAAGATGTACTATGAAAAGTTGATGACAGCAAGAAAATATCATTATGTCATTCGTCTCGTGCAAATTCACTGAAAGCACATGTCCTACCTCTTGAATGAAGCTTTTGGCAAACTTCCTCAGTACATCCGGGGCAATCTTGGGCACCCGCTCACTGTACTCGCCAATGAGCCACAAGATGCTGGCTCGGGCCATGGGCACCATGATCTTCTCCACCATCTTAGCCATGTGACAAATGATGTCCTTGTGCTCCGATGGCTGAAAAATGTTGATATTTTGCAAAACAAACAATTTTCCTGAAGAACATACAAATCTGTTTCTAGAATCATGTACAATCACACCAGAACCTCATTGTTTTTCTAACAACTGTGGAATTCTGGCTTGAGCAAAATATGGTAAAATACAGTGTACATTGTAAGTCCAGTTAGTTTTGTATGTGGATCATTAAAAACTAAGCTAGGAGAATAAATTTTGGAACAGTGTCAAACACATGATACTGATATAATCCTAAGCTAAATGTGTAGTCCTAGTTTATGGTTTTGATTTGGTCAGTCAAACCATCTCACTAGTGTTTGCAAATTGATCACATAATCCGAGTACACATTCACAACAGTCCAACAAGCCAAGGGTTTACAAAATGTCTCACACAACTTTTAATCATGATCTTTATCTACATAAATATCTGACAGTAACACTACTTTATCTCTGTTGCCATCATTAAATTGAGTGAATTTTGTTTAACCCTGCATTCATCAATACATGTATTAGTCACATCAAAGCCTACATGACAACCCCTTCTAATTTTCTCTGCACCATCTCCGTAGTCTAGCGCATAATGGCAGGTTAGTGGTTCAATCCCTGGCCGCTCATACCAACAGATGTTAAAGATAATACTTGTCTTTACCCTGCCTGTGTTCACCATTCAGAGACTAAAACAAGGACTGTTCGTCTCGGAGTCTGATGTGCCTGAGTGTAGTGTACCATGTCAAACAGCAGCATCTGTCCAGACAAATACAAGCAGACACACGCACGCACGCACGCACGCACGCACGCGCGCATGCACGTCGCTGTGTAAGTGCAACAGTTTTGAGCGTGACGTTCAACCCCATTTCACCTCACCCACCACCTCTAATCTGCTCTTACAACAAATGTAAGATACTGAGGGCATTCTCTGCCCCCGACAGGTATGAATAACTTCACCTGATGAAGGAGTAAGCATATACTCAGAAACGTTGTGTTCATTCACCTGATGAAAGATGGCATATACTCCGAAATGTGGTGGTCATTCACCTAATGGAGGAGTAAGCATTAATACTCCGAAACATTGTGGTCATTCACCTGATGAAGGAGTAAGCATATACTCCTAAACGTTAGTTCATTTACCTGATGAAGGAGTAAGCATATACTCCAAAAAGCTGTGTTCATTCACCTGATGAAAGATGGCATATACTCCGAAACGTTGGTTCATTCACCTGATGAAGGAGTAAGCATATACTCCGAAACGTGGTGGTCATTCACCTGATGAAGGAATAAGCATATACTCTGAAACGCTGTGTTCATTCACCTGATGAAGGAGTAACCATATACTCCGAAAAGCTGTGTTCATTCACCTGATGAAAGATGGTATATACTCCGAAACGTTGGTTCATTCACCTGATGAAGGAGTAAGCATATACTCCGAAACGTTGTGGTCATTCACCTTATGAAGGAGTAAGCATATACTCCGAAACGTTGGTTCATTCACCAGATGAAGGAGTAAGCATATACTCCGAAACATTGTGTTCATTCACCTGATGAAGGAGTAAGCATATACTCCGAAACATTGGTTCATTCACCTGATGAAGGAGTAAGCATATACTCTGAAACGTTGTGTTCATTCACCTGATGAAGGAGTAAGCATATACTCCGAAATGTTGTGTTCATTCACCTGATGAAAGATGGCATATACTCCGAAACGTGGTGGTCACTCACCTGATGAAGGAGTAAGCATATACTCCGAAACGTTGGTTCATTCACTTGATGAAAGATGGCATATACTCCGAAACGTGGTGGTCATTCACCTGATGAAGGAGTAAGCATATACTCCGAAACATTGTGTTCCTCATAATAAAGAAGCTGATATCCATAAATTCTCTTCCTTATGTGAATCACTTCTAACTGCCTTTCAAAGACCTTCAGCTATGACAATTCACACAATCCATCAGCGAGTCAGTAAGTGCACTAGACTTTCAACAGTATCTCAACTCATAGAGGGCTTCCCCAACCTGGTCCCCATATTGTGCCTACTTGTGGGCATTGAAATTAACATCAGGTGAGAAACTGGCACATTGTCTGAGTAATTAGAGTCATGATTTAACTGCTAAATTGAGATACAGTAAACTACGGTTATAACAAACAGAAAACTACGGTTACAACAAAGAGGGACGGCTACTTTTAGTGTGTTATAATCGAAGTTCGTTATAAGCTTATACACACCATATATACAGCAAATAGGCAGGACCCAAAAACAGTTTGTTATATCATCAGTTCATTATAAACGTAGTTTACTGTACATCATAAATTTAAACTAGGAGACAAAAAAGTGGCGTTAGAGGATTGGTTGGTTTGTTGTTTAACGCCGCACTCAGCAATATTCCAGCTATATGATGGCGGTCTGTAAATAATCGAGTCTGGACCACACAATCCAGTGATTGATATCATGAGTAGTGATCCACGCAGTTGGGATACGATGACATGCATATCGCCTTTTACGGCAAGCATGGGTTGCTGAAGACCTAATCTACCCGGATCTGTTAATCAGCTTGTGAATAACTCTTTAATATTAACATGAAAACATGAAAGTCCAAAGGGACACAAGCTGTAAACGTCTACCACTTTGGTAAAACCCATGAGCACAGGTAAGGATCTGACCCATAAGGATCATAATCAGGGTGAAACTGGGATTCAAACCCAAGATCAGCGGATCCTGGCATTACAAAGTGATGTAACTCTCTCCATAGCACCTTGTCACAGAGCTTTCTCTCGGGCATCTACATTATGTAATCCCCCCATGGATGAGTGAGTGAGTATGGTTTTACGCCGCTTTTAGCAATATTCCAGCAATATCACGGCGGGGGACACCAGAAATGGGCTTCACACATTGTACCCATGTCGGGAATCGAACCCGGGTCTTCGGCGTGACGAGCGAACGCTTTAACCACTAGGCTACCCGACCGCCCCCCCCCCCCCATTGGATGAATTGGTACTGTAATGTAACTCTTATATCATATCACACACAATACACATCTTTAACACTGAACCCACTTGTGGAAATTGTAACACAATGAACAAGGCCCTCAGATCTAATGAAAAATAGAAATTGTTCGGATCACATAAACATGATAAACTCAAGCATCTGATTTCATCATGTCACTCTGACCTCAAGTGGTATTTCAAATATGCAGTGTGCAGAGAATGAAATAACAACAGAAACTGAGTTAATTCTGCAAACATGCTGTTGCCATTCCCAGCATGGCAAAGTCTAAACAAAAGGAGCTAAACAAAATGTCTAAACAAATTCTTTGACATGCTGCACCTACTAATAACTTTTAACTAAAAAATACGATCTAATTCAAGTTCTCAGTATTTCCTGTATTTGAATTACTGATAAAAAATTGATGCAATCCAACGATGAAGATGCTGAAGGTAATAAAATATTCCTTGAAACTTTTCAAACACCTTTCCACACATTTGCCGAAGCTGTGCAAACTACGTCTACAAGATGTGCAACCGATCCCACTACCCATTAGAAACAACTTCTCCACCATGTTCACAACCCATCAAGCATTATGCATATTCAAGTTCAGTATCAAACAAGAGAATGAGAAAAGCGTTTGCCAGCATCTCAGCAAGAGGTTCTAAATATGGAGGTAATTTCAATTTGTACATATCATGATACTGATCTCTGAAAAAAACTTGTGTGTGTGTGTGTGTGTGTGTGTGTGTGTGTGTGTGTGTGTGTGTGTGTGTGTGTGTGTGTGTGTGTGTGTGTGTGTGTGTGTGTGTGTGTGTGTGTGTGTGTGTGTGTGTGTGTGTGTGTGTTGGGGTGTGTGTGAGTGTGTGTTGGGGTGTGTGTGAGTGTGTGTTGGGGTGTGTGTTTGTTGGGGAGTGTGTGTGTTCATACTAGTATGTAACCAAAACAAACAGTTGAAAGCAAATACACAATGTATACAATCAACCTGGGAAAGGGCCTCCCTACATAAATGTATTCGACTACCGTTGGACTTGGAATATTAAAGGATTTTATTGGGGGTTTTTCAAAATGGAAATAAAAACGAAACATGCAGCAAACTTTATGATGAGGCGGGCGGTGCCTGAGAACCAAGTCTATTAATTTTTTTTAGCCTAATATTCTGAAAATACAATTTTGTTTCTGTACAGATCTAAAAGATTTTGACAGGCAATGTGGCAAGAAAAGAAGAGCCTTGGGAGGTCAGGGGAGGGGCAGGGACAGGGAGGGGAGGGGAGGGGAGGGGAGGGGAGGGGATAGGGTTGGTGTGACTAACATGTTGGTAAAATAAAAATGTGGCGTTATGTAACAGTGTGTAAGGGAGAAGTGCATTATACTTTGACAACTGTATGTATCATTTTGGTTATCCGGGCAGCAAAACAGACAATTCCAGAGATCAGTGATGTCCTTTACAACAGTTTTCAGGAAAATGTAACTTCCTTGCCTCAAAGCATTGAAAGGAAGAAATATATTATTTAAATTGGAATAATTTGTTAAGTTTGGATGACTGGCAAACGATGTAAAATGAGAGATAGGATGACACATAATGACAGATCCAGCAACAAGATGGGAGATGATGACAAAGGAAAGCCTCAGCCCATATTAGATACCCTTTTTTTCTCGCTTGAAGTAGGCTAGAAAGGAAATAACATATTTATGACAGGATGTGCAATATGTACTGCTTAGAAAATGAATTGAGACAGTGCAGTAGACTTGTTAATGCATGGTTAACTGATAAAAGTAATTCATGTGAAAATTTCATTAAAAAAAGAAATACTTTGTAACTATGGTAACAATGACATGCAAAGAGCAGAGTGACTCCTTTTAGTAGATTATACAAATGTTGGTAAACTGTCTGTTGGATATGAAGATAACATGTGACAGTGGTATAAAAACTGCTCTGCAAGATGAAATCACTAATTAATCACCAACAAGAACAGTCAGTACTTCACCATCATCATAAGAATCAGAATAATCATAACTACAGGTTTGCAACAGAGAGAGCAAACATATAATACCACAGTAGTATTGTATTGGAGTAAAAGATCAGGATGCCGTTGTACAAAGCGATCTTAGCGCTTAGGTGATCGTAACTCCCATACCTTAACATAGACTTACGACTGTCGTAGTGTTAAGGTTGTTTTGTACAACAGCACCCTGATCTTAATGAGACTGAACACTACCCATGGCTGTAGCTCACCATAATTGTGAAATCAATGGAGAGTTGGCTGGGTGTTTACCACCCTAGATCCAAGCCATCCTCTCTTCTCAGTATATTTGTGATTTGTTTCATTCAAGTAATGTTTGAAATAACCAATGAAGGAAATGAACAATAAAACGCTTCCTCCACACTCTTATGGAACGTTGAGGATTACTTATTCATACCAGCTTTAAGGCAGCATAAAGCAAACGACACTACTGTCAGTCTTTGTCAGGAGAAACAAAAGCATTTACATGGGCTCCTATTTCTTAAATATTTTTTTGTATCACATCTGTCCCCAATCTGACTAATGTTACCCCTTAAAAGACGCTTTCCTTCTTCAACGAAACTGTCCCAACTCTTATTTTCACAACACAAAAGTTGTTTTTAACTTCATCACTTCATCTGTTTCTAATTACTTTTATAATTTACAGTTACCTTGTCATTACAAACAGTTCTAAATTTATGACTTTCTTCTCTTGCACACTCCTACGCTGTTGATAGAGATTGGACATCATGTCAGATAATGGGACCATGATGGCTTCATAACAATACAGGAGATTAGACTACAGATGATGTAATGCCCCTAACATTCAAATAGTTCCTCATCTCAACCATACATACAGTGTTAAATATACCAACATTTGACATACCGAAGTGTCCTGTAGCACTGTCGTGTAGAGTCCTGTAAGGAGTGAGTGTAATGTGTTACAGTGTACTGATGGTGTACTGTGCTGTGATGGTGTACTGTGCTGTGATGGTGTACTATGCTGTGATGGTGTAATGCGCTTTGATGGTGTGTGTACTGTGCTGTGATGGTGTGTGTACTGTGCTGTGATGGTGTGTTTACTGTGCTGTGATGGTGTGTTTACTGTGCTGTGATGGTGTACTGTGCTGTGATGGTCTACTGTGCTGTGATGGTGTACTGTGCTGTGATGGTGTACTGTGCTGTGATGGTCTACTGTGCTGTGATGGTGTACTGTGCTGTGATGGTGTAAGATGTGGTTGACAGTGACACTGTGAGAGAGCTTCCTTTTTGACGTGGCTGACTGTGACACTGTGAGAGAGTGTTCTGTAAGATGTGGCTGACAGTGACACTGTGAGAAAGTGACCTGTAAGATGTAGCTGACAGTGACACTGTGAGAGAGTGTCCTGTAAGATGTGACTGACAGTGACACTGTGAGAGAGTGTTCTGTAAGATGTGGCTGACAGTGACACTGTGAGAGAGTGTCCTGTAAGATGTGGCTGACAGTGACACTGTGAGAGAGTGTTCTGTAAGATGTGGCTGACAGTGACACTGTGAGAGAGTGTTCTGTAAGATGTGGCTGACAGTGACACTGCGAGAGAGCTTCCAGTAAGACATGGCTGACAGTGACACTGTGAGACTGTGAGAGAGTGTCCTGTAAGATGTGGCTGACAGTGACACTGTGAGAGAGTGTTCTGTAAGATGTGGCTGACAGTGACACTGTGAGAGAGTGTTCTGTAAGATGTGGCTGACAGTGACACTGCGAGAGAGCTTCCAGTAAGACGTGGCTGACTGTGACACTGTGAGACTGTGAGAGAGTGTCCTGTAAGATGTGGCTGACTGTGACACTGTGAGAGAGTGTTCTGTAAGATGTGGCTGACAGTGACACTGTGAGAGAGTGTCCTGTAAGATGTGGCTGACAGTGACACTGTGAGAGAGTGTTCTGTAAGATGTGGCTGACAGTGACACTGTGAGAGAGTGTTCTGTAAGATGTGGCTGACAGTGACACTGCGAGAGAGCTTCCAGTAAGACATGGCTGACAGTGACACTGTGAGACTGTGAGAGAGTGTCCTGTAAGATGTGGCTGACAGTGACACTGTGAGAGAGTGTTCTGTAAGATGTGGCTGACAGTGACACTGTGAGAGAGTGACCTGTAAGATGTGGCTGACAGTGACACTGTGAGAGAGTGTCCTGTAAGATGTGACTGACAGTGACACTGTGAGAGAGTGTTCTGTAAGATGTGGCTGACAGTGACACTGTGAGAGAGTGTCCGGTAAGATGTGGCTGACAGTGACACTGTGAGAGAGTGTTCTGTAAGATGTGGCTGACAGTGACACTGTGAGAGAGTGTTCTGTAAGATGTGGCTGACAGTGACACTGCGAGAGAGCTTCCAGTAAGACATGGCTGACAGTGACACTGTGAGAGAGTGTTCTGTAAGATGTGGCTGACAGTGACACTGTGAGAGAGTGTCCTGTAAGATGTGACTGACAGTGACACTGTGAGACTGTGAGAGAGTGTCCTGTAAGATGTGGCTGACTGTGACACTGTGAGAGAGTGTCCTGTAAGATGTGGCTGTTAGTGACACTGTGAGACTGTGAGAGAGTGTCCTGTAAGATGTGGCTGACAGTGACACTGTGAGAGAGTGACCTGTAAGATGTGACTGACAGTGACACTGTGAGAGAGTGTTCTGTAAGATGTGGCTGACAGTGACACTGCGAGAGAGCTTCCAGTAAGACGTGGCTGACAGTGACACTGTGAGACTGTGAGAGAATGTCCTGTAAGATGTGACTGACAGTGACACTGTGAGACTGTGAGAGAATGTCCTGTAAGATGTGACTGACAGTGACACTGTGAGACTGTGAGAGAATGTCCTGTAAGATGTGACTGACAGTGACACTGTGAGACTGTGAGAGAATGTCCTGTAAGATGTGACTGACAGTGACACTGCGAGAGAGCTTCCAGTAAGACGTGGCTGACAGTGACACTGTGAGACTGTGAGAGAATGTCCTGTAAGATGTGACTGACAGTGACACTGCGAGAGAGCTTCCAGTAAGACGTGGCTGACAGTGACACTGTGAGACTGTGAGAGAGTGTCCTGTAAGATGTGGCTGACAGTGACACTGTGAGAGAGTGTCCTGTAAGATGTGGCTGACAGTGACACTGTGAGACTGTGAGAGAGTGTCCTGTAAGATGTGGCTGACAGTGACACTGTGAGAGACATAACCCATGACATTAGTTAAAGAGTGGGCTATGCCCATCACTCACCCGCATTTGAAGGAGCTTCTTGATAACCACCACACTTTCAGCCACAACACTTTCTGCAACATTTGAATATTTATGGCTTATTAATCTGGCAATTAAACATTTCACATTTCTCAAGAACATAAATAATTAATATTGTTCCAAAAGTTAGGGTAGGTATATCTGTAATACAAGAAGAGATTAAATTAAAGAATACAAACACTTCCGAATTGAGTAATTAGTTGCAGCCGATAGAAGACATAATTACAATATAACAAGGCATTGATGTCTTACCATCCCTGTTGGACATGAGATGCACGAGACCATTGAGACACGTATCAGTGATCTCGGAAATGTTGCTGGCACATCGTCCAATGGCCTGAATTGTAGCAGCTGCAAATTCCTTGTCAGGGCTTAACACATATGTCTGTGGAGAGATGGCACTAGGATTAGGGGGCACAACTATTACAACAGCATTGTGACAGTTTAATAAATACATTAATTACCCATAGGGTTAGAAATAACCGAGTTCACAAATATTGTATGTACACTAGCGCAAATATACATTTTTTCATGCCCCAGTGTATTGTTTCAGTCATCTGAAAGGCACTGTCAATGTCATTCGAATCTAACGTAAGGTCGGAATGACATCACATGAAATGATGTCATAGCTGAAGATCGTTGATGTCATTTGACAAATTGAAGTATTCTTGGACAGCAGTGAGGATCAGTGCATTTTTCAAAATGGGAGCTCAAAAGGATAAGAAATAATGGGTAAATAAACAATTTTTCACACTCACATGTGTGTCATACTGATTTTACGAAACTTGTGTAAGAATTCATGTATTACTTCTCTCACGCTCGGGAAATACAAGAATTCTGACACTCATTTCGTAAAATCAGCATGACACACCTGCTCGTATAGTAATCTCTATGTTCTGTCCTGTAACTCAGATTCCCTTGCAGTATACCACATGATGACAAACCCTAACATGCCTACCAGGATCTGGATTTAGCAGATTACTTTGGAAGTTGTCAGGGAGTAAGTGAAGCACTCCTCATTCTTGTCTGAACATATAAACTTAGTCCAAAGTGTCTCATGTGGGATCAATATTGCATCCAAGCAAATGGAAGCACGAATGATCATAATGCTTTTTAATCTTTTATCCTATCGATACCATTGATGTACAATGTGATGTTTAGGCCATGGAAAATTGTGATGCATCGACAGTTCAATCAGTTGATACACCCCTATATATGATGCATTGACAGTTCAATCAATTGATACACCTCTATATATGATGCATCAACAGTTCAATCAATCGATACACCCCTATATATGATGCATTGACAGTTCAATCGATTGATACACCCCTATATATGATGCATTGACAGTTCAATCAATTGATACACCTCTATATATGATGCATCAACAGTTCAATCAATTGATACACCCCTATATATGATGCATTGACAGTTCAATCAATTGATACACCCCTATATATGATGCATTGACAGTTCAATCAATCGATACACCTCTCTATATGATGCATCAACAGTTCAATCCGTCGATACACCTATCTATATGATGCACTGATAGTTCAATCAGTCGATACACCCCTATATATGATGCATTGACAGTTCAATCAATCGATACACCTCTCTATATGATGCATTGACAGTTCAATCAATCGATACACCTCTATATGTGATGCATTAACAGTTCAATCAATAGATACACCCCTATATATGATGCATTGACAGTTCAATCAATTGATACACCCCTATATATGATGCATTGACAGTTCAATCAGTTGATACACCTCTCTATATGATGCATTGACAGTTCAATCAATCGATACACCTCTATATATGATGCATTGACAGTTCAATCAATAGATACACCCCTATATATGATGCATTGACAGTTCAATCAATCGATACACATCTATATATGATGCATTGACAGTTCAATCAATCGATACACCTCTCTATATGATGCATTAAAAGTTCAATCAATGGATACACCCCTATATATGATGCATTGACAGTTCAATCAGTTGATACGCCTCTATACATGATGTATTGACAGTTCAATCAGTTGATACGCCTCTATACATGATGCATTGACAGTTCAATCAGTTGATACGCCTCTATACATGATGCATAGACAGTTCAATCAATTGATACACCCCTATATATGATGCATTGACAGTTCAATCAATTGATACACCCCTATATATGATGCATTGACAGTTCAATCAGTTAATTCGCCTCTATACATGATGCATTGACAGTTCAATCAGTTGATACGCCTCTATACATGATGCGTAGAGAGTTCAATCAGTTGATACACACCTATATATGATGCATAGACAGTTCAATCAATTGATACACCCCTATATATGATGCATTGACAGTTCAATCAGTTGATACGCCTCTTTACATGATGCATTGACAGTTCAATCAGTTGATACGCCTCTATACATGATGCATTGACAGTTCAATCAGTTGATACGCCTCTATACATGATGCGTAGAGAGTTCAATCAGTTGATACACCCCTATATATGATGCATAGACAGTTCAATCAATTGATACACCCCTATATATGATGCATTGACAGTTCAATCAGTTGATACGCCTCTATACATGATGCATTGACAGTTCAATCAGTTGATACGCCTCTATACATGATGCGTAGACAGTTCAGTCAGTTGATTCGCCTCTATACATGATGCGTAGAGAGTTCAATCAGTTGATACGCCTCTATACATGATGCGTAGACAGTTCAATCAATTGATACACCCCTATATATGATGCATCGACAGTTCAATTAATCGATACACCTCTATATATGATGCATTGGCAGTTCAATCAATTGATACACCTCTATATTTAATGCATTGACAGTTCAATCAATTGATACACCTCTATATTTAATGCATTGACATTTCAATCAGTTGATACACTGTACATACTTTCAAAGGAATCGATAAATTTGATGATGCATTTGCCAAATCTAAACAAACAAAATGACTCACCTGCAATTCTCTCAGAATTGTGGATATGTTTGTCTCAGTTGCCAAACTGGTCAAAATCTCCAACTGGTTAAAACAAAAAACAAATCTTAGTGAACAGGATGAATTAACAAAAAAGGCTGTCCATAAGCCAGCATTATACAATCTATTTTAGTGCAATCAACATTATTCTGGAATGGTCGTCACAGTCCTAAACATTTACGACCCCATGGGGATTCTGGGTAAGAATATACAGTAGGTCACCAGCAACCCATGTTGTCAGGCTCTTGGTTGAAAGTCTGTCATCATACTCCGAGAGGGTCGATCATTGCTCACAATATCAATCACTGGATGGTCTGGTCCAGACTCAATTAGTTACAGGCTGCGGTCACATAACTGGAACACAACTTACAAACCGGAACAATTGTGCACAGATCAGCAGTCACTGATGAAGCCATGGAGTTATCTATTCTAATAAGGAGCATGTATGACTCGGTCATGTAAAGTGCCGCAGTTTGCTGTGAAGAGTTATGTCTTATAGGCATACCAGGATCCTATGGTCTTGGGTTCTTATCCCAGATGCACCCTTTTATATGCATTGGTTTGTCAGCACTATGCCCATGATTCACCAAAGACCTACATCACTTCAAGATTTCCTCCCGCTTTCAACGATCAAGGTGTGTCATAACTAAAATACTCTTTAAATGGGTGTCAAACCAAACCAAACTCACTCACTCACTCACTGCATTAATTTCCTGAATTTTTACTGTTCCTTACCTTTAGAAGTTTGACGTGAAGAGGGTCACTGGATCGCACATAGAAGCTCTTGAGGTAAGGTTCAAACATTCCCTGGTGATATCAATAGTAAAATATATAACCCCAGTACACAATGTAATGATATGCTTAATAAACAGCCAGGCAAAAGGAAGCATACACTTGAGAATTGGATTGACCCCAAAATTACAAAAGTTATCAAAATGTTACAAGGCTGAAAACAATCGCTGAAACACTGGAAACCATAAGATCCAAAAATAACTTTGATGCCCACATCAATACATCACTGTTGAATAACCATTTCTTGTTGGTTTCATTTTTACCCGCCACTAAACATGGGTCTATAGTTTCTTTTTCCGAGCAGTTTATATTAACCAATATTCAAAGATCAATCTTTCAAGTCTATAAAAGCCATTAGAAGTTATACACAAAAGGAAGAGAATTTATGGATGTCAACTTCTTTATTATGAGGAACACAACATTTCGGCGTATCTACTTACTCCTTCATCAGGAACAGATAATTCACCTGATGAAGGAGTAAGTAGATACTCAGAAATATTGTGTTTCACATAATAAAGAAGTAGCCATCCATAAATTCTCTTCCTCATCAATCTTTTAGTTGTGTCTATCAGAAAGATGATAGTAATGTTAAACAGAACTTATTTATTGAATATCACTCGTGATACAACAATTTAAGGTACAGCAATTGTGGACAAGCATATTCCTTGGCCAGATCAGGATCCGCAACAATAGTCCTTGCCAAACTGCGCAATAGCTAAGATATCATAAGGACTAGTACAAAATTTGCCCTTTTTAAGGGTTTTGCTATATGTTATCATTATAAGGAGTTTTGCTAAATGTTATCATTATAAGGAGTTTTGCCATATGTTATTATTATAAGGTTTTGCTATACGTTGTCATTATAAGTAGTTTTGCCATATGTTATCATAAGGAGTTTTGCCATATGTTATCATTATAAGGAGTTTTGCCAAATGTTATCATGAAAAGGAGTTTTGAACACGTGACAAAACAATTTACCTTCACCAATTTTACCCTTTTACATGGTAACATACATAATACCCACACACCAACTGAACTAAGTAATCGTTACAAAGTTTAGATATCCTTCTTGTGAGTTGAAATTCCTATTAGTTCGCCTAATTAGTTAGCAATATGTGAGCAAGTAATTTGACCTGATCATGCGGATTAATAAAAGAAAAACATTCACAATCTTAATATTCTCTTCAAACAGCAACATATGCAACACCACAATGACATTACCGACTGCTTGTATTATTTTATACTATGTTTTGATATTTCCTGGAGAAAGCAGCACACTGCCCTATAATCCCATACTTCTTCAACTGACCTTTCTCTTGATTGTCATTGTAGCAATGTTGCTAAGTACAACATACTGGATTTCTCTGAAACAAATCAATAATGTTAACTGACATTTTGTAGTCATACATATTCAGAAAACATTCAAAAACACAAAATATATAGAATGTTTATTCAAGGTTGTGTAGGAGAAGCTATTCTATTTCAATCAATTGTCGTTGTGTAAAAGCCCTGAGTGGCAAACGTTCTGAGTGGCTGAATTGTCAGTCACATGATCACAAACAATGGCCAACTGTAGATCAAAAACCAACAAACATAAATATAATAAACAAAAATATTTGAGTTTCACAAACGACACCATACCCTCAATTTGAACATAAGTCCAACTTGTAAACATATACAAAATTCCCACATAGCAAAAGGCACCTGATCATGACTAGAGTGATCTCTGTTCAAAGTCTGATCAAGAAATATTTAATGGTCTTAGGGTAATGCTGTGGGAACAAAACGTGATGACTGACAGATTGACAGCAACCATTCCATTTCCCCCTCCCACCTCATGGCTGGGGGTAATAATATTATCACCAAGTAAGATTCACTTGTTCTTGGTGATGATGTATATAAAAGTGCAAAATACAGAACATTAGGTCTCATGGGATTCTTATTACCAATTCAGTTCTTATTAAGAATAGTAGTTGAATAAAAACATCAGTATGTTTGTTTTACTTACTTGTGACTTCTGAGAAGCCTGATTAGAGCTTTGGCCACGACGCCTACTTCTGCCTTCGGAGCACAGTGGTGGTACAGCTGGGCAACTGACATTACAACCTGAAGAGGAGATAACACATAATATACACAGTGCTGATACAGCTGGGCAACTGACATTACAACCTGAAGAGGAGATAACACATAATATACACAGTGCTGATACAGCTGGGCAACTGACATTACAACCTGAAGAGGAGATAACACATAATATACACAGTGCTGATACAGCTGGGCAACTGACATTACAACCTGAAGAGGAGATAACACATAATATACACAGTGCTGATACAGCTGGGCAACTGACATTACAACCTGAAGAGGAGATAACACATAATATACACAGTGCTGATACAGCTGGGCAACTGACATTACAAACTGAAGAGGAGATAACACATAATATACACAGTGCTGATACAGCTGGGCAACTGACATTACAACCTGAAGAGGAGATAACACATAATATACACAGTGCTGATACAGCTGGGCAACTGACATTACAACCTGAAGAGGAGATAACACATAATATACACAGTGCTGATACAGCTGGGCAACTGACATTACAACCTGATCAAGAGATAACACATAATATACACAGTGCTGATACAGCTGGGCAACTGACATTACAACCTGAAGAGGAGATAACACATAAAATACACAGTGCTGATACAGCTGGGCAACTGACATTACAACCTGATCAAGAGATAACACATAATATACACAGTGCTGATACAGCTGGGCAACTGACATTACAACCTGATCAAGAGATAACACATAATATACACAGTGCTGATACAGCTGGGCAACTGACATTACAACCTGAAGAGGAGATAACACATAATATACACAGTGCTGATACAGCTGGGCAACTGACATTACAACCTGATCAAGAGATAACACATAATATACACAGTGCTGATACAGCTGGGCAACTGACATTACAACCTGAAGAGGAGATAACACATAATATACACAGTGCTGATACAGCTGGGCAACTGACATTACAACCTGATCAAGAGATAACACATAATATACACAGTGCTGATACAGCTGGGCAACTGACATTACAACCTGAAGAGGAGATAACACATAATATACACAGTGCTGATACAGCTGGGCAACTGACATTACAACCTGAAGAGGAGATAACACATAATATACACAGTGCTGATACAGCTGGGCAACTGACATTACAACCTGAAGAGGAGATAACACATAATATACACAGTGCTGATACAGCTGGGCAACTGACATTACAACCTGATCAAGAGATAACACATAATATACACAGTGCTGATACAGCTGGGCAACTGACATTACAACCTGAAGAGGAGATAACACATAATATACACAGTGCTGATACAGCTGGGCAACTGACATTACAACCTGAAGAGGAGATAACACATAATATACACAGTGCTGATACAGCTGGGCAACTGACATTACAACCTGAAGAGGAGATAACACATAATATACACAGTGCTGATACAGCTGGGCAACTGACATTACAAACTGAAGAGGAGATAACACATAATATACACAGTGCTGATACAGCTGGGCAACTGACATTACAACCTGAAGAGGAGATAACACATAATATACACAGTGCTGATACAGCTGGGCAACTGACATTACAACCTGAAGAGGAGATAACACATAATATACACAGTGCTGATACAGCTGGGCAACTGACATTACAACCTGATCAAGAGATAACACATAATATACACAGTGCTGATACAGCTGGGCAACTGACATTACAACCTGAAGAGGAGATAACACATAAAATACACAGTGCTGATACAGCTGGGCAACTGACATTACAACCTGATCAAGAGATAACACATAATATACACAGTGCTGATACAGCTGGGCAACTGACATTACAACCTGATCAAGAGATAACACATAATATACACAGTGCTGATACAGCTGGGCAACTGACATTACAACCTGAAGAGGAGATAACACATAATATACACAGTGCTGATACAGCTGGGCAACTGACATTACAACCTGATCAAGAGATAACACATAATATACACAGTGCTGATACAGCTGGGCAACTGACATTACAACCTGAAGAGGAGATAACACATAATATACACAGTGCTGATACAGCTGGGCAACTGACATTACAACCTGATCAAGAGATAACACATAATATACACAGTGCTGATACAGCTGGGCAACTGACATTACAACCTGAAGAGGAGATAACACATAATATACCGGTACACAGTGCTGATACAGCTGGGCAACTGACATTACAACCTGAAGAGGAGATAACACATAATATACACAGTGCTGATACAGCTGGGCAACTGACATTACAACCTGAAGAGGAGATAACACATAATATACACAGTGCTGATACAGCTGGGCAACTGACATTACAACCTGATCAAGAGATAACACATAATATACACAGTGCTGATACAGCTGGGCAACTGACATTACAACCTGAAGAGGAGATAACACATAATATACACAGTGCTGATACAGCTGGGCAACTGACATTACAACCTGATCAAGAGATAACACATAATATACACAGTGCTGATACAGCTGGGCAACTGACATTACAACCTGAAGAGGAGATAACACATAATATACCGGTACACAGTGCTGATACAGCTGGGCAACTGACATTACAACCTGAAGAGGAGATAACACATAATATACACAGTGCTGATACAGCTGGGCAACTGACATTACAACCTGAAGAGGAGATAACACATAATATACACAGTGCTGATACAGCTGGGCAACTGACATTACAACCTGATCAAGAGATAACACATAATATACACAGTGCTGATACAGCTGGGCAACTGACATTACAACCTGATCAAGAGATAACACATAATATACACAGTGCTGATACAGCTGGGCAACTGACATTACAACCTGAAGAGGAGATAACACATAATATACACAGTGCTGATACAGCTGGGCAACTGACATTACAACCTGATCAAGAGATAACACATAATATACACAGTGCTGATACAGCTGGGCAACTGACATTACAACCTGATCAAGAGATAACACATAATATACACAGTGCTGATACAGCTGGGCAACTGACATTACAACCTGAAGAGGAGATAACACATAATATACACAGTGCTGATACAGCTGGGCAACTGACATTACCACCTGAAGAGGAGATAACACATAATATACACAGTGCTGATACAGCTGGGCAACTGACATTACAACCTGAAGAGGAGATAACACATAATATACACAGTGCTGATACAGCTGGGCAACTGACATTACAACCTGAAGAGGAGATAACACATAATATACACAGTGCTGATACAGCTGGGCAACTGACATTACAACCTGAAGAGGAGATAACACATAATATACACAGTGCTGATACAGCTGGGCAACTGACATTACAACCTGAAGAGGAGATAACACATAATATACACAGTGCTGATACAGCTGGGCAACTGACATTACAACCTGATCAAGAGATAACACATAATATACACAGTGCTGATACAGCTGGGCAACTGACATTACAACCTGATCAAGAGATAACACATAATATACACAGTGCTGATACAGCTGGGCAACTGACATTACAACCTGAAGAGGAGATAACACATAATATACACAGTGCTGATACAGCTGGGCAACTGACATTACAACCTGATCAAGAGATAACACATAATATACACAGTGCTGATACAGCTGGGCAACTGACATTACAACCTGATCAAGAGATAACACATAATATACACAGTGCTGATACAGCTGGGCAACTGACATTACAACCTGAAGAGGAGATAACACATAATATACACAGTGCTGATACAGCTGGGCAACTGACATTACAACCTGATCAAGAGATAACACATAATATACACAGTGCTGATACAGCTGGGCAACTGACATTACAACCTGATCAAGAGATAACACATAATATACACAGTGCTGATACAGCTGGGCAACTGACATTACAACCTGAAGAGGAGATAACACATAATATACACAGTGCTGATACAGCTGGGCAACTGACATTACAACCTGATCAAGAGATAACACATAATATACACAGTGCTGATACAGCTGGGCAACTGACATTACAACCTGAAGAGGAGATAACACATAATATACACAGTGCTGATACAGCTGGGCAACTGACATTACAACCTGATCAAGAGATAACACATAATATACACAGTGCTGATACAGCTGGGCAACTGACATTACAACCTGATCAAGAGATAACACATAATATACACAGTGCTGATACAGCTGGGCAACTGACATTACAACCTGAAGAGGAGATAACACATAATATACACAGTGCTGATACAGCTGGGCAACTGACATTACCACCTGAAGGGGAGATAACACATAATATACACAGTGCTGATACAGCTGGGCAACTGACATTACAACCTGATCAAGAGATAACACATAATATACACAGTGCTGATACAGCTGGGCAACTGACATTACAACCTGAAGAGGAGATAACACATAATATACACAGTGCTGATACAGCTGGGCAACTGACATTACAACCTGATCAAGAGATAACACATAATATACACAGTGCTGATACAGCTGGGCAACTGACATTACAACCTGAAGAGGAGATAACACATAATATACACAGTGCTGATACAGCTGGGCAACTGACATTACCACCTGAAGAGGAGATAACACATAATATACACAGTGCTGATACAGCTGGGCAACTGACATTACAACCTGAAGAGGAGATAACACATAATATACACAGTGCTGATACAGCTGGGCAACTGACATTACCACCTGAAGAGGAGATAACACATAATATACACAGTGCTGATACAGCTGGGCAACTGACATTACGACCTGATGAGGAGATAACACATAATATACACAGTGCTGATACAGCTGGGCAACTGACATTACAACCTGAAGAGGAGATAACACATAATATACACAGTGCTGATACAGCTGGGCAACTGACATTACAACCTGAAGAGGAGATAACACATAATATACACAGTGCTGATACAGCTGGGCAACTGACATTACAACCTGAAGAGTAGATAACACATAATATACACAGTGCTGATACAGCTGGGCAACTGACATTACAACCTGATCAAGAGATAACACATATTCTACCATAAATTTGAAACAGCGAATTTTACGACTTTTTCAGTCATAGTCAGAAGGTATTTTAAAATAATATGTACATTTGTTTGTTACAAAATACAGAACATTGGTTACTACAGTTTTAAAAGTATGTCTGACAAATAACTTTCCGAAAACATAGAAAATATATTTCAAGTTTTTGGAACAGAGAGTTCCAGATTTGTCGCTTTGCACTCTGTTCAAAATAAGAGGTATCTAACCTATATTGAGACTACCTTCAATTTCACAATTGAGCAGATGTATCAGTGTTCGAAATAAGCGCCTGCCTGTAGGCTGGAGGCAGGTGGATCTTGTTTCAAAAGTTTCAAATTTGTATGGGTCCTTATGGCCTGCAGTAAATTCATGAGTTTATTTATTTGTCACAATGATCTGCTTTTTTTCAAAGAGGACCTGGAGAGTTTAGTCAGGGCCTGCAACTACTGAAGTCTGTGGGTCCTGATGGCAGTCATTTTTTTAATTTTAGACCCTGAGGTGTACCTCCTAAATAAAACATACAGACGATAAAAACAGATTTAAAAAATTATCAGTCCTCACTGATCTGAGATAATCCACAGTCATATATATATTTCTAAATTAAATATAATACAATGTAATTAATGGCTCTTGATTCTTGATCGACTTATTTCATGGTACTACATACAATTGCTGAGACACTTACTGCTGCATTTCGGCTATTAAGCAATGGTTTAGCTTGCCGCAGGAGAAGCCTGTGATCAGAGTCCATCACATAGGGCTTCTTCTTTGGTTCAGATTCCTTTGTCTCATCCTCTTCCTCCGATGATTTGTCGGAGTCTTCATAGAACGGTTTGTCTATGTCATCAATACTGTCCTGGAAAGTGACAAACTCAGGTGCTGTTATCAACTAAAATAGTTTATCACTCAGGTCTAACTGGCATATTCCGATGCCTGCATAAAAGCTTAAAATGTTAAAGTTATTATTCTAACATCACAGTAAAAAAAATAGTTCAATTAAAACCAACTGTTTAACCAATTATGTATGTATCTTCTAATCAACTTGTGATGGTAATTTTTATTGGCAAATATAACATCATGAATAGACATGAGCAAAAACATGGCACTTCAGGCCTGGTTACTTAAAAAAGTCCTCATCAAAGTTGGAATAAAGGAATCAAAGCTGCATGACACCACTCACACTATCCAAGCTGTGAATTAACAAGCTTGAGGCGAGAGTGGCACTTTGTTTTCGTCAAGTGGACAGTCTAAATAGTGATTGCTGCTATGCCTAAGGTACATGTACACTGTACATAATTTGTTACAGTTATCGTTAATCATTGCCGGTATTTCCAAAGACTGAATCCTCCCCAAACCAACTCTTTATACTGAATTAAGGTCTACAAAGTCAGTGGTAGAAAACCAGCCACCACGTTACGTCAGACTTACATACCCGGTAGTTAATATGGACGGAGGTATTCATGTAAAGAAAATGAGACATGTTCCAATATTTATTAAAACAAAACAGTCTGTCAGACTTAGTCTGGTTTGGGTTGATGAATTGTGTTCGACAGTATGCGGTCAGCAAGTGACAACATGTGACAAGCTTCAATATTTATTACATCCAGACATTCTGTTTGACTTACAGTCTGGTTTGGATTGAGGAACTTTGTTCGACAGTATGCGGTCAGTAAGTTGACAATATGTGACAAGCTTCAATATTTATTACATCCAGACATTCTGTTTGACCTACAGTCTGGTTTGGATTGAGGAACTTTGTTCGACAGTATGTGGTCAGTAAGTTGACAATATGTGACAAGCTTCAATATTTATTACATCCAGACATTCTGTTTGACCTACAGTCTGGTTTGGATTGAGGAACTTTGTTCGACAGTATGCGGTCAGCAAGTTGACAATATGTGACAAGCTTCAATATTTATTACATCCAGACATTCTGTTTGACCTACAGTCTGGTTTGGATTGAGGAACTTTGTTCGACAGTATCTGGTCAGTAAGTTGACAATATGTGACAAGCTTCAATATTTATTACACCTAGACATTCTGTTTGACCTACAGTCTGGTTTGGATTGAGGAACTTTGTTCGACAGTATGTGGTCAGTAAGTTGACAATATGTGACAAGCTTCAATATTTATTACATCCAGACATTCTGTTTGACTTACAGTCTGGTTTGGGTTCAGGAACTGTGTTCGACAGTATCTGGTCAGCATATTGATAATGACCACCTGCCCCCATTCCTCAACGTCCACTAGGAGGTTACACATCTTGCGGTAGTTCTTGTGGATCAGGTCAATACGCTCAGGGCACACTTCTTCAAATGCTTGGATGGCACTCCCCGCCACCAACTGCACAGACGAAATACATTTGTAAACAACATCAAAGTGGACAACCACAATTCCATCCATCCAGAATTTCGAAGAAAAAAACCATCTACAAAAGTTACTTCATTTACATATTATACATGCCATGTTGGACAAGTACAGAAGACTTGCAGAGTTGTGTCCCTTATCTGCCAAGATCATCTGGTTGGTTTGAATCCTAGATTCACCAAACAAATGATGATCCTTGGTACATCAGCACCATACCTGTGCTGGTGGGTTTCATCAAAGTAAACATCTACAACCTAACTCAATATGTCACCGCCAGAAAAATATCAGTCTTGATTATTTTTCCCCAGGGGGTAAAAGGCAAAGTTGTCATGAAAATTATATGAAAATCAGTTATGACACAGAGCGTTCGCAAAAAGGGTAACCAAGTCATGGCAGGCATTCCTCCCACATGCAACAAACACGCCACAGTATCACTGAAGCACAATTGAAACTTGCACAGAACCATCTTGCCATGTATCTTTTATGGCAGATAATGTAGTTAAGCAACAGTAGACCACACAATTAACTCACAGTTGTCTTATCCCCAAGAAGCTTCTCTATGACTTCTATCAGCTGTTCCTTGGTCTCAGGGTCAAGGCTGAAACCAAAAGAGCAAATGATGAAAAGGTTCCTATTTTGTCCATATGTACATTCTCTCATACGAAATGGAAACATGAAACACATATCCAGTCTGTGACTGTAGCCATAAGTCCAAAGCCTGAGTCTAGTAATATTTTATTTGGTCTAGTAATCTTACTTAATAATTCTACTGAAACATGTTGAAAGCCATGTCCTGGCTAGTTGTCTCAAATGTTTTTAGCACAGACTGCATTTGAATACAATGAGCACTTACACATACACACGAATGAATACAATTGAACAACCTTAAAAGATGGCTGAAAAAAAGCATAAATGATACAAAAGCACCAATTTCCTCAGAGAAATTGTTGGTATTACAATGACTGATTTAACTCTCAATCATTGCAATCTATCAAGCAGAGTTGAACTAAGTAGACAAGCATAGGTTATCAGTAGTCAAGGGAAATAACTCATGCCAACTGTTGAGACAGTGAACGTTCGAATCAATATTTTAATACCCTGGTATTTAAAATTTGTAGGCCTCAAATAGCAGTATTTTATCCTAACAGGAATAGCATGGATATATCTGTGTTTGGCATGACACTGATGCTGACATCAGCTGACCAGTATATATATGTCATCATTAAGTAACCTGATTCAGATATGTAGAAATGGATCTTACTACACACCGAGTTCACAACACTGTCTGCCTTCCTGTACAGCTAGGGTAGAGCATGAGCTGCTGTCTACCTGTATAGGTTGGGTATACCATCAGCTGCTGCCTACCTGTATAGGTTGGGTATACCATGAGCTGCTACCTACCTGTACAGCTTGGGTATACCATGAGCTGTTGCCTACCTGTACAGCTTGGGTAAAGCATGAGCTGTTGCCTACCTGTACAGCTTGGGTACAGCATGAGCTGCTGCCTACCTGTACAGCTTGGGTATACCATGAGCTGTTGCCTACCTGTATAGCTTGGGTAAAGCATGAGCTGCTGTCTTCCTGTATAGCTTGGGTACAGCATGAGCTGTTGCCTACCTGTATAGCTTGGGTATAGCATGAGCTGCTGCCTACATGTACAGCTTGGGTAGAGCATGAGCTGCTGTCTTCCTGTATAGCTTGGGTATAGCATGAGCTGCTGTCTTCCTGTATAGCTTGGGTAGAGCATGAGCTGTTGCCTACCTGTACAGCTTGGGTACAGCATGAGCTGTTGCCTACCTGTACAGCTTGGGTACAGCATGAGCTGCTGCCTACCTGTACAGCTTGGGTAGAGCATGAGCTGCTGTCTTCCTGTATAGCTTGGGTATAGCATGAGCTGCTGCCTACCTGTACAGCTTGGGTACAGCATGAGCTGCTGCCTACCTGTAAAGCTTGGGTATAGCATGAGCTGCTGCCTACCTGTATAGCTTGGGTATAGCATGAGCTGCTGCCTACCCGTATAGCTTGGGTATACCATGAGCTGCTGCCTACCTGTATAGCTTGGGTATAGCATGAGCGGCTGCCTACCTGTATAGCTTGGGTATAGCATGAGCTGCTGCCTACCTGTATAGCTTGGGTATAGCATGAGCTGCTGCCTACCTGTATAGCTTGGGTATGGCATGAGCTGCTGTCTTCCTGACATAGGGGGACATGTCCATCACTGCCTCTTTGATGGCCAGCATCATGATGGGTGTGATCACAGGCACTCGAATACTTGACAACACTCGCAGGGCACTTGCTCGAATCAGCTGATTCGGATCCTGGTACAAACATGAAGGTAGAGTTTGATAGATGAATACTTCACTAGGCTCTGTACTATGATATGAATGAGTGAGTGAGTGAGTATGGTTTTACGCCGCTTTTAGCAATATTCCAGCAATATCACGGCGGGGGACACCAGAAATGGGCTTCACACATTGTACCCATGTCGGGAATCGAACCCGGGTCTTCGGCGTGACGAGCGAACGCTTTAACCACTAGGCTACCAGACTACCCCATGATATGAATGAACATCATTGTATGTGATTAAGGCTCAACTATAGTATGAGTTATAGCTACTATCAGGAAATCAGGAAAGTAACAGTTGAAGCCAAGTGATGTGATACACACCAATATTAGCCATGTCTTCGTTAAACTATATTGTCATCAATCTTGTAAGTAAGGATCATAATACCCATATATCCATTTATAAAAATATTTTTATGTGGTCTTTCTAGATTTGAATATTAAAACATATTTAACTTAAACATCAATATTTGTTGAAATTATCAACTTGAGACCATAAAAACTAAACTGATGACCTCATTAACAAAACGAAAATAGACTAATTGTGTTCATCATGAAACTTGCCCTGTATTTATGCATGACTTGTTATTGATATGGTGAAAGTCCATCCCTATATGATGAAGTAACAGTACAGAGACAATCCTTACACCAGCTTTACACTCTCCATGCATCATCTATCAATATTTGTTCAAGTTTGTGTAAGTTCAAACAGTCCATGATCATTTGAACTGACAACAGTCATAATAAATCTCACATGTAATTATTGCCAAGAGTGGCCAAGTTAGCACCAGATAATTGGTCACCTCTCATACTTACAGATTAAGAATTCCAGGTAAATGGTCAAAATGTTTATTACAAATGGTGCACATACAAATCCAGGAACTCATTCAGGTAAAATACAACCACATAAAATTTTGAGTTGTCACGGTCTTGCATATGTTCTGAGCAAAACCTTTTTGAAGTTAAAAACAGTGTTTCACAATAGACTACTCTGCTTACAACATTTACAACCCAAAACATTGTCTTACAACCACCCTCATTAATGTTGTTTTCAGTATCATAATTCATATCACACAAGCATACATCAATGTTTGTTACCTTCAAAGCTCTCTGGAATGTGCTGATTGAGAGCAAAGCCAGGTCTTGTTGTTCTTCTGCATAGCGCGTCAGGTACACATACACCAGCTTCTTTATCTGTCAACAGAATAAAGTTGTACACCACTTCAGACACAAGTTGTTAACTAGACTGCAACAGGTTGTTTGTTTAATGCCCCAGTCAGCAATATTCCAGCTATACCACAGTGGCCTGTAAATAACCAAGGCCAGACCAACCAATGGTTATCACCAGTATGAGCAAAGTTTCACACCATCTGCACCGGTAGGAACTAACATTTTCAGTCCCCTAGTCCTTGTAATAACAACATGTAGGAAAGCCCTTAATAATGACAAATTTCTACTAGTCCCTATGATACCTTAACTATTGGGCAGATTGGCAAGGACTACAGGACTAGTGCCAATTTCTAATGCTGATCAGGGTACAATAGTACACAATCAACCAAGTCACAGGTCTACCTTAGATGCCTCTCATGACAAGCAATAGAGTGCTGGTGATCAATTCTAACCCTGGTTCCCAGGTTTGTTGCTATAGTCACATTAGTAACATTACTATCATCACAAACACCTTATAGATTTTCCAGTCAGAAAGAAACTACCCCAAAGTAATGTGCAAGTATTCTTTACATGGTTATGTCCCTTGACCAGCTTCAAATGCAAATTACTGTCTAAATTAATCATCACTTACTACAAGCAGCTGTGGTTCCCTCCCGTAATACTACCTTCTCATTCAGCTGTTTTTGTCTCAAAACATTCTCTCAAACAGTAAAATCCTCCTGTGTCTGACCAAGGACTATTTAGTTTCATCAAACCCTGAGACACAACTGAAAGTATTTTTACCCATTCTTACCTCAAGGTTTTTAGAAACAACATTTTTCACAACTGCGGGAAACAGATCAGAAGCATCCTTTCCTTTGGCTACCATCTGAAACAGTAGAGCAACCTATGAACATACAACAATTATATTAAGTCACACAGTGCAACTGATGCTATGAACAGGAACACCAGGGAGGTCAAAATGGCATGTTATGTTCCATGAATGCAACATTTACATATGCCACTGATAAATGGCAATCAAGTCATGGAGTGTTTTATCCAAGTAAATACACTTCATATTTCTTATCTTAATCTCAGACTTTGATCCTTCGCACCAAAATAGAACTCATACCTTTTGAAGAAGACTTTTTGAACATTTGTAAGATGACATGTCTATACTGCTCATCCTAAATCAACCAGCTCACACCTAAAGATTGGGTCTTCCTGGTGTTCATCAATACAAGTACTATTCGTACTCATCTATAATATGCGTTTTTGTTTGTTTGTTGTTTAACACCGCACTCAGAAATATTCCAGCCATATGTCAGCTGTCTGTAAATAATCGAGCCTAAACCAGAAAATCCAGTGATTGACATCACGAGCATCATCCACACAATTGGAATACGAGACATGCATCAACCAAGACAGCTACCCGATCCTATTAGTCGCCTCTTACGACAAGCATAGTCGACTCTTACGACAAGAATGGGTTGCTGAAGACCTCTTCTACCCCAGATCTTTAGCTATAAATAGACATTTTGTTGCTCACACATTGGATACAGTAGTGAGCCTGTGTGAACTTCACACTCAGCAATATTCCAGCACTATCATGGAGGAATGTATAGAATGAGTCTGGATGAGGCAAACCAGCGATTGTGAGCAAGAGCAACAACACACATCACTGTGCTATGAAGCTATTAAGGTCACAGAGCTGCCCACCTGATACCCATTAGTTGTCTGTTATGGCAAGTATGAGGCACTGGTAATCTTTTGGACTCGGAAATTCAAACAAGAGAGGTGGCTTTCTCAGCAGTAGAACAAAAGCAGTAAAAATGACATTTGTGACGTATTCTGATTGTTGTCTATACAATACCCCAATGATTCTTTTCATGGCCTCCAACTTCAGATTGTCCTTGTTGCCATCAAGCATTGACTTCAAGTCTTCATGTCTGTAAACACAGGCAAAACAATGATCATGTATGAGAAAGCACAGAGTAACTTGGAAGAAATACAAACATAACACTACGTATTTATACATTAGTCAACCGCACTTGCTTTACACTTTCATCATATTTCTATTCTCATTTAATTGTTTAATTGCCTTTGTTCCAGGAGTAGCAAAGTTCCATTCATGGCCTGCCTACTTTGTATACAGGGTTTACAATAAGTAACCATGTGCTTAATGACGTAAACAAGGTAGGCGCTTCAAAGCTCACTGAAGACATCAAAGAGTTTGCCACTTGTCGCTGAAGTTATGTTACAAATTAAGCTACACGAGGTGAGTAAGTAATAAGTAATGAAAACATACCTCAAAACTTACTTTTACACTAATGTACATTTAATCAAACTTGATCTGATGATAATTTTGCATTAGAACAATCATGTGCACCGATGATGTATTGGTTGCTATTTGTCAACTTCCTGTCTGTCATGTCATTTGACTGATCATGTTGTGCATCTATTTTTAACTTGACTGTCAAGGAGGGACTCGAAATTTATTGCGATTGTTATTAAACACGTAATCAGAAATATTTCTTAGGGACTCCAAAACACAGTATGCGAGGATATACTGATACATGACATGTGACCCAAGTTGCTAATATCTGAAAAATGACTGGGCACATGACTAGGTTAAGGGATCAATTTCCCCGAAGTAACCCCACTCAAATAAGCCTACAGAAACAATACAGAGGGTTTTTTTTAGCCCGTTATACAAGATTGCATAATAGTACTGTCAAGAATCCTGAGGGAAAAGTCAGGGACATTCTTTACAATGACATGTCGAATAAATAACTAAAATATACATAAAGGCCTATACATCATATGATACATTTTACCATTATTTATCTATTATATACCTCAACTCTGATATAAGGTATATGTCGTCAATAACCGTAAAAAGTCCATGAATACAATACAATTAGAACTGTCAATGTTGATGTTCTAACAATAAGCATCTCAGTATAATCAGGCATATGACATGTCACTCAACCGGTGTCAACATTGACCCACCTCTTAAAATCTGTGGTAAAAAAGCCGCTACTGGCGGGGTCAGTAGCCAGATCAGCGTCGGCACTGCCCGTCGATGATGGAGGTTTTTCGTTGGCATAACTTGTCGTCAGCTGGAGGCCGTTTCCAGACATTTTCTTTAATTTATTGATTCCGAAAACAACAATATTCTACAGACGGCTCCTCCAGCTTCCGTCTTTCATGAGCAAAAACCGGAAGTCATGTGGCAGGTATGAGCTATTTCACACTCAGGAACTAGAACGAAATAAGATCGTGTAAAATATCTATTCTATTCTAACATTTTCTTATTGTCAAACTGTTAAAGGCATACCCTGACGAAGAGCAATTTCTTACTTCTAAAACAACTATTGTCGGCATGTCATCATTATTTTGATGACCGCTGGAAAGGAATAATGATTTTGTGGGTGTTTTCTCGTATTCGAAAAGTAACGGTAATCATCATTCAATCTGTCACCATTATCACAGGGAGACAAATTGGTCTTGAGCAGTCCAAGCAAATTCGACTTGAATCATTGAACTACATTTATGTGCTAATTCAATGTATGCGACGTTGTTCAATTAAAGCAGTGACGTAATACTCTAAACATGCAAAGAGTACGCCTCTTCTTCCCACAAGCTAAAGGACTGGTAATTTATTATTGGGGGGTGATTAAATTGGTCTTGGGATTATATCCTATTTTGCTAACCCTCCCTGCACACACACACTTTATCTTTTTAATGATGCTAAACCCCACCCCAAAACAAACATATTTTTTATGCTGAGTGCGGCGTAAAACAACAAACAAACAAACCAGTCCAGAATGGAAATGGTCGGGGTTGGTTACCCTTGCAGATTTCAGAAGTAATTTAACCTGGTGATCGTCCAAATTTATCTTGACCACACATCTCTGATTTTCTTAGGCCCGGGGCACGGGTGGCCCAGTCGTCTAAGGCGCCGCGATTCGCTGTGCAGAGTTGCGTCCCTTGGGCACGCCAGAAACCTATGATTGTGGTTGGCCCCGATTATGTTAGGTGTGTCAGCACCATACCCATGCTCGTGGGTTTCACTGAAGTGGTAAACGTCTTAGACCTGCATCACTTCGGGCTTTCCTCCCACATTAAGCTGATACGCCGTGATATAACTGGAATAATGTTAAAAGCGGCGTTAAACCCAACTCACTCACTCACTCTGATTTTTCTTGAGCCACGAGAAACACAGAGCTGTCTTTCTGGACAAGTTACACATTTTTTGCGAGTTATGATCTGTTAAGAATATATTTTTAATTTAGGACAATAGTGTTGCACATCTTGATACTTACCCATTATTCACGAGATGAGCATTTATCTTGTGCACATTGTACGCAGTGAATACTTTCTTCATGCATGACAGTTTTCTAAAATAACGCGGGATTGCATAAGAAACTCAGCGATGCTTGAATGTTGGCAGGGTTCAGTGCCGATTTGAGCAGTATATTCCAGTTACATCATGGCGTGTGATGAATCATGCTGGTGTATGGTGAAGAGGCTAACTTACAGTGTCATCACCAAATGGACCATAACTAATAATAACAAACTCGCATACGAGATTTTGCGAGTTTGTTTATTGTTATTAGTAGTAGTAGTTACATGTACATGGTCGAATCAAACATCAATGTCACTATCATTTCAAGAAAAGTATATATATAATTATAAGATTGAGTGTCTCAGTTACTTTTGGAAACCCAAGGGTGGCGGGTGAAATTCGCGACAAATCTGATCGTGGATCCTGACACGGCTGTGTTCCATGCATAGTGCTGTTGTGTTGGCTCGTCATGCACGTTGAAGATCAGGGTTCTGTTCTCAACATGGGTACAATGCCTGAAGTCTATGCATTCCTTGCGGGATAAACTTCAACTCACTCACTAACTTTGAGTTCAAACCGGTATTTATTCCGCTGTGATTTGCTGTAAATCGTTTAGACTACTGTATGCACTGTTTTTGTTTGTTTGTTTGTTTGTTTGTTTAACGCCGCACTTAGCAATATTCCAACCATTTGGCGGCGGTCTGTAAATAATCAACCAGACAATCCAGTGATGACAGCATGAGCATTGGCCCACGCAATTGGGATCGATGACATCAGTTCCCTTTTACGGCAAGCATGGGTAGCTGAAGACCTATTCTACCCTGGATCTTCAAGGGTTCAGTATGCATTGACTAACTGAACCAGAATTACTTTGAATTAAGCAAACTATTTGAAAAACAAACTTCTCTGAGTACCTGAAAGATATGCATACATGTCCAAAACACTGTGCCGTATTCTATATCTTTACCATGATTGGTTTGTATTTGTGCTCAGTCGCTATTCTCCGCTATATTCTATTCGCTATAAATGACGATTGCAAGCCATGACACTGATAAAATGTATCTCTTACCTTGACACGTTTTTTCAGTTGATACGACTGATAAAAAAACAAGGCGCTGAAGGCTGGACTAGTGAAAGACCTCGGCATAAAGCACGCATGTCGAAAGTTGACCAAACAAACCAAACTAACTTGAATATTACACTGTAAGTATATGACTAGGCTGACATTTAGTCCCAGAAACAATTAAACAGAAAACAATGTACAGTAAAATGTGTGTATGTTTAACAAGAAAGACAAGACAAGATTTATTCAGTAAGTAGGCCTCCAGCCCATAATACAATAATATATACATGTTATCTAACCTGCATGCATGTAGGTATACTATGTATTTAGCCATGATATTGACGCTAGTCATGTTTATAAATAAATACAGTCAAATACTTATCCTTAAACAAGCAATGGTTCTTCACTTATACTTCTAACTTTCAGCAAAAACTTTCCATTAGATATCATAATATTTTTATCTGTCGATGACATTAATGATAAGACTGTTAAATAATTTGAGCAATGTGTTAAATATTGTGCTAGGTATTGATTTCTGACAGTTTGATATCTTGGGCATATAATGAGAACATGATATTCATCTTCAATAGAGGATTTATCAAGTGAGTGAGTGAGTGAGTTGGGTTTAACGCCGCTTTTAACAGTATTCCAGTTATACCACGGCGTGTCGGCTTAATGTTGGAGGAAAGCCCGAAGTGATGCAGGTCTCAGACGTTTACCACTAAGGTGAAAACCACGAGCACGGGTATAGTGCTGACAAACCTAGAAACATAATCGGGGCGAAACGGGATTCGAACCCACAATCATAGGTTTCTGGCGTGTCCAAGGGACGCAACTCTGCACAGCGAATCGCGGCGCTTTAGACGACTGGGCCACCCGTCAAGAGAATTGCAGAAGATACAAATAAGAAAACGGTTTATTACATCAACGCGACACGATTACACTTGCTAGTAAATGTGGTAATCAGTCTTGTGATAGTATGATTAGCATATTTTCACGACAATTTCATATCACAATATAATAACTGCTGATATCAGTACAGTGCCTGTTACAGAGAGCCCGCAAAGATATCAATAACTGGTATCTATGTAGGTTCTACAAAGCTACTAGTCTACTACATACACACATAAACTAATACTAGCGACTCCGTCATCATGGTATAGTCACGAACAACACCATTCGATGATTTGTTGTCACGAGGTGTACGTTTGTTTTCAAAGAGAAATCCCCTCGTACTTATGAGTAAATAAGCTAAATATAGCAGACGACAAGATCCGTTTTCGTGTTCGTCTTTTTGTGCAAACCAAATGAATATTTATATGTGGACACATCCACACATAGCTGTACAAGAATATGCAATTTACTATAACGTCATTAATTAATGTACGTTAATTGTATCAAGACAATAATACGTTACGACGAAATTCACAAACAAATAGCTCATTACCGGCAGAAATGACGTAATTTCATGTGACATTGACAATTGCGCATGCGCCGCAAGTACTCTGCCATATTACAGGAACACCTCACAAAATATTGGCAGATTTGTCTAAACACCTGTGGTAAATGAGAAGAAATACTGGATTAGATTTGTGGGGTCGATAGCAGATTGATATAAGTTGACACTGAACTGAAACAAAATGTCTGGCTTCGACAGCAACCCGTTTGCAGATCCTGAAGCGTCCAACCCCTTCTCAGTGAGCATTTTGTCATATTTTCATGATTTCAGAAACAGGAAGTGGGGGTGTACCAGCAAATTATGCTGCTTTCATATCAAATATGATAATCTGTTGCTTGTTTTTGTGTTTTTATTTGTGTAAAGGAAACTATGAATTGCTCCATCATTACTCTGTTGATTTCTTTTCACGACGAAATCCTGAATCCTGAAGCAGACTGAATTCATTTAAGTCTACATTTAACACATGACATGTCCTTTCAGATATGCTAAACGAAGTCAAACGTTGATCCTTAACATTGAGCAGTGCTTATTTACTTATCAGCATTTTGTCGTGGAATATTGTGTGTTATTACGGTCATGTCACAAAAGATAATATATTTGGAACACTAACATAAGTGACACTAGTGACAATTGGATCTTGATGGTCAAAAACAGTTGGAATCATTAGTCCAATTTCTTCTCTTCGTTTAAAGAATAGTCTAATATGTGTTGATGTTTTCAAGCTACAGGCAAGACTGTAGTTCACTGGGCGCACCTTATGCTTATAGAGCGTATTGGCTCCAATCGCTGGCTGTGGCTTTTGTTTTTCGTGTGCCTCTTTTATGAGTAAACACCCCTTCACTACTCCTTGGGTAGGGCACTCCTGTCAGTCAAACACCCCTTCCCAATCCTTAGGGTTAGGTGTGAGTTATGCTGTGGGTTAGCTATCTCATCTCTTTTATCAAATTATTCCAATGTAATTTGAGGCAAATCACTGCTGTTCTGAACTAGTTGCGAATTTTGCAGAGAAATATGGTTACCGTGCATGTGCATCAAGGTAAACAATCACTAGTTGTGGTAGTGTCTGTGATCTTGTGATATAGCTAATTGAATTAACTCATCATGCTCTTTGGCCTAGAATTCAAACCTCTGCCCGGTGCTAATCAAAATCTGAAAAAGTGTGCATGGTGAATAGTAGTACTTTCCAGGTATTGACAATGAACAAAGTTCCATATATGCCAGAATAAATAAGAATTACAAGTAAGGGTTTCCTGAGGGCTGGCTATCGATAGAGATTATAGAGATTGATAATCGCTGACTAAATATCGATCAATTATGGATAAATATCGGAGAAGTAACTTTAAGCAAATATGTGAGAGAGTCCCGAAAGAAACCAACATACTTCACACCAGTGGTGAGCAGTGACACATTTATACATAGATTGTGTTGTGGACATTTGCGATATGCTTTATTTCATCACAATAGTTTATGTAGGTTATTATCGATGACAATCGTATATTGATAATCGTTAATAGTTCTTCCCGTCAACAGTAATTCCGATTATCAATCTTTTTAGCTCAGCCCTAGTCACTGGGTGCCATCAAAATACATGGCATTTGTTTCACAAGTCATTCATATACAGGTATATACCATACTGACCTATGGCGACATACACACCATGTATTACGGCAGTTACAGACGTAATGTTACATTTGGTTAGGAGGTAGTTAATATGTCGTAAGTCATTATTTTGAGTTGGTTAAATGTTGTCCTTCCATTACTAGTGAATCTCTAGTGAGGTAATAAGTAGAGCTTGAGATTAAAATTATTTTATAAATATGGGTACAAACATGAAAAATGTTTAAAATAGTTGTTTCAAGGATGACTTTTTCTGTCAACGGAACTCTGCCAGGGTTAGACTAGGGTTTTCACTAGTCTACCATACAGTATCTGTCTTCCTAATTGTGAAAATTAGGCCCCAAGGTAATGTCAATAGTGCTTCATTAATTTTATGATTTTACTAATCTGGTACTAGTGAACTTCCTGTAATTTAGAATGCTGACTTTGATCTCAACAATACTAAGAGCTACATTAACAATTTGTTACATTAGAGTTGGAACATTATTGTTGTCTTTGTTTGATCCCAGTACTCTCAATGAAACTCTGAAATTAAGATGATATTTATAACTGATGTTGATTTATCGTGACCTGATAGTATTGATTCTATACTTGGTTGTCATTCTTCACATAACTGAAGACAGTTTTGTTCATCAATATCATTTTCACTTTGACACCAGACTACAGTAACATACACTATTGTGTTGTGTGTTGTCCATTAATTCTCATGTGACTTTGAACTATTGCATTTTGCAAGTAATAATTGATAATGACATGATCTTTGGTAATTAATTACAATATCATAAAATGGTTTACAATAATGAAAGTGGGTCTGTGCATCACTGGTGTATGTATCACATGTCAATGAGATTGCAAGATATCAAACTGAATGTATTGTGATAGGGAACAAGGCAAACATCAAGAACCTGGTAAAGTGACTCATTTACCATGTTTACAATGATACAGAATATTCAACCTGTTGTTTCCATTTGCAGAGGTAAACCTACCCGTGCTAACAGGTTTTCAGTTACCATAGTTACCGTGGCTAGTATCATCAAGACCTGTGACTACATTTTATACAACTGAAACCTCTTCACCATGTTCACTCTTATTGTTTGGTTAAAACAATCCTTTAGCATTGTTTAGTTTGTTTTCTAGGAAAACAAATTTGAAATAGATTCAGCATGTTCAGGAATACCAAGGTTGAAATAGGACTTACCCTGACGTGCGTGATGATCCATTGATGCAACAGACACTTCAGCGCGTTCAAGGCAACAGTTTGGATGCATTGCATTTTTGAGTGAATATGAACATCATAAACCCACACTTAACAAATCAAAATGCTTTTGATTAATTTTATGGGTTAGTGCACTGAATAAACAAAAAGAGGCAATTCAAATGTGAAGTTAAGTTGTGTGTACCACTGGATACTTATGTTGAGTAATGGTAAAAGCCCCTTGAAAGAGAGACAAGTTTGTTACTACATGTGACTGATTGAGTGTCACGGTGACTGATTGAGAATCGCTCGTGCTATCAGCCACTGGTTTGTCAGGTCAAGTGTTGATTATTGATCATGTTGATGGTGACAGGCCACTTTGTAATTTGATTAATCTTCCAAAATATAAGCAGCATACAATCACTAATAGCTAGTGTACAATCTTGACAGTAATATCAAGTGAAGTTACACAATCCAATTTGCTTCAGCATGTACAAGGTAATCCCGATTATTGTCCAAATTTTCGTATGAGATCAGCAATGGTGTCATGTTCCTGATGCCACATTACATGGTATATGTTTATTATCTGAGATTGTCAAAGTAATATTGTACATTGTTGTATTCCTTATTCAGAAAGTAATTGCATTTTTTTCATAATTCGCAGCTTTTTCATGTCAGTTTTGTTGTGAAGATAAATCCTGAAGTCAAACTCTGTGTAAATCAATGTGCATGGTGTGTGTTTTACCACAGCTATGGGCTCAGTAGGGGATGTAAATCAGCCCTAGTTTCTGTATAGTTTTGATTTCCTCCAGCATGTCAATGCAAGAGTGAATTGCACACATTTGGGTTAGTCATCCAGAAAGCTGCATATCTTTGTTAGTATATGGATTTCTCCTGTACTGCTACATGTTTATTCATTGTATTCATTAACACACATTGCACAGATCATGTGCATATGTGGCTTCATCAAGTCAGCTATGAATGTAATGTTTTCTGGAAAAACATTTGAAATTTGTTATGTAATTGTTAATTTGATATTTGATTAACATGATGTAAATACAAGTGAATATATTTTTGTGGGGTTAGTAAAATGATTTTGCTCTCTGTTAATATGATTAAGTTAACATGGTTATGACAAATATGTTGTATTACCATAAATAAAAAACCCAAACAATTTATGCCTTACTTTGTGCATCATGTTCATAGAACATATGTATATACGACAAAGCTTGACCAGTAACTTTGTATTGAAGTGTTTCATATTGCAAGGGTTGACTTAACCCATGAAAATATCATGATTCCTTTAGCACGTTTATGAGCTATTGGTCCCTTGGCCATCTCATTTACAGTTTTTGATTACTTGATGTTGACCTATACATGTTCAAAGAAATCTTAAGCTCTGGAAGTTTTTCAAGGTCTTTGACTTTCGATTATGAGAAACCTGAATTTCATCTATTAGCACAGTAAACATGGGAATGTATAAGGAAGTCAAACAGTTTAATATTGTAATTTCACACATAACCATGTAACTGATTCTTTGTTTGTAGGCTTTTTGACCCTTGTACTTTTGACAATTTAATTTTGTTAAAGAGACAAAAAATGTGAGTTTCTGTTTCCTGAAATTTAATCATGAACATGATTGAGATTGTGTTGATTCATAATCATGATACTGGTGGTAAACAACCATCACATTACCATATAAACATGATAAATACCAAGAATGGAACACTGACATGTTTTTTAATCAGTTGTGTTTTTTCAATCATTTCCTCTACCCCCATTGACTTTGATTCTCACAGTTGGAATGTGTATTGCTAGTTAAGTTTAATGGGCTCGAGTCTTTGTTAGACATTGCCTTGAATGTTATATGGGCAGCCCTGTGTCATCACACGAGGCAATTATACATTATGTTCCAATTCAACAAGGTGATAAATGACAGGCATCAACATAAAAATGATATTCACTGTGCGCAGCTGGTGAATATTGACTGTATGACAGTGTACCAGCTCTGAAGCTGACAGTGACTTGCTCAGATGCTCAACGGAGTGACAGTTGACATAGTGGTGAGTGACTTCTCAACTTGTCATTTATTAAGAGTAAGATCCTCAGTGTGGTAGGAACGTGCTACTTCACACTGCTTTGTTGGTGTTGGAGGAACAAAGTGTTGCAGGCTTCACAGGTCCTATTGGGATTTAGGTGTTGAAGTCATTCACTGTGATTCAGTGTTGGATATTGAGGACACATCATTAGTTAGGTCTGCAGCATGTGCAAGTAAGACAGTGATTAATAAACCTGAAATTGTCTTCTTCTTTTTTTTGTCATTTTCAGTAGATTCTGACTAGTTTCGATTTGGACTAATTTGCTAGGCATACTTGAATCAAAATGACAAAAAAATAACTTTTAGCCTATTGATATGCCAGCTTATGTGCCATTAATGTTGAGGAGAACCATTATCACCATGATTAGCTGTGCATGCTGTCGCCATGATTGTGCTGTATTATTTTGTAATATAACAATCACAACCTTTAACATCTCTAGTTGTCGAGATCTACTCAATCCAGTACAAGATATCCTTCAGGATGGACAGTATTCTGATCATGTTGGTTAGTGTCTGGTCAGTAAGATTTGACAGTTACACTTTAGATTCTCGATGTTGGTTCATGATGGCAACATTACCTGTACTATAGTGCAGGTACTGGTTATTGATGAGGACCTGGCTTCCAGAGGGCTAATTAATGTAGCACAGCTCAGTCTGCGGAAATCAATAGTGTGCTATAGAGTGAACATGGTGTAAGGTTGCTGCTGATTGCCAGCTATATGCTCCAGGCACAGTTGCAATGCAATGGCTGAGAGTTACTTAGTCTGACCAATCTTCTGGTAAACATGGTAAATGGAGGCACTACATGTTATTAACGTACATGGTGCTTCAGATTGCCAGGGGCCCTAAAAAAACAAGTGAGCATCCCGTTGCTGAACAATATAGATTCCCAGATCCATTTTTTCGTCAAAATGGCCCATGAATTTGGAAGGTAATGGATCACTTGGTCCATCAGGAGTCGATCAATCTGAAGGCCCGCAGAAGGTCTGCATATTGGAGGAAACTGCTTCATTGATCATTGATCATATTCAAGTAATCTGACCTAGTCCATGTAGTCAAGAGTGATATTCGTCATTGCTTTTTGTGGATGTCTATTGAGATAATATTTCCAAACATGTGACATGTCAGAGTCGTTTCTGCACATTCAATGTACTGTGTACTGCGCATGTCGGAAAAAGGATATGGAGATGAATTATCCTGATTCATATTCATTGCCTTAGTGGGAAAATAATGCATTCCTGTAAACACAGATGGCTACAGTTAAATCTTTGTTACAGTTGGGTCATTGAATTGCTGGGGTAGCCTAGTGGTTAAAGCTTCGCTCGTCACACCGAAGAACTGGGTTCAACTCCTATGGGTACAATGTGGGAAGCAAATTTCTGTTGTTCATTGCCGTGATATTACTGGAAATATTGCTAAAAGCAGCGTAAAACCATACTCACTCACTCACTCACTCACTCACTCACGAAAATATGTCTGGAATATTTTGAAGATATTGTCTCAGTGTTTTGTGATCTTTAACCATTGACCTTTTACAGTGTTGATTTATCATGTGCCCAGTGTGAATATTTCTTGAAGATCATGACAAAGATGAAGAAGTGGTGGATGTATCTTTACTGTTTATTCTCAACATTTGTCATGAGTGCTTGGATGAGAAACAATTGCGGCCAAAGTGTCATTGAACTCAACTCACACATGGAATGTATGTTGTGTTCCAGGACCCCTCTGTCCAGCAGGCTGCCGGGTCGGGACGAGGCGGTGGACAGAAAGCTGGAGGGCTCGATGACTACAACCCTTTCGCCGAGGGCAACCAGACCAGACCAGCATCAGGGGTAACTGAACATGCTAAATGTGTCTGCAGATCATGTCATATCCCGAGTCCAATGACCAAGAAAAATTAGCTCTTGTTTAATAAACATGATCTTGTTTGTATTTTGTTGAGAATTGCTGTAACTAAATTATTGTACACTTGAATATAATTTGTTCTGTATTTGCACACGAAACAAAAAAAGTAAAATAGCATGTAGGGCTATAGCTACAAAATATAGTTATGGACTTTGAGGTAATGTTCTGGAAAGGTAATCTTATGTGTATCCTTGTTTACTATTGTTTAAGTTACATTTGTTCTGTATTGAAACACAATTTGACCCCGTGAAGACCCACGGTAGACTAGGTCTTCAGCAACCCATGCTTGTCGTAAAAGGTGACCATGCTTACCGTAAGAGGCAACCAACGGGATCAGGTGGTCAGACTCGCTGACTTGGTTGAGGCATGTCCATATATCCCAATTGTGTGGATGGATGCTCCAGACTGGATTATTTACAGACCGCGGTCATGTAGCTGGAATATTGCTGAGTGTGGTGTTAAACAACAAACAAACTTAAACACAATTTAGTAGCCTTTCTGGTTGAGAATTGTCTGCATTGTTGACCTCAGTCAAGGGAGAGCTTTATGTATAAATAAATTGGTGCAATACAGTTTTTGTATGAGAACCAACTTTGCCCTTCAGTCTAATGCCTCCACCACCCCTCTGGTGCCACCTCCTCAACCCGCTCAAACTCAGCCAGCCATCATGACCCCTTCAGAGGAGCCCCCACCGCCCTACACACAATCTGCTGCCCAGAAGATAGACACAAGTGAACTTCAAAGGAGGCAAGAGGTAGGTCCACCGTTGTCATTACGACAGGTTCTGTTACACATGGTTCCTCCAATACACGTTCATCTTGACACACAGACAGTGACTCATGACTTCTGGAAATCAAATGAGCCCTATTACGTGTATTAACTTTTTGAAAACCATTGCCTCATGTTTGGATGAAAAGTAGAGCAGAAGTCTGCAATGCTGCGACACATTTCATGAAAAATAGTAAGGCCGGGGGATATAGAAATGGGTTCCGTCCGTGTGTGCGTGCGTGTGTGCGTCCAAAAATCGTTTCCGGAGCATAACTCAGAAACCGTTAAATATTTCTCTACGAAACTTTGCATGTCTATCAGACTCATACTGAACTGGTGCCTTTTGCTATTTAGGAGTTTTATAAATTTTTATTTTTTACGTTTCCATTGCAACAAGTTGGACTTAGGTTCTATAAGGGTGCTGTTCGTTTCCGGAGCGTAACTCAAAAATCGTTAAATAATTTCTTACAAAACTTTGCATGTTTACCAGACACATACTGAACTGGTGCCTTTTGCTATTTAGGAGTTTTATAAATTTTTATTTTTTACGTTTCCATTGCAACAAGTTGGACTTAGGTTCTATAAGGGTTCTGTTCGTTTCCGGAGCGTAACTAAAAAATCATTAAATACTTTACAAAACTTTGTATGTCTACTTGGCACATACTGAACTGGTGCCTTTTGCACCAGGAGTTTTATAAATTTTTATTTTTTACGTTTCCATTGCAACAAGTTTGACTTTTTGTGGCACCTGTTCGGGAGGAGTTACTTAGTGTTCAGTCAGATTCCAGCTGTTTGTTTAAAGAAGCATACACAAATTTTGTAATACTTAAAGGAACACTCAATTGGAATTAAAACATTTCTGTGCAATATGCCAAAAATATCCAGTTCATTTGAGAAAAATGATAGAAGAGTTGCTTTTATATTCAAAGAGATGTGGAGATTATGAAGTATAGAGTTTGAAATTAATTGGGCTTTGCCATGTTAGGAATATTGTGGAGGTTATTGACGTTCAGTGCCTTTTCTCTTTCAGGAATTAGAAAAGAAAGCTGCTGAGCTTCAGAGGAAAGAACAAGAAATGAAAAACATGCAATTCAAAGGTCAGTATTTTAGTTGTCAGTACATGGATAGAAATTAGCCTAGCCCGTGTTTGTTGTGTTATGCTAAAGGTTTCCCCAGGGTTAGTGATTTCAAACCATTTGAGGGGTTGTGTTGTATGTTATGACTTTTTAAGGGATTAAACTTTCCAGGTTAGCTTTTATCCCTGTAGGATTGTCAGTGGGGTATTCCTTTACAATTCCCAAAGTCATTTTGAAGAAGATTGAGTTCAGTTGTAAGAGAATGCTCAAAGAAAAAGACTTTCTTTTCATATAACAATATTTGCAATTTGGTTATAATTTTGATGTAGTTTGATTGTGTTTGCATGAACATTTTGTGTGTAACAACTTGTTTTTGTGTACCTTTTCAGACCGTCAGAACAACTGGCCTCCTCTGCCAAGCTGGTTCCCTCTCGGCCCTTGCTTCTACCAGGACTTCAGTGTAGATATTCCATTAGACTTTCAGAGGATTGTCAAGTTTGTCTATTACCTCTGGATGTGTAAGTAATGCTCTACCTTCACCTCACATGTCTGAATTTCATGAAATCTACGTGTCCTACAACCCATGCATCACTATTTTCCCTATCACAATGATAATTTTTATACTTATCCTGCATTACTCCTTAATGCATGTTACTGCTTGTTCTTGACACTGTTGCCCCTCAGTCTCAGTCTCTACCCAGAGCACCCTGACGACCAACACCACGTCTCTCTTATGGGCGGCGGCCACCACCATGATGCAAGGCGAGGCACTCTCCTTCCAGATGGCACCTATCCAGTCCACCGGACAGACCCCCCTTGGGCTATGGTTTTCAACAGGTGCCCCCGCCTACGTCCCAGTCGCCTATGATGGATGCTGCTCTCCTCCAGTACTTGCAGGCCTTACAAACAGACGCCATCTGCCTCAGCCTTGGCCCCAGTGCCTATACAGATGCCTCTACAAGCGTCACCCACAGTGCCTATACCTGCGTCTCTCCAAGTGCCTATGCAGAAGGCGCCTATCATACCGACGCCCGCGCCACCCCCAGCGCCTCTCTGAGGCGAGCCTCGTCGGACGCCTATATAGACGCCCTCTCTTCTACCGGTCGTCAATCTACCTCCCATTATTCCTTGGCCTCTGCTTCGCCCAGTACAGCCTCTCATTGGAGTGACAGTCGCTCGTCTCGCCGGACTCACTGATCTAGGAGCCTCTCTCCTGTCCGTAGATGCTGCAGCGGATACCGTTCTGACTCCTCGGAGGGTGACTTCATCCCATGCTATGATGACACTCCCACTGATGGCAAGTCCCACCTTCGGCTAGACCAGGTAGGAGACTTGAGCCAGTCACTATCTTCCCCTGGCCTTGAGATCAATACTAAGGATGCCATTATTTGGACCCTACCACTCTCCCACCGGATCCTTTGATGATCAAGGACATGATCTAGTCCCTTGACAAGGAGTTTAGCAAGCTCTCACTGACTCAGCTCCACGCTACAGATGGAGTGATTATCCAATCCACTCTCTCGAGGTTGCGGAACGCGCCCATGAGTTAGATGAGGATATCCATCACATGACCGGGTCCAACCGTCCCACTTCGATATGAATTTCCGACAACAAACTCACTTATGTGGAAACAGAGATTCATCGCTCTCTCAGGCCACGCTCACTTATGGTGTCGACCCCCACAGCCATTTTCCAGGACCTGTCAGAGGATAATCCACACCGGATAGACCACCTTACCTTCGTCTTATCCTACCTACAACGACAGGTTGAGCATATGCGCTCCACCTTGCGAGCTGCTGTGATCAAACTCTGACAGATTGACAGAACTCTGGCTAGGGTATCACAGTCAGCCTCCTTTTGATAAGTCGTCCCAGTCTGCCTCCTACCAACCCTCTGCACCCACAGGGGCGGGGCTTCCCCTCAACGTCTCGGGGTAGAGGCAAAAGCAAAGGCAAGTCCTCGGGCTCGTACCAGCCCCGCCGCAGCCACTCCAAGGGAGGGAGTGGCGACCGCAAGGACTCTCATTGATTTGCCAGACACGCACAACTGGGACCTCCCACCACCAACCATCCAAGTTGTCGACTCTCCAGGTGGGAGATCTTGGGAGACCCATACGTAACCAACATCATCCGGACGGGGTACAAGCTGATGCTTATAGACAATCCGCATCTCATGTCGTCCCCCATAGCGGTCGTCTACCCACCCTACTCAACATCTCATTGCTACTGGCCAAAGAGGCCATAGAGGTTGTACACACCCCAGCCTTAACACCGGGCTTCTACTCACCCATCTTCCCTGTCCCCAAGGACTCGGACAGACACAGGATGATTCACAACCTCCCCGCTTTCAACAAACGCTACCTGGCGTGTCCATCTTATTTCAAGATGACCACGCTGAGGCTGCTGCGATCCCGGATCCAGGCACACGATGTGCTTATCGGCCTGGACATGGGAGGACGCATATCTACATGTCCCAATCCATCCCGACAACCGAAAATTCCTCTGCTTCATCTTCATGGGAGTCCATTACCAATGGGCGGTCCTCCTGTTTGGAATTTCTTCGGCCCCGTGCCTTTTCACACGGCTTACCAAGCTGATAGCCTCGTAGCTCCATCTCCGGGACATTCACTTCAAAGCCTACATTGACGACTGTCTCCTGAATCATTGGGACATGGTCACTCTACTTCGTCACAGGGACTTAACCCCCCGGCTCCTATACCAGTTGGGTTGGAAGATCAACCTCAAGAAGTCAGAGTTGACACCCTCATTCCACCTTCAATTTATCGGGGGTCTTTTTCAGACGAACCTTGACCTCCTCTCTGTACCCAGGGACAGGTGGGAGCACATACAATCGTACTTGATCCAAGTGCTCCACCAGCCACGCACGCTGCTATTTGCTGATAACCACACAGCCGAGGATTGGCTGAGGGAAACAGTTCTGAGATGAAAGTCCACATCTGAAGATATGCTCTCCACTGATTCCGTCGGATAAAGATGCATTAAGGAGTAATGCAGGATAAGTAAAAAAATCTAGTAAAATCCTAGATATTTTTATATTTGTATACTTGTCCTGCATTATTGTGTCTAAAGAGCTGCCTCCCCATGATGCCTTCTGATGTTCTGGACTCCAGAGTATTGTGAGGATCCATGACGTCACTTCCCCTGGTCACGTGGGAGCTGTGTGATAGGGTTGGCCTCTCAGTTAGTTGAAACAACTTCTTCAAGCAAAGATCTTCACACAACTCTTTCCTCTGTCAAGAACAAGCAGTAATATGCATTAAAGAGTAATGCAGGAAAAGTATACAAATATAAAAAATATCTAGGGTTTTACTAGTTAAAAATAAATAGTTAACATTGATTTGATGCCATGCCATGCCATGCTCATGCTAGACACAATTATTTCAAATAAATACTGTTATTCATTTACTTTTCCAAACATTTTAATCTAAAATACACCTTGCTTGATCTGACACGTTCGTATACATTCAGAAAAGGTTTATAATTTCATATGAGACAACAGTCAGTGGTACCTAAGTTAAATTGCCAACACCTTAAACAATCTGCTAAAACTAGGACTTGGCGTACATGTTTGGCTCCGTCATTGTGTCGAGTAATCTGCAGGGTGGAAGGTACAGGTGCTTGTCAACATACCCGCAGTACTATGGCAATGGTGCTTTTGAGTACCAATGCAGATGGATATTGTATGATGGATGGATGCAACTTATAATGGATATTGTAATAATGGATAGTCACCCCTAAAGGACAATTACGTTGCTTAGGAAGTCATTTTGAGATCTATATCGGTCTTTGTAGGGGTCTTTGACTAGGAGACCGATGAAAAGGAGTTTCAGGCAAATAAGTATTGCATTTCGTCAACCTTTGGACTGCCTACATATATCTTGGTGGATACGTTTGATATAATCATGACAATAGGCCCTGCAGGAGATTTTAATGAATAAATGGTTCATATTACCGTGATGCTGTGTGCATAGAAAGGTTTCACACTTATTCTATTTGTGAACTACAGCATGTTCTTTGTAAAGTAAAATGTTAATTTATCAAATTACTATGACTAGGTCAGATAGTGACACTTTTCACTTGATGCTAATTATGCCATTGCAGGTTCAGTGATTTCTGAAATGGCTAAGTAACAAGTTTCAATCTTATTTCAAAATGTCAAGCAGACATTTCACTGGACTACATCTCGTCTGCTTTTACTTCCAGTCCATGTATTTGTGTTGTTCCTGAATGTGCTGGCAAGTCTGGCTTACTTCATCGTGGACTCAAATGGAGGCACTACGTTTGGCCTGGCCATTTTGTGGTTCATTGTCTTTTCCCCCTGTTCTTTCATCTGTTGGTACAGACCACTCTACAAAGCTTTCAGGTAGGTGGAGCACCATCAGTGTTCAGTGATACATGAAAAGGTTTTCGCCCAACTGTGCAGAGTTGCATCGCTTGGGCTTTCCAGCAACCTAGGATAGTGGGTTAGAAACCTAGGTTTGTCAGCACCATACCATGCTCGTGGGGTTTACCAAAGTGGTCAATATTAAAGACCTCATCACTTTGGGCTTTCCTCTCAAGCTGACACCATGGTATAACTGAAATACTGTTATAAATGGTGTTTAACCACACTCACATGATTCTTCTTAAATGCATAGTACCATATTTACACATTTCCATGAGGGCTGTTATTAGAAACATTATTGACCATTCAACAGGTTTTTAGCGAATAGATATTGATAAATTTAAATTAAAGACGGCTTCATGTTCAGAAGAAATTGTAGATTTTGCATCTCTGTTCACTCTGGTGACATGTCAGACAGCTGAATATAGAATGGAATGGTTGACCAAGAGGGGTTAGTGTGTGAGAGATTGACTACAACTACACCCAATCACTCAGACATAAGGCTGTGCACACAGACCCATTTAGCTATTACAACAAGTGAGGTGGGAGACTCATATTGTCTTGTATACATATCATTTTGATTTATCTGTTCTGGTACTAATACTGGTTATAATAATGTCTATTTTCTTCTGTTTCAGGAGTGACAGCTCATTCAATTTCTTTGTATTTTTTTTTGTATTTTTCTTCCAATTCTGTGTGTATGTCATTCAGTGCTTGGGCATCACGAACTTCACAGTGTAAGTAATATATCTGTAAATTGAATGTCTTTTGGGTTTTACTGGTCATGGACTAGATAGAGCTTAGAGAAACATGCTCATATTTCTGGTTTCTGTAAGATATCTTGTAGTTTTACTGTTGAAAATTTCATTTAGTGGACATTATATATGCGAACACAAGTAACCATGGAAACATGTTAACTAAAATTATTCTAAGGTTAGTTTCCAGACAACTTTGAGATAGATGATCAGGGGGTTAGAGGTCATTTTTATCATAATTGTGGTGACTGAGTAAAAAGTAAATAGGTCACATGTACAACCTTGCATGACGATGGCTATGACTGGTACACATTGAGCACAGGCCAGAATTTATATCTGGTTTTGTTTTGATTAGCTAATTGTATGATTATGAAGAATTACTGTAAACCTTATTCACAAGAGATTAGGATGAGTGTTTTGGACAAAAAAACAGATTAATTGAATGGTTAGTATCCATATTTGACTACTTTGTTTATCAGTTTGAATTTTATTCATGTTGCATGTAAAGGAATTACAAAATGTTAAGAGTGTTGGGGGGGAGGAGGGGCATGGGTTACCCAGTCTTCTAGGGCGCCGCAATTTGCTGTGCAGAGTTGCGTCCCTTGGTCACATCAGAAACATATGATTGTGGCTTTGATTTCTGGTTCGCCCTGATTATATTTCTTGGTTCGTCAGCACCACACTCGTAGTTGTGGGTTTCACCAAAGTGGTAAATCTTTGAGGCCTGCATCACTTTGGGCTTTCCTCCCACATTAAGCTGACACGCTGTGATATAGCTGGAAATACTGTTCAAAGCAGCACTAAACCCAACTCACTCACTCACTAAAGTTGACTGTGTATTTCAGTGGCATCATCACAGGTCTCTCGACAGTCCGCAACAGTATTGCTGCGGGTCTCATCATGATATTTATTGGCATCTTTTTTGGCCTGTTGGCCATTATAAGCTTTGCCACCCTTGTAAAGGTAGAGTTGGGAAGACCTTCCATTGGTTGTGGGCAACATGTATGGTTGCTACGCAAGGAATGTTGGTCAGGGGTAATGGGCCTAGAAACGGGATGTGAGACGGAACTCTGTACATGTGCTTTTATCCACCTACTTATTCATTGGCAGATTATGTATGGTTAATCATTTGGTCTTTTTTATAAGTAAAGCTAAGATTTTTATTCCATCTTAATACTGTCTCAGTTTCCAGTTTCTAAGTGCCATTCTCAAGTCTGACATTCAGATTGACTTGCAATTACTCAAGAATATCCAGAAAGTGCTTGTGGAGTATTACATTTTTGCTTCAATGGACAGTAAAAAAAATGTAAATAACATGTCAGTAATGTTTTTTGTTAATAAAAGGAAGTTGTGATAATTTGATCTCATGTAAATTCCCACCCAGTCTGGCTATACTTGAGTAAGTGCATGAAAGCAACTAGAATTAACCCAGCATGTTGACATTGTCTGTGGTTATTGTCTTGATGGTACTCAGTTGATTCCTAGCTAGCTATTCTGTTGCAATAGTTGTTTTTTTCTTGTAGAGGGTGGATTAACGGCCTTGGCATTATAGGCAAGAGTCCAGGGGCGGCAGCTGTCATGCTTATTGTAGCCTTCTTTTTTTCCCTCAAAGCTGTTGCCTGCATGGTTATGCTCATCAGGGTAGGTACAGGCCTTGACGCTACAGCTGGTTATGTGGACACCACACATGATCGCTCATATTCATACAATTGCTGTTGGGGTCTATGTCGGCAAAGGTGCTACAGAAATGTACCCCAGGTTTTGCTGTTTACACAAGTGTACCCCAGTTACTTTTCTGTACACACAAATGTACCCTACTTGATAGCATGTACAACACTGGAGTCAGGATAAGTATATTTTCAGTATGTTTCAAGATGCATAGAAACTGGTTTCAATTTGCAGAAACATTATGTCTATGCTGTGAGTTCACTGTTGATCTTTAATCCCCTACCAACCATGATTCATGTTTGCGGAACTGCCTCTGGGTCTGGTGTCTACCCGGAGAACAGAAAACCATTGGTTGCGAACTTCGCGCTGTCATACCAAAATACATTAAAAAATAGTACTTGTTGTTACCTAGTTTGGCACTCAGCATTAAGCATGTTAAGGTGATAAAATAAGGACTAGTCGGCTCTGAGTCTGTATACTGTGTCAAGAGTTTTGTATACATGTGGCATGCTATGTCAGTGGGCTAGCACTATAAAACCAGCATTAGTCCAGGCTTGTACACACAGACAGACATGGACACGCACAGAGGCAGACACGCTAGGAATCTTGGAGTGCAATAATTTTGGAACTTGACCTTAAACCTCATTTCAGTTTTCCAGGGATTGTGTTGGTGCATGGTGAATAATAGACTCCCCCTGACTTAGCACTGTTAATATTGCCGCACTAGGTACATTTCTAGTTTGGACAGGGTACATTTGTGTGTAAGGTAGCTGGGGTACAGTTCTGAAGCACCTGTGCCACAAGGATTCATTGATATACCCATGTGCCAGAATAAGACTAACAATTGAAATGTAAGGAAATGAAGATAATTTTTTTACCTTTTCCTTTAAGGTATCCCTAAAGAAATGCAAATCACAGATGTGGTACTTTTAAAAAGATAACTTCGCTACATTCTGTCAATATCATTATCAATGAATTGTTTGATAGGCATCACTTAGAAGTTGACGGATGACAAAGTAGAGACAATTTATAGATAACTTCTATATATACTGTAAAGGCGACGTTTAGGTATAGATCCTGATACGGTTGTCAAGCTTGACAACAGTATCATAATCTATACCGCAACGTTGCCTTTACAGTAATTAAAGAAGTTGTAATCCATAAATTGTCTCTACTTTGTCATTAGCAATAGCTGGTATTTGCACAAGTACTTGTATGAATCCATATTCTGGAGTTGTTCGTGGTTCTAGAGACAGTTTTGGTGATTGATTTTCACTGTTTTTGGTATGAGGGTGATTTGAATATTTACTTTTGATTTAGAATTGGGGGTCTAAATTAGTTTGAGTAGTTGAACGTCTCTAAACATGCAAGTAGTCATTGAGGAGCATACTTAATTTGTATTTATCGATCCTGTCTGAAGAATGATATCGATTGACTAGAAACAGGGAGACTGGGGACTAATTGTGGACTTGACAAGGACTTGCCCTTGTAGATGCATGTTAATTAACAGCATGCTAGCTGAATAGATAGTTATTTACTGAGAAACTACCTACTGTATGAGTAGAGTCAGGCATGCTTGATGTCGATGTTGTAGTGTTAGTATCACATGTCAAAGTAGTTCTGCATGTGTGTAACATATAGTAATGTTAGACTGTTTAGAGTACATGCACATATTATTTTGAATGTAAACATTTCACTGGAACTCAGATACTGATAATACATATTCTGAATTATTGAAGAGAATCGGTGACTTACAACAAACAGAACATCTTGTATCACTATTATTGGTGCCGAGTAATTTGAAAACTGATGAGAAAGAGGATTCGTTTTTTTAGAAGATAGCTGTTGGTATTCTCGGTCTACTCCTTCACCGATTGTGTTGTGGTTATTGTACGCTATAGAGGTATTGGTAGTGTTCCTACACCCATTGAATGTTGATGTTGTTGATGCTTACAAGTGAAATGCAAACACAAGTTCTTTTTCATGTTCCCTTTTAACACTATTTTTTACAATCATTTTCTTAAACTTACTAAACACGTTCATCCTTTTACCATTTCATGTTACAGGTTTGTGAACATCTGATGCATAATCTCTTGTCACAAACTAAGGTTAAAAATAGTTGTATCCTGTCATGTGATCGTCACATGACAGGATGTTGTCATTCTAAGCTTGTGTAAAGATGTAGGCAATATCTATTTTGTTAATAAAGGTGACAAAGTTTTCCTACTTTGTTGTTAAGACAAATATATTCCTATATATGCTATCAGCTTGAGTATCTTCACATTGGTAATGATCTTGTGTTGTTCATGTTGTAAAATAATAATTGACTAAACTTAAGAATGAGAGAGGTTTGGGGCAAACTTTTCAGGCAGTGGAAAGTTTACTTCTGCTGTTATCTCAAAGCTGAAAATTCCCATTACTGTTAAAAACATACAATTTGAGGAATTCAGTGTGGAAATATGCTTTCAAATGACTCCTTTTGGTATTTTCAGGTACATAGGATCTATCGAAGCACTGGAGCCAGTTTCCAGAAGGCCCAGCAGGAATTTGCGACAGGCGTCATGCGCAATGAAGCTGTACAGAACGTTGCCGCAAATGCCGCTTCTGGGGCTGCTCGGGGTGCTGCTCAGCAATATGGGTCTGGAAACCGATATTGAGGATTGCAGCACTATGGAATATGCTCGCCCTACATCAGGAATGTGCAGTGGGAATTCTGTTTCACGGGTGAGACAGATATCCCTATACCTTGGATGGAGAATGTGAGAGTTCACACTATGGATCAATGTAATGGATTTTGTCAATCTTCTAATAGGACAGCTTCCCAAACGGTTGATGTTATTTGTTATTTTTTAATGTATTCCCCATCACCTAAAACAGTGTAGAACTCCACATGAGGGGAAATGACGGAACTGTGGATATCTCAGTAAAGAAGATTTGTTTTTAGAATCACCTACAATTCAGTATAGTCCCATGCTGTATCTTCTCATAGGACAAGTTGGCTAAGCTTACATTGATATGATTCATGTCCACATTGTATTGGGTTAATCATACTTTAGGTGCTTGCAATATACTTACACACCCTGTTGCTATCAGGGTTTGAGAGATATATCAATCATACAGGGACCATTCCAAGAGGTATCAAATCAGCTAATGTTGATGCCTGTGTTTCTGCTACCATTTTCATAAAGCCCTTGGATCATTCATTCAGTGCTGTGTAGAATTGATAGCCCCTTTTGGTAGAAATAACTGTAAAGAATTAATATAAATGGTAAAAATATGTCACATAGTTCAGGTAGTTACATAGAGAAAAATAAAGAGCATGCCTTCTTTTTATTTTGAATTTTTTCATAGACTTCTGTCTAGTCCATTCATGTATGATGAAGGGTTTTCATTACTGGCAAACGTTTGATCAAACTTTATCCTTTTATCAATATTTATTATCACATTAACAGAATTACACTTGTGACATGCACTGTTGTCACATCCGTGCATCATGCATGTATGCATTTACCTTACTCAATGCACCTGATTATATCAGCATATGGCTTATGGAAGACAATAAGTATTATTGATTGATATATAATCATGACCAGTCTTTTCTGTCTGTCAGAGATTATGAGAATTATTAATCTGATAAGAACACAAACAAAATTTCTTCATACTGACAGTTTGATGTTTATTAGATTGTTGCTTTAAATTCCGAACATTTTGCATTTAGGATCAGCTTGATATGTCACATTGGGCAGGAACTGTTATAACAGCATCAGTTTCCTTCAAACTCTCTATAATACGATTCTGTGAAAGTTTTATGTTATTGTTAGTTACATTTCTTCATTTCCATCATTGTAGATAGCACAATGTTTGACTTCAATGCATTATTTATTGTTTTTGATAGACAAACTATATTTTGTTTTGGTGTGTACCCTGTATTGGCTAACTTCTTAAAATGGTGACAGATAGCGATGGTTGCAGAAGATGCTGTACTGTTGATGTTATTGAACCTATTGCAATATATGGGTGTGATGGAGAGTGAAACATTGGTACGAATCAAGTAATTGTGCAAGTACATATGAAAAGAGGAGCATTGTATATCTCTTGCCTATGTGTAAATTTTATCAAATATTTCAAGATAAATATTCTGTGGGAATGAACATGTTGTACTGTGCAAATGGACGTTGTCAACCACCAGGTGTAATTATTTGTCAGCATATGTTAAGAGGGCTAGCTTGTAGTGGTGTCATCATTGTTAAACTGCTAAATCACTATTTGTAGTCCTTGCACAAGTAGGAAGTGATGGTTGTTACTGGCTCTGTCACACCAGCATGTTATTACAGGCCTTGACAGATCAGGTAAAGATCCAATGGAACACAATTAGTGGAATGTGTTTGATGTAAATATACACTACCAACATTTAATACTGATCATTCTAACACTACAGCTGTGTCATAGACAAGTTTTCAATTTGACACTTTGATGGAATAAAATAAATACCCATATTCCGATACCTGTTTGACATGTGTAAGGAAACTTTATAGCAGTCAAATGATATCTGTAAGAATTCTTTTTATCTGTGTATGCTGGTAATTTATTGATTGATTCTTGCTGATTGTATAAATTAATAGTTGGGTAGTGGTATTAAATACTTGAAGGCCTGTGGCTTTGACACAGTAGATAGTGTAGAATAGTACTAAGCTGGTTGTAACGATCAAGATACTATCCAATTTTGACCTTGCAGTTGATCACCATGTAGAAAGTCTCTTTGAGGCGTTTGGGGTACTGAAATAAGTGGGCTCACCCAGTGTTTATTGTATATAGACATTCTTACCGTGTTACTTGTTGTTATGATTATCTTCATTCACAAGCTTTTCAAAGTGTGGTACAAGTTAGTGAGTACTTAAGGGTAGACATGCTTGTCGGTTTGCACGTCATTTGATCAATGAGGGAGTTGGCCATGGTCATGCTCTTGATGTTCATTGGCATCCTTTTAAGGAAAAATAGAAACATTAATTCATGAACATATGCACTTCCACATCCGAATAAGATAGACTAAAATGTAGTTTGAAAAAGATCCATGAAAGACTATGGTATGTGTGATATTAGCTTCCAATAATGAACTAGTTTTTAAACATTAAGAATAAACAGATGATTGTTTTTTACAGTACAAATTGAATTTATTTAAAAGTCTGGTCTGAAGCTATTGTTGGCATAATGGTTTGAAACCAACATTGAAAATGAGAATGTGTTCAAGTTCTGTGGTTTGGCCAGCATTGTTGTGTCAAAGCTGTACAAATGCTGCTCCTCTGTGTCTATCATCATCCTCATGTTCGTTACCCTTGGTTCAAATCCTTAGATTCTGTCTGAAATTATTCTCCTCTGCTTGTTGTTGGGTGCATGTACAAAATGTGTCCTGTAAAATATTCAGAATTGGTGAAATTTCTTTTGTGAAAAAGTGAAATATTATGTCAATAAATGAATAATGTGAGACTTCTTCTTGTTATATGTTTAGAGCAGAGGCTTAGTTTCTAATTTATTACCTGGAATAAGCTTTGTCAGTCTGTCTGTAGTATTCATTTGTTCATCTGATTGGTTTCGAGATCATGACTGAAATCATTCATGTCATTTGACCGCCTCCGTGGTCTAGTGGTAGAGTGTCCGCCCGGGGAGGTTCAATCCCGGGCCGCGTCATACCAAAAGACGTAAAAAGATAGTACTTGTTGTTACCCTGTCTGGCGCTTGGCATTAAGGGGCTAAAACAAGGACTGACCGGTTTGGAGTCTGTATACTGTATCTGAGTGGGGTATTCATGTTAAACTGCGGCATGGTATCTCAGAGCTATAAATACACACACACACACACACACACACACACACACACACAGAGCTATATAAGTGCAATAATCTTGGATGCAATGTTAAATCCCATTTCACCTCAGCTAAAGTCATACTCAATGTATACTTTTTCCTTGAGGTGGATGGCGCCCTGCTTTTAAAGGGTTTTAGTCAAGATTAGTCAAAGCTCAAGGTCATCATTCTGGTGTGTGTTATGTCATTGACAGTTTCTGAGGCATGGTTACCTCTGCAGATATGTTCCTTCATATTTTCTTTCTTAGCCATTCCTACTACATTGATGTCAAAGGTCAAGGTCACCTATGACATTGTGAAAAGTAAATGTATCATATTGTCAATTAAGATTATGAGCAGAATATCCTACAATGGACAAGACCAAGATAACTGGATTGCCACATGTCACAAAACGGTTGTGATTAAACTTTCCTCAAAAATGTATTATTGCATTTTATTGATTAATCGTCAAACTTGGTACATGTCATGTAACAATGTCATGTCAAAAGACCTATAATATTAAAAATACATACTTGATTTACTTGAGACGGTAAATGAAACCTTTGCGTTTGCATATGGGTATTGTATACTATCCACTATCTGTAGTAAACTGAACAAGACCATAAAGTCATCAATATCCCCCCGCCTTTTCAGATGTGCATAAATCAAACATTGTACATGTCATATACCTCATTATACGAAAAATGGTTTGTGAGTGCAACTGACATGATCACCAAACTGCTAAATGAAACCCTCCTTGGAACCTTGGTTCAAATTGTTAACGCAAAAACTAAAAAAAACCACCACCTCAATAGCAAAACACACAAATTCAGCATTTTATACAAGAAAAGGGAAACATGTTATACGTTTTGTTCTGGAAGCGATCCCTACCCTAAAGTGAAGTCCAGTCTTTTGCCCTGTAAACGCGTTTTTAAAAAATCCTGACAAGCACACAGCATAAGTTTAGTTGTGTGCCCGATGTGTATTGGGTGTTGTATGAAGAAATGTTGAATGGTTTATGAGTTATGCCCCAGAAACAAAATGTGACGAACAGACCACATTGTCCTCTGCAAAACTTTATTTGGGCGAGGCACAATAATAACTAACCATTAAAGTAAATGTACATGTACACTTATGTATTTTAGTAGGAGAGCTGGTCAAAATGTTCTCAGCCTAACAAACAAAACCAACAATTGCAAAAGTGTTTTTAATTATATTGTTCAACAATATCTCCCTGCTTTTCAATACACTTTTCATATCAGTAGTGAAGCTTTTCAATTCAAGTCATGAAGACGTTTTCTGGAGCCCCCCTGCCTGGAAAACCGATGGCAGCTTTGAGGTTATCGTTGTCGTCACAGCGCTTTCCACTAAGGTGTTTTAGTTTAGGAAACAGGTGGAAATGACTTGGTGCTAGGTCTGGCGAGTATGGAGGGTGAGGAAGCTCTTCGAACCCACATTTGCTATTCTGTGAAACGAGGCATTGTCATGAAGTAGTAGAACTCAGTCAGCACTCCTCGCCACTCTTCTTTGATAGAATCTCTCAGGCGATGAAGCAAATCAGCACAGTAGGCACCGGTAATGGTCTTTTAACTTTCTAAGTAATCAACAACGATTACACCCTTGAATCTTAGAATACAGTAGCAATAACTTTCTTCACTGATCTTGAAGACTTGAATGGTACCATTCCATAGATTGACGTTTTGACTCGTGATCATAGTGGTAGACCCATGTTTCATCACCCGTTACTAATCTCTATTTGAATTCCTCAATTAACTCTAAATGTTCTCTGACAATGTCAGTTCTTTTTTCCTTAAGATCAGAATTTAGAAACTTTGGCACCCAACGAGCAGATATCTTATTCATCTGAAAATGTTTAGAATAATAGTTTCAGTGAATTCATGGCATAGACATGTGTCTTCCTCAAGTTCAGCAATGGTAATACGTCTATCTAACAGTTTTAGTTTTTCTATCTCCTTGATTGAATCTTCAATGATTGAAGTTGAGGGACAAACCATTCTCTAAAGTAACTCTATCATATTCAACTGGCTGTCAATAATATACAAACGGCCTCAATGGACCAAAATACGAACGGCCTCAATGGACCAAAAACACTTGCAATGAACTACTCAAACTTTCACTTTCCTATGGCCCATAGTTGAAAGTTAGTCAGGCTTAGAACTTTTTTACCAGCCCTCGTATACAGCCAATACGTGTAGGTATTTTCTTGCATCAAGATAACATATTTTTCAGGAACAGCTAAAACAGCAGATATTTAAAAAAAATTTAAATTATGAGCCTGAATTTTCTTTAAATAAAACACCTTGCAACAACGTCCTCTTTGTGGCAAACAATTTTATTTTCAACAGTCTGAAGCATAATTATTTTGTTCCATAATTTTTTACGATAATTTTTTATGACAAAAACCCAGTCCACCCATCTGCACCTCCCGTAATGAAAGTTACTGCCAGATCGACGCCGGCCTCAGGTCAATAAAGGACGACCACGTCGACTATTATTTGTCTGACACTGACTTAACAGATCATGTGTAGGAATTTCTTCACCTGCATGTAAGTCAGAATCTGCGTTCACCTCTGCCACCCAATCTGCCCCGGCGATAGGATCTTCGTTTCTTCTAGCCGGACTGACGAAAAGATTCCTGAGAAGACTGACGCTTGTCGTACCCCCTACTTGGTTGGAAGGAATCCTTCCCGGAGGGAACAAACTTCTTCTTAGGAGGCTGTTTATATGACGAGTCTTTCTGATCCCAGGAACGCTTCTGGGGATGGGAAGATCCATGTGCCTTGGCCGCTAGGTTGATAGGTGATACTTGAAAACGTTCCGTTGTATCTTGTCTGACCTCGTCTATGGCATGTCACAATTTGCCGTTGAATGTCTTGGGAGCAGAAATTGGTTGTGACATTTTCAACCTCTTGGTTTGGCTGGAAAAAGCCCTTAAACGAATCTGTACTAGTAGTCGTTGACGCTGAAGCTATAATAACTGTGAAGACATCCAGACTTGGCTGGAGAGTAAGTCTTTCTGCAATCTGACTATGGTGTCTAGCGGGCTGTGGATGAATCCGACTTGATCTCTCCGGGCATGCCTTCATATTGATGTCTGTAATGGCGGAATGATGTGTCTGGTTCCGGCGACAAACCAGTTGATATAAGCGCCAATGTCCATTGAATATCTGCATGTCTGGATGCCATGGACAGGTCCTTAGCAGGTAACCTGACATTTGTATTAGGGTTGCGTACTTGCTTCGTCCAAAACTTTATGATCCGGAAGTCGAGAGTCACGAGTTTTAAACAACTACTGCTTCAATGTAGGTAAGGGTAGCCATGCATTATCTCTGAGCTTGAGTAGATTTTCCGACGCCTGGTCTACCACCTTGCCTGCATAACTCGGCCACGGCAATGTCTGGTGGATGTGTTGAGATGATGTAGGAGCATGACATCCCCCGTATGCCCCCGTGTTCTGTCAACTGCTCGCACCACGCCTCCCCTGTACATATGACCTCTCTGCACCCCCAGCAGCTACTTTGAGGATCTCCCGTGATCATAAAACGACCACTCTTCTTGCAACCAGGAGTAGAGGGAGACTCCGTGACGACCTCACAAACACACCACACACCAGCTTACGTGAGTACGATCGTCATTCCAATTAGCAGCTTTTAATATTGACTTACTGTGTCTGTTTTCTGTAGAAAAATATAAGAATAATCTTAGACTAATGTCACTACTACCAAGTGCTAGATAGTTACAACTATAACAATAGATGTTGACTCTAGCACACAGAAAAGAAGTGAGATTCCCGCCAGTACGCACGTCATAGCTTGGTTTGCTATAGTGCTGTGTTGGGAACAACTAATTGTGTGATTGACAGTGAAGAGGGCGTCTGTTGAAAATCTAACCGAAAATTTTAGTTTGTGTGACTGAAGCCAAAATACAAGATTTATGGCAAAGATGTAATAGAGGTAGAGGATTCGCAAGAATTAGTAAGATTGCGCCAAATCATGTACGAAGCAAAGCCTTCAAAACTAGCACAAAATGGGGTAGAAGGGAACATGGCAAACTTCACAGACAGGTTCCTGCAAGACAGGTCGCTGTCAGTTTAAATAGAAAACAATCAATCTGATCCTATGTCACTGGCCAAGGCAGCATTATAAGCCCAACCCTGTTTAACATCATGATCAATTACCTATTTGATCATGTCAACTCTCCTACCCAAACTTCTAAATCCCCTGATGACGGAGCAATATGGATAAAACAGAGATATTTCACAAATCCGATAAAACCTCCAGTCAGCCCTGGACGGAGTAGATCAATGGTGCAATAAATGGGGGTTCACCCTTTCAAGTGAAAAACCTGTGGGATTTCTATTCAAACGCAGGGGGAAAGATGCTATGATAGCCCATCTCTCCATAAAAGGCAAACCAATCAAATTCGAAAATTCCGCAAAATTTCTAAAGATGATTCTTGATCAACACCTCACTTGGGGCAAACGTATAAAATATGTGGAAAACAGGTGTCACAAAGACCTGAACGTATTGCGGGCAATTTCAGGCACAGCTTGGGACAATCAGGCACATCTTGGGACAATCAGCTGGACCTCTGCAAATCCTATCAGATCAAAAGTAGACTGTGGCTGTGAGGCCTTTCACTTCCCATCAAATACTGTCTTGAGCCGCCTGACAGAATACAATGCAAAGCCCTAATGCTGGCCACAGGAGCAGCAACATGTAATAACTAGAAGTAACAGAAGTAGAAACAGGAGAACTCCCATTGTAACTTTGTTTGTTTGTATTTTTCTTGTTTAACGCCGCACCGTTTAGCTGACGGCGGTCTGTAAATATTCGAATATGGACCAGACAATCCAGTGATTGACATTATGAGCATCGATCCACGCAATTGGGATCGATGACGTGATTTAACCAAGTCAGCGAGCCTGACCACCCGATCCCGTTAGTCACCTCTTACGACAAGCATAGTCGCCTTTTACGACAAGTATTGGTTGCTGAAGACCTATTCTACCCCGGATCTTCACGGGTACCATTGTAACTAAGAAGAGAGCAGGCAATATCATCGTACTGGGGACTAACATCAAACCCTTTGGTAAAAAAGATATGGCAAGACAGAAACACCCGAGATGAAGCCCTAGCTCGGAAAATTCCCTCACAAAATCCATCTGGGATATTAGTACCTGAACAACTTTGATGACATTCAGCCACCAGAAAGTATCTACAAGGTCTTACATCCTCCCTAGACTTTAAAAACTCCCAAAGTTGACAATGCTTTAACATCAGAAGTCACTAAAAGAGAAAACCCAACTCTGCTACGACCAAAAGCTATCAGTAAAATTCAAACTACCTCCGTCAGCTGGGCCTATATAATACCGAACCGCAAAAGAAACGTCACCCCAAGTAACATGGCATGAAAAGTCAAATGAAATTTGATGATAAAACACGAAGCAGATGACAATAAAACCGATCTCCCAAATGGATCACTGCAACGGCCATGGTAACCCGATGCACGTGAGTTCCGTGCAAATTGAATTGCACATGCGTTCCCCCATTTCTCTATAAAAGTCCACCCAGATCGGATAACATTCATTCGTTATTGAATTGCTACCACATGCCAAGATTGACAAGAAATCAGCGACACCAAGCCCTTGGACGATGGTCCGAGCATCATGGTGTTGGTTGGAATTGGTCTTGCACTGAGGGTCGGCCCTGTCGTCTTCCAGAACATCGGTCCAGGGAGAGGCAATGGTGTCACAGCAGCTCGGTACATTGATCAAGTCATGAGACCACACGCATTCCTAATTGGGCACGTCGCCGCAACCACGAGTTGTAGCATGATAACGCCCGTGCCCACAATGCGAGAGCAACAAGAGACTTCCTCCAGCGGAATGGCATAAGAACCATGCAGTAACCTGCCCTCAGTCCCGATTTAAATCCCATTGAGCACCTGTGGGACGAGATTCAAAGACGGCTGAATGACGTCCGATCAAGGCCTCATCCTTTTCATGTATCGACGTTGCACGGCAGTTATCAATTCACATGGCGGACACACGAGATACTGACTTGAGATGCCATTTTCTCAGAGACAAGTGTTGTGTTTCACTTTAAGAACATTTGACACTTTAATTTCAACCTTGATGATCAGTGAATATTCATCTTTTAAAATTATGTTTACAGTGTTTGGACAAATAAGGTTTCTCATATGTCTATCCATGGTGACGTTTCTTTTGCGGTTCAGTATATATACTGATGGATCCAAGAATCCCATCAACAACAGTGCTGGTTACGGGATCCATATCCATAACTCCAAACCCCAAGCACATTCGGTTCGCCAGCCAGATGGTCAGTCAGTATTCGCTGCTGAATTGGAGGCAATTTATCATGCACTCAAACTCATACCGGAACTACGACAAGGGCAGTCGTCCTATTAGACGCGCTAAGTGCACTTCATACCTATAGTGTTATCTTTTTATAATTGTATGCTAGTTTTAAATATTACTGTGATATTCTAGTTATTTTACATCGATGAAAGGTTTTCATTTAGTCTAATTATATGTATTCTTAATGTATAACTTCTCGTCACGATATGGCTGAAATATTGCCGATGTGACGTTAAATATTAACTCACTCACTCAAGCCATCCCCGTCAGGAACTCGAACTCTCTACACGAATATACAAGACTATCGGACCTGGGGAAACAGGTGGAGCTGTGCTGGATTTCGTCTCACATAGATATTCATGGAAATTAAAAAGCAGACACACTGGCGAAGCTAGCTCTAGGCAAAGCGAAGATACAGTCTATTCCCTTGTGTAAAGTAGAGATAAAAAGCAAAAATCAAAGCCTCCATAGCCCAAAGATGGCAAGCCCAGTGGGACGCACGAAGATCGGCAGATGGCTATACAAAATTCAACCAAAGATCAACCAAAAGCCATACTCATACTCAAATGAAAGGAAAGTTGAACTAGCCATCTCATGCCTCAGAATCGGACACAAAAAGCACTATGACAAGGTATGCCCATCTTGCACTCAGCCTGAATCCATTGCTCATTTGTTACTGGAATCTCAAGACCATGCCCCAGCCCGGGGCATGTTTAACATGTTTAAACAAGAGATTGCAGTTAGATCCGCTATCTGTCGTCGAGTCAAAGGGGTGCAGGAGAAAATGACAAGTATATCTATTCTCTGACTAAGGGTCGTTTTAAGTTAGCGGTAATCTGAGGAAGTGTAAATAATGGTGAAAATTAACGCTGAAATTACTAGTATTGTAAACAATTGAATGAAATCTTGGTTAAAATTAATATTATAGATTACAAACATAAGTTCAGATATACAATTGTAAACAGACAGTTTAATAAAAGCACAAACTTGTGTACTTCAGTATGATTTGTTGACATGCTATTTCCGGTGTTACGTGCTGGCGGTAACGTCATTGCGTTGGGAAATATCGAAACTCATAGTATGCTCGTCTATTATGCGTACCCCCTCTACACATTCTTTTTTTAAAATGTGCGGTCTATACGCAAGCAAATACGGTATTTAAGTGTTATCAGCGAACAATGAAAAAAAATAATCTTTTCTTTTCGAAATCGGTTCTGCGCAACTGTAATACAAGAAAAATAATTTGCCCTAAATATGTATGTATGCTCTTGGGAGTGAGATAAATTATTCCACTGCCTGTTACCATGGTCATACTTTGCTAAGGTTCAAGGTTACTGACTGTTGCATGGTTGATATGCCACCATATCATTGTTTGTAGGAAAACATCTGTCCAGTGCCACTTTGGGTGTTCCTCCACATTAAGCGGCCGCATTGTGATATGTTGCTCCAATACTGATAAACCAAATTCACTCAATCCTTACTTAAAACAAGAACAGGTACTTTGACATTAAAATCTTTCGCACACACGATACCTCTCTGCGTCAGGATTTGTGCTGGACGCACGAGGTGAACACGGGGCAAACTTTTACCACCCAGTCTTAACGAAGGATGTGTTTTTCAGCTAATCAGATGGTATCTTTAATTCTTTAACACCTCGATTCGGAATTTGATCTTACGGAAAGAAAACATGAATATACCCTACAAAACGTCTGTAAGTGGCGTTTAGAATTAGTATGATGAACAAGGGAGATGGTTCTATGGATTCAAAACTTCTTTATTACAATGATGCAACATTTGGCTCAAAACCTGTATATTCTTTTTGAATGGGTGGTCAAAGTTTTGTCAGATCTGATGGAGGCATCAAATAAGATTTTAAAGATCCGATTGCAAGGGCTCCTGAGCACTATTGTTGACGACCAAATTTGATGGACAAACGATTGAAAACAAACCCTGCATGTGACTATTATGCTATATTATCATCTGCTACTTGCCCTGATGGTTACTGGTTTTGTTCCTCTAAAGTAATATATTGAGGAGTACTGGTGTATTTGTTGGAGGTATGATTTGGCCCCAGGGTAAACAGGTGAGGTGAAATGGGGTTTAACATCCTGTTCCAAGATATTTAGCACTCATAATGCGAGTGTGTGTGCTTGTACTAGTCCGGACTAAGGACAGTTTTATGGTGTATGATGCCATGCTCTATCCACTAGACCACGGATGCGGTCAGCTTCAAAACAAGACACAGACAAGAGTTGGAGGTCAGCTGCTCAGTCATTTATTTCCATGAGTCTGGTGGCAGCTGAAGAGCTGAACAAATCCTGGTTCTACAATGTAGTCAGCACAAACAAGTTGGTCAATCTGTACATGCATCATGTTTAAACATTACAAAATATCATCTTGCCCACTTCATACATGTAATAAGTAATAATACCAAATGGCGCTCGCTCTCTCCACACCAGCTAGTTGGTAGTGCAATTTGTACAGGTCTGATGGTAGCATAGATGGGTGGCAGCTACCTGTGCAGCAGAGGATTAGTGGAAATAGCGCAACACTGAAACAGGATGACTCATGCAAACTTGTGTGAGTTGCATGAAAAATATACACATCCTGTTGGCATCATATCATGTCATACATATCATCTAGTCTCCAGTCATACATTTTAAACTTTTTTCTTTTCAATATTTTTATCTTTTTATAATGTACACAAGACAACTAAAACGCGACAATTTTTAAGACTTGTACCAATAAATTATAGTGGTACTCTGGTCATCACCTCAATACACTTGCATCAAAATATTGCAAAGCAGAAATTCTGAATAACGACCTACAGTTTTAGATATTGTTATGATCATAAGAAAATGTGATATGGTGAAAAAACAAAACAGAGACAAATGTACCTGAACTTTGGCAATGTTAATAAGTAAGTTCATAGAAATCCTAAAGCAGACAAGTGGGGCATGTCAAATGTCGATGTCAATGAATGAAATTACACCATTTCTTCGAAATGATGTTGTAAATGTCTCAATGATTTGGCCATCACATATCCTTCATCCAACTTTATGATGTACACCATGATAAAGGTTAGATGAAAGTCAGGCTAAGCCATACGTTTTTTGGAAAAAGATGTACATGCCTTGCAACTATTTGTGAAATGCAAACGAGGCAACGCCGTGCAACATATAAACAGCAAAATGTATCACAATAAAATAGCTTACAGTTATCAGTAACGTTATGTACATGATTCTAGGTTAAAAAAAATGTTTTATTCTCCCAAACCCGGGCATTGAGAAATGATACATACACATTAAAACTCAAGTACATTACCAGGGCAAGATAGGAGTGTGGTCACCCCATAGAAATACTTGAAACGAACGTGAACTGAGCCAGCGACAGAAGGCAATGATAAAATTGTACAAAGTAAACAAAAGCTGATGCACGTAGCACCTAGCTTAACAAAAAATATGTTCCAGGCCAAACAAGCCCGCTATTTATCCAACTTAGTTAAGAGACAACATCTAGCAACAAACAAAAAGAAAGAATAACGGCGACGAAAGCTTTCAACAGAAATCAGATGCACACATCTCTGTAAGCACATCTCATTCCAATGATAGAAGCTACAAGATTCACAGAATTTGATTTGAAGTGTATAGGGCAGTCTTGATGAGGTACACCACTGCGACATGGCACATGTAGTTAGGCTTCCATTGCCTCTTCAGGAGGTGCACTCTGAATATAGCAGAAGATTGGGCACTACATCAAGTTCCATTAAAAACCAACTCTTCCTTTCATTCTGGTATGACCTGATTGACCAAACTCAATACACCTTAAAAACTGACATTGTTTACTTACATGAGTAACTTATCGGAATAATTTTATCACAAACATGTTCTATTTGTCTGAAGGATAAAATGTATGTCATAAGAGAACACATACAGTAGATTTAAAAAGTAATTTTAGGATAACTGTTTCCAAGAAATGAAGTTGGGAGTATTTTGGTAAATTCACAGTCACTTTACTTGATACAACAATTAAGATCTTTTTTGTCCTCTAAAAGTCCCATTGTGGCATTCAAGCTTTATGTACAAATGGGAATCCCCGGTAGCTCTGCAACTTCCTCTCCCAAAGAGAGCAAGCCCTATGTTCAGGCAGGCAATAGAAGTTGAGATCAGTCGTTACTGGGTGCTCATCCGTCCTGACTCTTTAACGCTAGCTAACAGCTAAGTGCCACAACCATCTACTTCAGGAGCGCCCAAACTGAACCTGATCATGCAGAATGGCTGACATAACACCGAAAGCTGCACAAGACTGAACATATGGCCCATAATGACTGATGCTGTTATGTTTATGTGTGGAATATATACAAGCATAACAAATGAACTATGTACACACTGATCAAGCCCTCCACATAATACAGGCTGTGGGAAGCTATACATACATCAGGTCTGCCTTTGGTCAAACCAGGTTACTGTGTGGTATCTGGACCAGTCTGTCACCATCATATCACAATCACAGGGAGATAGGTAGGTGGCCCTTCATCTATATGGCAGTATTCAAGTACATTTACCCTCACAAATTGGCCTAATTTGGTCAAGTGTAGTCACAAGGGCTCCTATTGTCAAAACCATCATAGCACGAGAACTGTCTAACTTCATATGCTTTAACTCAATCATAACCCAGCCATTAAGAAGGTTGCTTTGATAACAAAGCGCTTGGTAATGGTGCTTGCAAAAGAATAAATGAAAAATAATAACAATACAATTATTCAGTACTTTTTCTGGACTAAGATAAAAGGTCAATGTACTTGAATGCTTCAAGGGTTGGAATTTTTTTAGTGTACGAGCACTTGATGTTAGTAGACAAAATTAACAAATTCTATATATATATATGTATAAACTCATACAGAAATGTATCAGATTTGTATACTGCAAGAAGAAATTACTTTTAATTCCAACCCTTTCATTTCTCTGCCAAATATACACACCACAGTGCTTGTATCAGTTAACAACGTAACGGTAACTTTGTGTTCCTAACATATTCCTTGATAGCCCTCAAAATGTGTTAATAAAAACTGTACCAAGTGGACAAGGAAACAGCACAACAAAACAAATAAATGAGCATGTGATTAGAAATTTCATGTTTCATAATATTTATCTTGTTGCTTAGGGACTGAAAATATTTACATCAGTTAGCAGAAACAGGACTTGATAAGAGAACTAGAAAACATCTGCCACTCCTGCAGTGTCATTATAACCATGCACTGACAATGTTCTCCTCGCATGTAAAAGAACACAATTTGTAATGTACAAAGTATCACATACTTTTGATCATGGTTAAATCTCACAGATTGACAACTATCTTGGTAAAATGGTATTCTTACCAACCAAGGGTTCAATTTAGATATAAATACTGTGAATCACAAAATTCTGTTTGTTCTGAGGTGATAGGATAGAATTAATACAAGCATTGAAACCCTTTTAATCCAGACACCTCTTTCGTATTTGTTGGAATTAACAAATTGCAAGAATATTTGTGAGCTGGTGAGATGTGAATATCATGCTTATCTTTTACCCAAGGAAACTTGTTAATCATAGACTACAAGTGAGTGTTAAAAGATTAGTTAGTGAAATATGGTTTCCTCAAGGATACGGATTGACATCAAACAAGAGGACAGATGTGGTTTTGGCCACAAGGACTGTCTGTTTAGTGTTGATTTCACAGTCAAGATTGTCAAGCAAAATGATGCTATGTTGGTTCCAATACCAAAGCATTGGACTCGGGAGTTCAAAGAGCCGTCAAGATATGTGTTATTTTGTTCTAGTTGGTTTACATTGAAACTGATATTTACCTTACTGTTCTACTGTCCTTGTTGACAACTCTTTTGTATAATTTGTTGTCGTTGCTATATGGCTGAGATAGTGACAATGCAACATTAAATCTGAACGCACTCTCTCCTGGAGTCTGGGGTACTGGATTACTAAGTCAAATAACAGTATATGATCACAACTCCTGCTCAATTTGACACAGAAGGCTGGATTTCCAGACTAAAAGGATTGCATTGTAGTTTCATATGAATTACTGCATGATCTTTCATGACGACAAATATCTTTACTTAGATTAAAAGACAATAAATGTTATCGCTGCAGTTGCATGGCTGCTTCAAGATAAGGATGTGGACTTTAACTTGATTGTATATATAACTGAACCCTACTGTGCCTTCTATTTCAACAACTACAGCAAGTTACCAACACACATGTATGCATCTATGTCACTGTAACACAGCTAAAAGAGGATATTCACACTTCACAGTCAACACTTCAGATCAGTGAAATGTTTTCCAGAATGCTTTGAAAATACTCTTCGCGAAAAAAGTTGAAAATCTCGGTCTCTTAAATCAAGCAGGTGGGCATGCAAGCAACTAATGTGCAAAAGTCGTACTGTAACCCTCATATACTATCATTTTTACAATTTGTTAATGCCCTTTCAGATAAAGGGTTAATTTATGGCACTAAGTCAAACAAGGAGTAACTATCCACTGCAGTAGCACACATCTCCATACCTCTTGTTGCAACTGGGGTAACTAGACAGGACAAACCATATGCATCAAAATTAAACAACGAAAGAAAAGCTTACAGAATCTCTGAAAATGGCAAAATACACAACTATCACTCTTCGTCTTTCCTAAATTCATGGGCGAAAAGACTAGATAAATAATGCATAGGGATAAACAATGACAGACTGAAGATCAACTGATACTGCATAGGACGGCTCCTATGACAATCACTTCACAATGAGCAGTACATGGTCTTTCGCACAGTCACTTACCACATACATTAAAACCAAATCTGATCACTACATCCACACAACTATTATCAAAATTCAATACAATGTTGACAGATGAAAATAGCTTTGATGGTCAAGACCAATCATCAGGGTTATCCCTAAAATGCCAACTAGACGGACAACAGTTTTAATCATCTCAAATTAAAAGAACATTCACCAGTATTTTGCCTATTTCAGAAAAAGAGTAAGCAGTTGGCAGTCGAAACAGATACATATTCTTTTCCAAGCACTTTTACTTTGCCACAAAGTCTTATCACATGTGTATATCTCCCAGAAGTCCCTGCAACACTCAGCAGTCCAGAAGATTCCTAACCCCTGGGAAGGGTGCTACAAGAAAGTCTGATTGACATAGCCCCTTCCCAGTGCTGTGTGGTAGACAGGGCTGCGTTTCTGCAGCTCTGGGGTGCTAGTATCCCGAGACTCGGTGTAGGAATCTTCTTCCCTTGACTTGAGTGGCACAGTATCCCTGGTTCGGCCAAAGGCAAGCAGTCATTTCTGGCGCTTGGGTTTCCCCCGTTTCCGCCTGCGATGGAAACAGCTGCAGCACCTGTGGTGTCAGAAAGCACACATGACTTCCGGTGCTACAGACTGACTTGACGGACCGGCTGACTGACTGACCAATCAACAGTCACTCCACTCCTCCTTTCACCAAGCCATGGCCTCAATGTTTGTGTATGATAACAGGGCAACGAAGAAAGTGACAGGTTAACGATTAATAGAAACTGCAGTGAGACAGGATTAGGCTAGGAGCTTGAAGTACAGACAGACAGGTGGGCAGGCAAATGGAGGGGCAGGAGGGCAATGGTTGGGTGGGTTGGGCAGGCTCAGTATGGCTACAGATAAAGTAGAGTACGTAAGGACATAGCATAGTTCCCCCCGAGATCCTGGGTTACGACTGTCGGCCTTTCTTTTTCTTGCGTCGTCTGAAGAAACAGCACCTGCAAGCAGAGAACACCAGAGTCCAAGCCAACTGTGCATGAAGCGGTCATCATTTTCACGGCCACCGCATGCATTCAGTTTCATTTTCAAGTTGCACTTATAAAGGGTTAGCAACCAAAATGCAATTTTTTTAAGCAGTTTAATACTCATAAAACGTAAGTAATAAAATTGAAGGTTTCCTGATAGTTATTATATTTCCACATGTGTTTCAAAGGTGTTTTCTTTTCATGTCAGAAATCAATATATAAATAAGAAAACATCAAATGCTATTTAAAACAAAACAAAATGTAATAATCTCGTATGAGGCAGGGTAAAGGGATCAGTGTTGGATGTGCATATCTTTTAAATGGTTGGTTAGTGGCACAAATATTTACCTAAGCAGGTTTCGAGAAACAACAGAGAAGAAAACAAAACTATCTATATTGTCTTGACTTCCTTAACCAACTTAACAGGTTTTGATAAACGGTACACTTTCAGCACTAAATCTACATATCTACCCAAGTGACAAGAATGCCGTTGGGTTGGCTTGGCTCGGCGATCTGTTCATGCTGTCGAGAGGCCAATGGCATGGACTTAGATTCTATACTCAAAATTACTGTCATCTATATTGGGTTGACAGGGTGAAGGAAGAGTGAAGGAGGGACAAGGATGGAGGTCTTATAATGCAAATGACTTGAGAGAACATGATCATCAGGCAAGTTTACCATTTTACTTACAAATTACAAGTGGTAATCAAACATGACACTACTATAAAACAAACCATAAATCTCAACTGCGTGCACACAAGAAACAAAAGCAAATAGATTTCCACTGATAATTTTGTAACGTCCGTTCAAAAGTATTGAAAACTTATAGTTGTTGATGCAGACAAACAAGTTAAATTTAGAAAAGACAAAATGAACAGTATCAACATCAGTTGTTATTTTTTTGTCTTGCATTTCAGCTGAAGTTAAGAGTCTGGTGATATATGTGCCATGCTTTGAAAAAGGTGGCTGCTTGGGCACTGTCTAACGTGAGAGATAAGACAAGGATGTGCGAAGGAACATACTTAGTTTCATCCACAACTTCCACCTCAGGCTGTGCTGTGATTGGTGTATTTGAGTGTCCAGCTGTTGGGTCATCAGGTCCCAAGTCGCCATTGGTTGAACTCATCACCTGCAAGGACATTACGGACTGTATAGGTCAGGCCAGACTCAGTGGTACATCCTGGAAACAAGCTCTGTAAGAGAACTGTTAGTTTGACAAATACTTCTGTTAGAATACTCAGAGCTTCCCTTGACCTTATCTGTGTTAGAAACTTAAAAACACAATCTATGCTTCAACTTTACATAAAATAATTTAAGTCATAATTTTCCATATTATATGTTTAGCATTTCCTTGCTAAACATGTATCTCTTTGAGAAACACTAAGTCTACATTATTCACCTGGCTATGCAAGATAATTCAGACTATACATATCCCTAAACAAGTGATGTAAGTTAACTGAGATAGCAGTCACTTTAGTACTCAAGACATCAATCAATCCTAAAAATTCACAATCGAAAATGAAGAATCATGTTCAACAGATATAAGGATATGTTTGATTGAGGCTGCATGCACAATAGCAACCACAAACGTACACAGTATGAAAGTAGATCACGACACCAAGGACACACAAAATTTAGAATAACAAATACACAAGCTGACAACATACATTTCACAGCAACCAACCTAAATCTTATGTAGGTGACACGGTGAAACACACACATCTCTTAGGTTGCTCACATCTACCCAAAGAACTTCCATGTAGGAAGAAATAGCACCTTCTGAGATTTGTTTCAGACCGAGAGGTCACTTTCATTGAACACCCTAACTGTTGAAAACTTTGTGATGACACTATTAAAAAGCATATTTTGAAAACAAAATCCAACTGCATGAAAAACTAAAGAACATTTTGAATTCGAAATCCAAACATATATTATCACATACGTAACACTCTGGTTCTCAGCACTTGTATTCATGTAACATTTCCATTTTTGTAATCACATTTAAATCAGATATTTTTTAAATATTAACTTCCTGTAAAATCTAAATTTGCTGCATTGTTATCTTTGCAAATAAACATTTAAGAATATTCTTACAATCTTAGGATACTTGTATCTTTCATAGTCAAAGAAATCATATTACGCCAATAGCAGTGAAACCTTAGGTTTTAGAGCTGAACCAGTTGAAAATCCAAAGTGGGACAACCATTAACATATGATTGGCACAGGCTGAACTAGAACTACATATAATGTCCTCATACGTCCTGTTCTCAAGGAAAGATTACCTTGCACATCATGACTACAGAAACACATGTAGGTAAGGTGGCATCAAACTACCACAAGGCTCACACAAGGCACAAGCTCACTCGTTACAAAGCATGAGCTAAACCTCAAAGCTTTGTAATGTAGTCTATGCAGCTAGAACAGGCCTAAGCACAAGTGTGTTCAAAGCACGCACACACACGCAGATCATGTGTGTCAACTACTGTTCATGTCTCATGTTTACTGGCAGAAGCAACAGGGATACTTGCTGGTATCCCAATACATATAAAACATGCAGTATGTCACTAAGCTAGTGCTGTACAATATCACACTGTAAAATGCATCATGCTAAAAAGAAATATCAAGTGCATCATAAAACATTCTCCTAATTGTCCTCAAATGAGATTACTGCTTCAAAACCAAAAGATAAATAGTTGTGATCTATCTCTGAATACATTACAAGAGCAGTCTGCGCCTTTAGCCACTAGTCAGAAGCCACTGTCTCGTAAAACATTGTTTTGTCAAGTAGGCTCAACTAATAACAGTCTACACAACACCACTAAAATCTACTGAAAATGATGGTAAGAGCCATGTTTGGTAAAAGATTTTGACACAGACTGCAAGAATGGTGAAAGAATGTTATATCCTGAATGAGAAAGTTCAATTAACTCTGGATCACTGAAGAAGGCAAGCCCTTGTTGCATGCAATTTGGCTCAAGTGTGGATCTTCACTTTTCATACATTTTAATCCTATGCAAACAGATAAGAAACAGCAACTCATGAATCACTAAATGATACAGAAACTAGTAGTAGAAACAAGCTCATGCCAAACAAAGTTACCAAATCAATGAAACGTAACGAACGTATGTAAGTGTAAGAATGTTGAGCTTAGAATGTGAGTGTACTGAGCTCGTTCCTTGGGTTTCTTGCATTTTAAACAATTTCCAAAATATTTCCTGTTATCAGAAAGCCTGTCATCTTTAGGGAGACAAGATTCAATGGTTTGCTGCCCATTATCAGTGTAGGTCTAGATGTCAAGAAAATAATTAGGTTTATTATCATTATATTTGTGATACATTTCTCTAGATCATAAACTAAAGTCAGAAGATGGGTAAAGTATTGTTTTAATGACCCAAACATAACATGCCAGGGCTGCTAATTGACAAAAGCCTATTTTATTTCCCCTTATATTGTTCTTCAAATGTCACTTGACGACCATAACCCAGTACTAATGACCATTTTTGTGTTAGTTCAATTTTCTGCATACACATCTTTTCATATCTAAGATAAAGATTCTACAACTTGTTCTGGTCACGACACATGACTAATCAATAAATATCTAACAGAGTAAACTATATATGTAGTACCTTGTTAATGGTTAAAGAACATATACAAATAGTAAGAGTGTAAGACAAAGCAGAGGAGAGGCAGGGGGGGTTGTTAGGATCTTACCATGGTACTATGACAAGGCTACACGACACAGGTGATCACTGTCACAGGTGATGTGTGGACAATTAGTCACGACTGTCACATGACGACAACAGTTATTGGCACAACAGTAAAATGCGGCTGAGGCAGAGAATCAGGGGCAGGCATCCACCTCGTGGGGAAAGCAGTTTGTTGCACGCACACTCAAAACATCTACAATTGGGGTTAATCTTGCTACTTTTCAACATTTCATTCGAGGAATTTCAAAAAGGTGGGATTTTTCGTCTACTTCCTTCCATTTGCAAAAAGCAAATGATCAAACGAGCTTCAGAAAGAGTTCCTACCTGGACCGAGCCCCCATGTTTATCAGCGGCTAGGTTGGCACCCAGTAAATTATTGGCGTGCCTGGGTGGCTCACCCCATGCATGCCCCCTTTGATTTGAACTTGGCTGAAAGGCAAATTAGTCTGGTTAGAGGAGGATGCGTCTTGTACAGATGGGTACGGATGGAGGGATGGATGGGCAGGAGAAATAACACCTGAAGACAGACTCAGGCTTCTGTCTCTACATCAGGGTCTGTCTTCAGTGTCAACGTTTTGCATATATATATATATATTCATATGGTGTGCAATATTCTGGTGCTGCAGTGGTGATGGTATATATCAGATTAGAAATGAAAACCTTCATAACGCAGTGGTTAAAACAACTGCAAATGGACATAAAAGAAGAAACAAACTTCAAATTGAACAGTTTTAAAGCATGCCCACATGCATGGTACAGCTGACTGAAAACAAGGATGTTTCCTAACAGAAAACCTGTTGTTTTTTTTTTTTCACCAAAGAAGAGTTGTAAATGATGAAATTAGAGGGTATATGACAATAAACTGATGGAGGAGGACACAACTGAATGACAAGGCATAAACTGATGTCTGAACATGCAGCAGGAGAAATGCAAAAGGAAGATCAGAACCAAATCAGGAGGATTAGAAAGGACTAAACAGCAGATAGGAAAAGAAGCAAACTCATAATCAATATACAAGTCATGCATACAGTCACTTGAAGAGTCAACTCAAACAGATGAATGGAAACCTCAAAATATAAATAGATATGTTCAAAATAACATTGTCGGTGTGCAGTGTTATTCAACAGATCCTGATCTGTGATCCATAAAATGGAACATAAAGGACTCACAAGTGACTGGAAGCTTTGATTATCTCCCCTTGACTAAGCATATCAAACTAAGAGCTTGACTATACATATCAAGCAGGAACTTTTAGTCCAAGGGAGACATTCAATGCAGGATAATCTAAGACAATGTGAGCTCAGAAATACCATACTACACACTTGTGGCTAATTTGGACCCAACAAGCAGACATTAGCTTCACAATCGTCTAACCTAAAAAAGAAACCGCCATTCGACAAGGGGGGGGTGCATGGATTGGCTGCATTGCTGGGAAGGTGCATTGGTATTGATATCTGACAACCATCTAAATGCAACCTTGGTGATGATTCTAGCACAGTGGTTTGTCGGTCTTTCACACAATGCAGGTGTCTATCATGCCAGGTCATTCACCCGTCATGTCCACAAAAGACAAAACAAGGATTGTCCTGGCTCTAAAAGGGGAAGTCTCATTTGGAGACTCAGCATGGAGTGCAGTGAAAGATACCATCTAAGTTGCCCTAACTTGGGCTACTTGACAAGAATATGGACTGCACTTGTCAATCTCTCTAAGCGAAAACATGTCTTCACTTACACATTTCTATCTCTAACAACAGCAGTTCAACATGGCATCATAAACAATCATGTAGATCCTTCACAGAAAATAAAATACACTGATTCTTCATACAGCAAATACCTTAAAAACAAGGGCTTAATATCACTAAAATACTACATCATGCAAGCATATAGACACCAACCTAAATTAAAGTTAACTTGTAAGCATTGCATATATCTATATATCCGTGCTCGTCTTTCACATGGACAAACCCAAACAGTTGTAAGTAGATATCTAGGTGTTCCCACCAGTGTCTTTCTGTGGCCTGGAGGAGCCTGTAAGCTACTCACCCTGGTCGGGCCGGTGTGTCTCTCCCTCATACCACCAATATCTCTCTGAGGTGATGGGCCAGTATCAGGGGCACTCAACGACACAGGTGTCGACTGGAACACAACAAAAATCCTTAGTGCTCCACACGAGTAGGTACGAACAACACAAAATATATCACATATCAAAGTATACAAGTACTCTTTGTTTTCAAAATGTTATATGTTATTAATATCTTACAGTGTTTAATATGAAAGAAAACACCTTGTTCAAATATGCAGTATCTTCAATGTTAAAGAATTTATTTTTTAAAACTTTTTTTTAAAAAACAAACTGCACCGAAGATTGACAATTCAGCTATAAAGTATCATAAAATAATTACATTAACAAGATAATGTCATAACTAAAAATATTCAGCACAAATGTTCATGCATCATCCAGGAAGTAATGGAAACTGAAGATATGGTATGTATGCCCTTCCATGCCTTCTCAATAGTTATGACTGATTGGAAGAGGGGCAAATGGTCAGATCTGATGGAAACACCTTGATGTTTGACAAGCATAATGCATGCAATACAGTATGGAATTATGAAATGGCAGAGGGGTAAGGCAAGTGATACTATCATTTTAAAGATAAAAAGTAATTATTAATAAACAGTAGGTGATCTTTTTGGGAGCAACATCAAAATGCTTTAAGGACATAACATGGAATACAGAACTTTCCAAATAAAATCTCTAGAGATGCATGAATATGAACTGATTATGAATGCCACAAAGGCAGAACTAAAACAAATACATTCACACTGCACATGTATGAGGTATGTGACCTATTTTCTGCCCACTTAAGACCAAAACATTTTAAACACTGTCCCATTAAACAATACTGTGAAAATTACAAAATCAATATATGGGCTAGCAGTATCAGCATCGAGTTTGCAGAAAACAGGAGTTACCAGACCAAACATAGTCTGTCAAAATCAGCACTGTTTCATCATTATTAAGAATTTCTTGAATTTTGATGGAATTGTTTCAAATTTGACTTAATAAAAGATATGTAAGACTTCCCAAATGCTGTCAATACCAGCTACTGTCACATGGAGCCTGCGGATGTACAATGAGCATTATTTGCCATACTACGAAGAGATGAAAACGTGCGGCAAGTTTACTTGAGATCTCACCACTTGGCGGCCGACCCAGTCGAACTGCCAATCACAGTCATAGCTCATTTTCTCCATGAGACCTGTCAACAGTTTACGCAGGTAGTCGTAGTCTGGTGTTTCAAAGAAGTCCAACCGCCGAACATACCGCAGATAGGTTGCCAGTTCATCTGTATAAAAACAAGAGTCATCAGAAGATGACAATCCCCCCAGCCCCCACATATTTGAAAGCACAAATCATCTGACTGTCACATTAGGTTCAACTTGATGAGAGTATTTCTCTCTAATCTGTCCGTCCGTATACAAGAGTAGTTATTGTGCTATCAAAACAATACCATGGAATTCGGATTCGGAACTTTGTATTTCTATGTCAGGTACACACCAATATGAAGAGTCAAAAACAAAGTTGTTGCCACGGAAAGAGATTTCTTTCTCTAAACACCCTAAGTAGCAAAAGGCAAACTGGTCTTTGTGTGTGAAAGTGTCATGAAAGAATACCTATCAGTTTTAGAGATATGGTCTGGACAAACACACCACTATGAACAGAGTCCAAGTCAAACTTGTTGCCCCTGAAACAGGATTTTTTTCTTCTTAAATTCCTAATTAACAAAAAACACCACTTCAGCCCTTGGTTAATACAGGATGAAAAGTATTTCACAGTTTTCAAGTTGTGCTCCGGAAACAACACCTTTTGAGACAAAGTCCAAATTGTTTCCATGGAAATCAAGAAAAATAAAAATGCGAAAAAATATGCAAATAACAAAAGGCAGCACATCAGGATCTGTTTGATATATCTGCCAAGTTTTGTTTTCGAGTTTTGCTTCAGAAACCAAAAACAAGTCCCACAAAATTATCCGTGAAACTAACAATCGTGTCCTTGTCCAACTTCTTTCCATAAAGATTTTTAAAAATAATTTTGTTTAAAATTACAAAATAGCAAAAGGCACCACTTTAGCATGTGACTGATTCATCTTTTAAGTTTCGATCAAATATACTGAATGTTTTTTCGAAATTCTGCCCTGGAAACGAACCCCATCCCCAATGGAGTCTATATCCAACTTCTTTCCATAAAAACTTTAAAAAAATAAAAATTCGAAAAATCCTCAAATATCAAAAGGAACCACTTCAGTATGTGACTGATAGATTTGCCAAGTTTCAATCAAATACACTGAATGGTTTTCGAGTTCTGCCCCAGAAAAGGAAATGATTATGGACAGACGGACAGATGGATTTCTCCATTATCTATTATTTATGTGTTTGACATAAAAACATAATCAGGCATACAACTAGGGTGGTCCTTGAGAACTACTTTACACTAATGCTGATATTGTTTCTCAGCAGATTGTGACATGACAACCTTTTTACTCAGCTTTAACAAATTAGTAACTATTTTCCAAAAAGTATTCATGTACAGTGTTCCCCCGTTATTGCGCCCTTCAATATAGAGCTAACTCAGTTATAGCGCGGTAAAGCATGGCTCCCAAAATTTACTAACATTTTTAATAAACTCAACACAGTGTTTTCCCCCATCTCAGAAAACATTATCAGCTGATCACCGCAATCACGTAACACCGGAAATACCTGTCAACAAATCCGAACTGAAGTACGCAATTTAATCCTATCATTATAATATCTGGTAATAGTAATATAAAAAAATCATTGTTTATCTGGAGTAATGTTTGCAATATATTTTAATTATATTCAAAATTTCATTCAATAATTATAATGTTTACAATAATTTTGGCGAAATCGTATGTGAAGTGAGCAGTAGATTGCACAACTCACTGTTACTAACAGAAACCACAGTCAGATTACCGCTATTGACGCCTTGAAACGAACTTTAGTTGCAAGAGAATGGATACACATATCATAAATGATGAATGCCGTACCATGACTCGCTAAAAGTTAAATTTGAGGCAGTTTGACTATTAAATGTCAACATAACGTTTTCGCAATCAAAATACATGTAGCGCGGGAAGTCCCTACGGTGACTGGTCAAAATTGTTCCATACGTAAAAAAATATCCTGAATACAATTTGTACCAAAGTGCTACGCTTATGGTTCTTATAATTTTAAGTAAATATGGTGGAAGCTGCAACTAAAATAACATGATTTTGGAATATATTATTCCTGATAAAATAATAATTTCAGATACAATTTCTTCCGACCATTGCATCAAATTTCTTGAAAGTGGTATCACTGGGTACGTTTTAACTGCATCACTGGTAGATTGGGAGGAAACGTGTGCACAGCTGACTGCTATTTCCAGATTAGTTTACCAGAAAATACACACGGTAATCTTAATCTCTGCATATAAAACAATGCCTTTGAGAGCAGGAAATACATTTTAAATGATAAATCTTCATGTTTAGTGAATTTTTATATCAAATTGCATACTTTTATTGACCAGGTTTGTCATAGATCTACCTGTTTATTCACCTGAAGGGAAACAATGTGGTTTTTTTTATAAAGTGCATATTAATACTCAATAAATCTTTTTTTACACAATGAATCATAAATAACTCTTATTCTAATGTTTTTTGAAACTCTGAAAAGTGCAACGTAGATCGTGTTAGGTAGCCTGAGCATGTGTACCATTTTGTTGGTCATCTACCACCTACAACTCAACCTTCGTTAAACCGCTGATCATCTATAACGCTCATCAATTATTTGGACCCCGAAGGTAGCGTTTTAGCAAGGGATCACTGTATTGAAATTGTGGGATGGGGGCCTGACATTTTTAAGACTGTCTAGTCTGTTCGTCAGAGCTATTATGTAACTACACAGACTTCTATCACATATCTATCTAGTCTGTTTCCAGCACTAGTTGTAGCTGCACAGACTGCACCAATATATTTCATGAAACTAGGCATGCCATGTTCTTCACATATAACTCCTAAAATCACCTGGAAAGTTTTCACACAAAACTTCAATGGGCGTGGCCCGCTTTGTGTCTCCGATCTTCTGATATCTTTCTTTTAATGTGTCTGCTTTCAGTCCCTGCCATGGTAGACTGCCACGCAGGAAGTACATAAACATGTGACCTAAAGCTTCTAAATCATCCCTCCGACTTTGTTCTGTTGGCATAGAAACATTCCAGTCATGAAAAATATGAATTAAAAGAATGAAAAACATTTAAAATAATTTTCAATAATCAAAGCTCCTAAAACTGTTGCAATATACACATTCATCTTATTCATTTCATTAATCATGTGATATCATTAGCTTTACAATAATGAAAGCATATAAAAGTATCTACAAAATACAGATCAAACAGAACTTATTGTCGAAGTTACTTAATTCTTCAAAACACAACCTATTCTGCTTCTTTTACTTGCCTTTTCCTAGATGTGTGTTTATACTCATGTATCTGGCCGTGCCAGTGAGACTCTTGTGTTCCCTGTAAGGTATATGCTTGTGGGTCTCGGGGTCAATGTACTCTTTGGCCAAACCAAAGTCTATGATGTGAATGATATGCTGTTTTTTGGTCGATTGTCTTCCTATCAGAAAGTTTTCTGGCTTAACATCTCGATATATGAGGTGTTTCGAGTGAACATACTCCATCCGTGATATCTGAAAAGAAACAAAAAACAAAACAAGTGTCAATAGGGGGTGACATGTCATCAAGAGGCACCAGCAAATACCACACGGTTGATATGTTTTGTGAAGAAAAACAGTTTTTTATTCCTGTTTATCTCACCGTACCAATTCCAACTGCATCACTGGATCAATGCAAAACAAACCATGGGTTGAATATACAGGGAGGATGCATATAGTATGAAAAAACCTTAACCCCCTGGATGCCACAGGGACATATATGTCCCTCCTCCACAACCCTCACTTTGAAGTCAAATAAAATTCAAAATACATCACCCACACAACTACACTTCACAGTTTTGAATAAGGTGGGAAATTCCCTGTTCTGTGATATCATCCACTTGCATTTAAGGCCAAGCAAAAGTACTGAAAATGACCTCTAAAAATTAGGTACATTGCCATTTTTTACACATTACTAAATCACCACTCACGGCATTATTTACAGCATGTTTTGAAATCTAAATTTTGGATATTTACTCGGAGAAATGAATTTCAAAAATAGCATATCAGTGATCACGGGTATCTGTCTTTTATAAAAACACCAATGATCATTCCAAAACGTCTCCGATAACCCTAGAATCGTTTAGAATGTTTTGGAAAATATGCAAACACGAACGCCGAAGTGAACTTTCCGCCATATTGGATAGTGTTTACAAAATCACGTTTCAGGTACACCAGTTATGAGACGCCTGTAACATCACATATATTTCAAACTTAGCTGCGATACATACATCCTTGAATTCCTCATACATTTTAGAATCAAATGACCAATGGTCTTTGTCACCAATACAAAGTGGCTGGATGAAATCAAGCAAAATAAGTTAGGTGTGAAAACAAATGCTGTGCTCGAAAAAATGCACTTGTTTGAAATGTAAACAAAGCAAAATACAGATTTTACATGGTGTAGCATTTTCTCCTATTTTGAGCTATCCTGTGTGACGCCATGACTGACGCAAAATCACGCACAACGACAACAGTATTTATCGGAATTTCTGGCTATTTCCGTTGGTTTCAATGAAAATTATAACAACAAAGAACAGTTCATAGATTGTCAGAATGTTTCTGATTACTTACATGTCACATTTATGTATATACGATCCCTGAATCAACGAAAGTCCCCTTGTAAAATCCCGTGTACTGTTGACAGTTAACATGCCATTTTGTAAAAGTCGGTCACGGGTAGTGATGTCATACGTCAACATTGTTGTACATATTTGGTAATTTCTTTGAGGTGAAGGTCCTTGAATGAGAGTGCACACGATCATTGTATCATGCTGTTTACAGTTTCAGTTATGATGTATATTTTGCATATCTTTTATACATTTTTTCACACAATTAATTTCACTTTGGATAATTGTCAATGTTCAAAATGATATCATACATAAATATAGGCCAAAACATGTATGAACGAACCTTTGATAATCTCCTTTTGTTTGAACATTATTTACATAACAATTGATAGGTTTATATTGTCGAATACGCTATTTCTTTTCCTTGTGTTACAAGATGAAGTGTAAATGTAACTGCAGCATGTACGTATTTCTTGGGATGTGTAATAGTCAATATTTTAAGTTCATATAACCAATGTCCATGAATAGCCGTTTCATTTTATTTTATAACTAAAACTGAATATATTACTTTAACAAAATGGATAATATTTTTTGGTAAAATATATGCACAGATTTCTGAAAGAATTGTCTTGGTCTTGGAATAGTTTTTTATGTCGTTTGATACACAGAACAGTGATATATAACGATTCGCCAGGTGCGTGTGTTAGTCACAAACAATTTACGAATTATTCCTCTCGTTTTGCATTATATAATCAATGGGTTCATTCTTTTTTTAATATTGTGATCACAGGATAGTTAACTGTTTACTTTATTTTTCAGGAATTGTATAAAAATAAAACCCATGTCAGGTACCCTGTTGGTTCAAACGTATATGATTATCCTGATAATTCTATACCAATAGAGCTTTCTTCGCATCTTTTATTGTGTAAGAAATAATAACATTATGAACAAACATATGTCCAACATTGAATATAATTTTGGTTGTTTTGAAATATTCTTTTGGGTATTTCATTACGTTAATTGATGCCAAACAGGTGCGTGTCTTGTACAATAAAGATACAGGATAAACTATCTAATTGTATACATATTCAAGACATAATTTTCATGGTGAAAGCAGTCATTTTATGTTGTGTTGAAAAAGTGTCAAATTCCATTTCACACATCAAGATTTTCCATACCATGAATGAAAACACCACGAAAATATATTGTCCTTACCCACAGCTAATTCTCATCAAGTGACCTGAGTTACAATAAACTAAATAAATTCTTGAACACTTAGAAGTGTCTTTTTTTAAAAATTGGTTTAATATTTGCAGTTAAATTTACACAATCAAATAGGAAATTTATTATTCTTCACCTCTGTATAATTTTACAGCCAGAGGTAGATCCAGTGCCGCGTGAGCGCAATTCTCTCAAAACCTTCACTTTTCTGATCTTAGGAAAATGTGCGTCAGAAAAAAACCTCGGCATCCAGAGGGTTAAACTAAACCTTTTCAAGTGTGCAGAATTGTTACAATTACATCCATCATTGTATCAGTCATCAATCATAATGAGGAACTGTGTCTGCATTTTTCTCCATCTAATATGGACAAGTTTGTTGACTAATTATCAATTGTACAGTGTGATCAAATTGAACCAGACAACCAGGAACGACCATCAAGGTCACTGTACTGCAGCAAGTTTGACTTGACTTTGTCTGTCTCCCAAACACATGCTATCATCCCTCGGCAATGTTACCTCTTGAAACAAACAAGCAATGACAAAACATTTTCCTATTGTATAAAAGAAGTAGAGAAGGTAAAAGACAAGAAATTACATCAAATAACATCTTTATCCAATTAAGTAGTGATCTGACAATCGATACATATCCAGGTTGTGATTCAGTACATGATAAAAAGCATGAAAAATCCAGATTTCTCATTTATCATCAAAGGATACAACTGTTGACCGAATGCTATTTAACTAAAACCCTCAGTGGATGAGTGAATGTTGTTTACTGCAGCATACAGCACTAGTCCAGATATATCACAACAGTCTATAAATATTCAAGTCTGAACCAGACAAATGAGTAATTGTCCACACCATCCCCGCACACTGACACATAATCAGCCAACCCAACGAGTCTGAGTTGATGTAGTTGTGTCATTAAAACTTTGCAGTGCTTGAGAATCCTTGTACTTGACAACAGTATTGCTTTACACCTCATACCATAATTATACACTTGACCCTTGTCATAATGACATTTTCAAGATCCAATCTTTGATTGTTACCTAATTGGAAAAAAAATATCTTTAGAACATTTTGCAATACTATCAATTAATATCCTAGAAAATGAACCAACATGAAATCCTGCATCCTGCTTGTACACACAATGCATGGTTTGTTTTGTATTGATACATCAACTCTTGATGTGTTATTCACATCAGGGAACACAATCAGTCACAGCGATGTCACTGTTATGAATACAAGCAAAGGCTTAATTTTCTCATACTACTACAAACAGAACTGACTTAATCAAGCTATGTCTGTTATTAAGTTAACAACATACCAATTGGATTGCTATCATCAGCACAGTTTTCAGTGAGAACTTGCGATCACACAAGTCGAACAGATCTTCTAGACTGGGTCCCAGCAGCTCCAAGACCAGGGCATTGTACTTGCCACACGGACCAAAGTAATACACCTGAGGAACGCCATCTGAAACAAAATCACAGAGCTGTGTAACAACACAAAGCCAATCAACAAGTTATGGAATCAGGCATGCTATACAGAATCTGTATTCTCAGCATCAGCATATGCTGACATACCCTCTTTGTTGATGTTACTGGTGTTCATCGACATTCATTTCTAAATGACAAGTCATAACATGGGGAAAATCTAGTTTTTTATGTGACTGACAAGATAACTAACGGTTAATATCTGAAAATGCCTCAACATCTTCTCTTGACATTAGCAGTGATTAGGATGCTATAATCACATCTTGACATTTAACAAATTTGCTCAGCAGACCATAGCCAATTTCCGAAAGCAAAGGCTTAACATGCCCATGCTTATGATATCACTTCATGTTTTATTATCATTAATGAAGCTATGTTTGTTCAGATCATGGTTGTGGGTTTGTTAATACAATCATTCAATCATAGATGTCAATCCTCTAACCAGTGATGACACAAACCTACTATCAAGTGACCATGAGATAAAACGAGATATTTATAGTCTAGTCTCTATCAGACCTTCTGAATTTTACCATCATTTCTGGCAATTTACTGTATTAATATGGGTTATTATCAAATGAGCTTACCAGATCCAACAGAATTTTGCTAGACTAGGTCTTCGGGCAGGGGGATTGACTCAAAGACTGACATACTAATTTTCAGGCAGAAGACACTTTGCTCTTTTCAAATATGATTATATTTGACAATAATATACACAATCTCTTTAAGAAAAAAATAATGTAGCAGAAGTAATAATGCTAGCAAGCACTGAAGCATTAACAAGTCTAACTAGTGACATTAAAATCAATCAACGGAACATCTACTGAAAGGATGTCAATGTTCTGAAAATTGACAAGTCCAGTCAACGAGAGACAATATTCCTGCTAAGAAAACTATATGATATGATAAAACAAGAAATTGAATGTATCGTCAACAACATTCTCTTTATATCTCTGTCTGTGTCAAGTGTTGTCATGATTACAAAGGCGTATCTTATACAATGTCATGTACCTGGCTATATACACAAGATAACCAACTGGGCTAGAAGGGTGTTGATAGGAAAGATTTCTATACAGCACAGAATGGGACAGAAAATATAGGAGGGACGATGCAATGAGCGTGGTGTGAACAATAGTTGCCCCTTCATCATCTACTACTGCAGGTCAACACACAAGGAAACATACCATGGCTGCGACTCTAACCCAGTTCTGCCTCATTGTTCATCCAGTTAGCAGCAGTCCCACACTTTCGATTGGGCAGATATTGTGCAGATGAAGCAGATTGCACAACCAAAAGTCTTAGCTTGCAGGCTGGCCAAGTCAAATTTGCTAAGCTTCTTCCACTGCATAAGAGTGGAAGTGAAATGAGAGCCATGCATAAACATAAAAATGTGGGAGGAAATATTATTGTTTGTCCTAAGAAGGACAAACAGTCTGACTGTTCTCGGCCGGGAAGTGAACCTCACTGATCAACATCCCAGGGACAGACAGCATGTCAGAATAAGGCTTGCAGCAGTGCAACAGCAGTGACTGACTACTGGTGTTTCAACTATTGTGTCTACTGCTGACTTCAAAATACATCAAATTTCAACTATCTTTGTATATATCTCTAAATATCAACCCATCAGTGAAACAAACTAACATTTAATGATTATGCCTGACATCTTCAGAACATATATATAAAAGTGGTTGGATTAGCCTGATTGTTAAAGTATTTGCACATTTTGAAGATCTGGGATGGATTTGGATCGTCGGTAGAAAACTAACTGTTAACTTTTCAAGTCTTCGAAAATTCACAAGGCTTACTTGAACTGTGTGTTGTTTTAATGACAATATTCAAACAGTTTGAGCTAAGAATGTCTTACACAATGGGTGGCAACTGTCTCATCCTGTATGTCCGGTCATAACAGATCATTAACAATTTCTGCACTGCTCACCAGACAGACAGATCTAGTTAATCTCCAATTAGATGATTACTAGATATACCACTGCTGCAGCAGATTACTTCCATTTCATTAGCTGCTCATCTGTATCTAGTTCCCTCGGGGAGATCTTCACAGCCAGTTTAGTTGCCTACCCAAGGCAACTTGGAAAAACTCTCTTAACAGATACAATTGTATTGACAGACTAAGTTGGCCAAATTTGATTCCATTGATTCAAAATTCCACCAAAAAACAAATCAGCATGACCAATAACATTTTATGAGGTTATTACTACCATTACCAAATAGATGTATACCTGTGAACATGCTGAATATGAGATCTAAATGTAAGTAATCTGCAGTGTCCAATCTACCTCCATCTTAAACAATTTAAAAAGGAAATCATACATGAAACAATTTAGTTGAACATTCCTAGGTAGTGGTAAACCAAAACATCCCATGCAGCCCTTGATTGTTGCTATTAAATGTATACATGGGCTCTGCCTCAATATATAGTTGGACACCATCCCCCATTCTATTTCCTATATTATTCCAGTTGCTAGAGAAAGTCTGAGATAGGCAGTCATGATACAACCTATTGATTTATAGTTTGTATCATGCCTGCTGCCTATCTCAGTTCATCGTCTGCTCTGACAAGCAGTGTTCAAATAACTCCTGCCTTAACAGCACAGCAAGCCTTCACAAGGGCTAGTCACATTGACCACTAAAATGTTCCTGCAGTACTGGGTGATCTCCTGGGTCTTGGCTACTGATACTACAAACTGGCCACCAACAGTAAGACTAATAAACTAGTCAGTCAAAATCTTGTGCTTAATATATGGCATTTTCAAATATGTCTCTGTTAGGAGCTGAATCAATGTCCATGAAGTGAAGGGGTTAATAGGGCATACATTAGTTAAATAATACTGAAGCCTAGGCTTCTGCTATTGGACTGGCTGATAAATATGATCATTGGCCAAGAAAAGTCACTTGTAGCCATGAAAGTAAATTACAAAATAGCAAAATCTCTAACTGCCACAACATATTAATATGGATTAGGGATGTTGTAATCCATATCACAACAGTTACCGTTGTCAAGACCCTATATATATGTGTGGACATGACCATGTTAGTAAGAAGTGCCAACTTGTAGCAGTACGAGTCTGACTGAACACAGTCCATCATGGCAGTGGTTGTCTGTACCTGATATCCGAAGGCAGGGAAGACAACAATGTGTCATGTTTCTCTGTTCTAGAGTGTATCTGTATTGTTTGGTACATCAAGGATGCATTAAGCATTGCGTTTCTCTGCAAGGTTCAATAAGAACCTCTAGATTCTTCCCTCCACCAGTAATCAGGGTTGGAATTCAGAGATAAACAGAACCCTTAGAAATTTGATGTCAAAGCTGAAGTCAATAAGGTACAGCAGGTATCCGATAAGTTAAACAGGAACAACAAAAGATGATTCATGGAGAAATTGAAAAGACACAACTTAACATATTCTAGACAATGTTTCTGTGATGCATATTGTCAGTCCTCTTCCAATGTTACAGAGGCATTTAATCATTGGACTGACGTATGCTGCGTATCAATTGTATTTCAGCAACATTATAGTGTTTTTAATAATTTCATTACAAATACTTTCTGATCTTGACAAAGATCAAAATTAACTGAACCACAGTAAGACCACATAAGCTCAATGTTGAGGGTGCCAAAAAAAATGGCAGAGAGTTGTCCGTCATTCAAGGAAAGCAGAGTGTTGATATAAAACCGCAGTAAAGGTTCCCCAGGGACGACATGAAGTTACATCAGGGATGCGGATATACCATGCACGCCAGACTTGCCAGACCTGGGATGTTAGGCACTGTTCTGCTTAGATCTTTTCTAAGCTCCTCATAAAAGTGATTAGTAGAGTTATGTTTCATCTTTATTACTGATATTCAAGGCGTGCAATTTTAAAAGAAAGTACTGATCAGTGATTTATAAAGCTATTTGTACCTCAAGCCTAAACCAAGGTTTAACACAGGTAGCCACAAATTGCAAGACACAAGCTCTATATTGTGCCTAAAAATGTCTTGCAAAGTAACCTTCAACTCCGGACAAGTAGATTACTACAGTTTACTTGCAAAACGACAAGTGAAAATTGTTTCAATTTTCACATCACTGTACATAGTGTTAAATCATGCAGTCAGATAACAAAGCCAGGAAGAGGTTCCATTGTACACTTATACAAGATTACTCAGATGATTGACATAAAATATACATTTCTGTGATGACTTTGGTATCAGTGAACACCTGTTTTACTGACAGAGGTTGGATTATTTAGGGAAAGTGAACTGTCACAATGTGTGTTAATACTTGTGTGATAACAATGTACCAAGTCAACATTTACTGTTGATTATCTTGAGATTAGAAATTGGGTTTTGTGATATTTGACTTCTCTTGAAAAATGAAGCCTCATTATCATTAATTCCTCAACTAAGATAGAAGATAGTTGCCACATGTGGCTGAGTGTGTTAAAAATGAACTGATATATTATATTGGGCAAAATTAGTTGACCAATGGGATATGTCCAAAAAAAACTTGAGTTGCATGAAACTGGAAAAGCAAACTCATTCTCTCCTGTAACGGAAAATGAAATGAAGGTGATTATAACTTTCAGGTTACCAGCAGCAGGGGCCTCTTTAAAAGTTCAGCCTTGTGGTTGTTGTAATGTGGGTTAGTTTTGTTTCATGCCTGTTAGCAATATTACAGCTATATTATGATCCGAAAATAAATCTTGGCCAGGTAAACAAGTGGTTGAAAACATAATCAATAACTTACCTTGTCAGAAATAAAATGACACTCATATAATCTGCACACTACAAACAGATTCAGGAAGATTAACAACAGAATGTGCAATCAAAAATTGTATTCAATACATTATATTGTAAGTATTCTTTCAAAAGACCTTAACTCGAAAAGTATTTGTTACTTGTGAGGAATGTTTTCCATGCAGACTGAACTTCACGAATACAAGTTTGAAATCATCATGACTTACCACGCAGCAGCACAGAACGTGTGC